GTTGTTCGAGGTCTGTGACAAAGAGGAGTCGTCCAAAAAATTCCCCAAACAAGCGTTTTCCCATCACAACATCTTTAATTGCAGAGAAGTTATCGGCAGTCCACTGTTTGCGACATTAGAGCAAAGCTGGTCATCCTGGCAGTAGTTCGAGTCCAGGGTACAAGTTGCGATTTCATTCCTCCCTGGCAAGTTGCGAAGCACTCACTCATTCTGAGAGTCGAGAATGGAGGGTTCAATCTGCTATTGCTGCTCACATGGTCTGTAGAATTGACACTCGAAGCTCAACGGTCGGTCTTGGAGGACTCTGACCTCGCTGTTCCTCGACTGGGCGTCAAATCGCCATCCTGCTTCGCGCATCTCTGGGCAGCTCAGTCGGTATCACGTGACCACGATGTCCCTCGGGCTTTGGGCACCATCGAGATGGAGCAGACGGGTATTCTTTCTATTTGAATTGTCTGAGAGGCTTCATATAAGGTGAATCGATCGATAAATTACGGCATCCTCGAAAATCAAACAGCATCTCGTCGTATACAACCAAGTAGTTCCTCTATTCTCATATGGATGCTCTCAACAACTACTATACTGGCCAAACACTCTCCACATGAGACATGGTGATAATTATAATAGTAAGTCTTTCATCTTTTTCTAGCTTCACATAGATACCTAGCTTATGTTTCTTATTCTAAACTGTTACTTTTTAAACAAAGTATATATTAATAAAAGTCTAGATTTCCAGCTATTCCAGAAAGTCCTGTATATCAACTCTAGAATATGCTACGACTCACACCCTCTTCTGCCTTTTGTCGATGACAATAATAATCTATATAGATATAGCCTAACAACACAACTTTCTCTTACTTATAGGCTAGTGAATAATATCACCTTCCTAAATACAAATTGCAAGTGTTAGGCTTCTCCTGTCCTTGGATATTCTCTCCTAAAGACTCCCTCCTTCTCAGACAAACTACTGTCCAAGGAGCTCTCTGGGAACACAAGATCTTACTTTTACCGCCGTGGAGCTTTTAGCATTCCTTGAGATTGTCGGCTACTGTTGTCCCCTCTCTCTACAGACAGCTTCCTCGCCTGCTGCTTGACCAGCTCGACGCGATCTGTGCGTCTTTACGGAGCTACAAACGCGTCGACAAGCAGAATCTTAGGTAAATTAGTGATAATGGATCAGATGACTAAGGTTAGTCGGTTTCACTTTCTTATGGTTTTCTATCTACCAGTTCGTGGAATCGATCGAAGCTGCCATGAATGAAGATGCGGTTTGGAGGTCGAGAAGCTCATTCATCCGCTCTCCACCCATGTGCTCTGGAAGGGATGGTACAATGCCAATACGCTTGATCCTGTATTCTTGTCACCAGTGCGATATGGGAGTGGCAGATTGACCTGTTTGGCAGCAGTCAGACTGGTATGTTCTATGATAAAGTCGGCTGATAGAAATACCTAGGGCTCAACGAGGATGGACACTTCTTCACAGAAGGCATCAAAGACGGACGGCTCATCAGTTGCTAGTTCGAGTTCGAGAAATACCTGCCGTGGTCCTACTTCTGTGTCTCGTTTTGAGTCGGGCAAAACATTGATTACGTCTCGAGTGCAGGAAGGAGCGAGAGTCCCAGTTAATCTGAATAACGCTCAGTATACCGCCCAGCAAGCGGTTAAAAAAGTCCACTTACCACCACGAGTCCCCGAGATCGCAGCTGGCATTGAGGTGCGCAACACCATAACATACCATGCAGAGCACTTAGGTGGAGAACAGATGACCAAGGTCCTCGACCTTCAAACCGCGTGCATGCATGGCAACATCGATCAAGTGCACGGACTGATAGATGCCGGAGTCGACCGCAACGCCGTTGCTATCACGGGGATGAGTGCCGTGGAGCTCGCCGGGAACGATCGCAGTCTCGCTGTCATGAAAGCCCTCTTCAGAAACGTCGACATCCCAAAAGACGGCCGACTGGAGCTCTCCAAAGCAATCCAGCTGGGCCAGCCGTTTGTTGTCCAGGCTTTGATGGAATTGGGGCTAAAGGAGATTCTGCAGAGGCCACCGTTCATGTTTAACGGGTTTATCATAATGGCATGTAGCAAAAGCACCCCAGAAGTCATTCGAGCACTCATCAGACATGGACCCAAGGCCAATATCTCGGAGCATGAAGAGAATTTTGTCAAATGCGCGATTTGGGAAGGAAAGCAGCACAACGTCGACTGCATCAAGGCCTTGTGTGAAGAGGAACGACTCAGATTGACGGCAAAGGACAGCCAGGTCTGCGGGATCATCTACCTTTATCGTTCCCACGTTAGATAACTGACTTTTCTCTACCAGAAGATTAGAACGCCTACACATACCGTGAGATCTAGAAGAAATTCCCTCCCGAGCCGTCTTTCCTTCCAGCACCTCGAGATGATCCCTGAACAACCCGAAGATGTCGAATAGACGCCGTTTTCGTTTCTATGGGTCGACGAAAAATCACTGAGAAAGTAAAACAAGAACACAAAAGAGGGATGATGATCAAAGGATAACAATAACTCTCTAGAGCTACTACTCCATGACACAAAGAGGCGTGAGAGTGCACTTAGAGGCCACCCAACCTCCAGGGCGAGGGAAAGAGAAGAAGAAAATAAATAAACAGAGAAAATACCTTTACCAACTGTGCGAAAGACAAGCGAGGGCGTTTTTGTGCTGATTGCCTGGTTTGCTTTTTTGTGCCTGTCAGGCCAGCTTTTCAAGGCAGGCACTGCAGTCCTCGATCGATAGTCGAGTCGACCTCCCTTCCTTCTTTGGCTCTGGAATGGGTTGTTGAGCCACAGCACTCATCGACAAGTTTCCTCGGCGTCTCTGTTGACTAAAATCTTGTTGTTTTGCTTCCTGCACATGGTAGTTGTCAGGCATTTGATCTTCTATTCGCTGTACACTCGTGTTCGATTCCACTTGAGCCCGGTTCTTGAATCGATCATCTTAAAGACCAACCAGCCAAGACATGCAAGCCACAACGAAGTTGGAGTCCCCAACGGCTTGGGAAGTACTACCTAAGATATCCTTACATTGATGCTCTTTAGAGGCTTTCTGATTGTGAAATGACACCCAAGCCGAGGAGAAAACAGTTCTTCTTCCTGCACTGAACCGCGTCTTCTACCCACTCATCAAGTTATTCAACACTCAAAAAAAAATATGCAAATAACCTACACGCTGGTTTCTCACGCTTGTATGTTGATCTTTTGTTTCTCGACTTGGTCTCGTCCTAGGTCCTCAAAATCTAGGTAGGAAATTGGTTTTGCTTACAATTGCAGTCTTCGACACAGAACAAGCAGCTCCGTACAAAAAGCCCCGATGAAGATGAGAGCATATGAATCCAAATACAATCAAAGCCTCTCACAGATTCGTGAAAACATACAATGTAAAATTTACCCAGGAACATGGTCGACAATACTGACATCTGCTGTTGTGCTGTCTATCCAGAGGGGATCTTACCTCGTGTTCCTCCGGGGAAGTGATATATTTTGTGTACAAGGCTTGTACATCATTTCCTGATTACTTCCTTCTAGATGGTACGATGCTATCAAAAGTCTTTTGCAATCTCATCAAATTTTCACCATGAGGGGTCGATCACATCATCGTCAGCCATTGTTGCGCCTTCACGCCTCGACATGCCACGTACCAATTGATTGATGGTATCTCTTTCATGAATGCAGTCTGAATGAGCCTTTTACCCCTCATAGAATTTGCTTATACACTTGTGTGGAGCCCAACAATGCTGAGAGCTCGCCTTCCAGTACTGTCTCTATTCGACATGCCCTGTCTAGACGGTGTGTCCGATACCACAATTTGGAGACACGATAGCGACATGATGCTGGCCATTGGAATTGAAGGAGTGACTGGCATCAATACCCCTCTTCTTTCGTCATAAAACGACTATGGGTCTCGCCTACTAGTTTCACTATCATCTCTCTATCACCTATACCCGGTCCCCTCCAGCACGCCTTCTCTCATGATGATAACATCATCCTCTAGGCATCGGAATGACCTTATCAATGCTGTGTTGTGTTATAATAGTGGAAATAGTGCCACTTCAAGTAATTGCTTCAGGCTCATGGACTGCCCAATACTTCAAGTACGGTAGCTAAGAACTTGAGTACTGGATGCAGCAACAACAAGCCAAAGTCTCACCCCAACTGAACAAGAAACAGGGTAAACCATGGGTGAAAGCTTAGTCAAAAGTGTAGCTGTCATCGGCGCTGGGATCAGCGGGGTTGTTTCGGCAGCACATCTACTAGCAGCTGGACTGGAGGTGACGGTGTTTGAGCGAAACAAGGCTGCCGGGGGAGTATGGTATGTAATTGTGAGAAAAGGGCTTGTGATGAGAAACGACCTAATTTTCTGTTACAGGCTGTTCGATGAGCGGAAGCCAATCGAGCCTTTGTATCCTTCAATCAAGCCGTCCGAAGCAGATCGATTGGGAGATGATCCCCGGAAGGAGGAGAGGAAAACCCTTGAGCATGCACCCCCAGGGTGAGTGAGCCCATTGATCGAAGGAAATCAAATCAAAGTATCCAGTTTCTGATCTAATCGAGTGACAGACCATGCTATGAGGGCCTCTCTAACAACGTATCTACGCCGCTTATGCGCGTTAAGCTCAACGCGTGGCCAGAAGGAACTCCAGACTTTGTGAGCCACAAAATCATGAAGGAGTATATCCAAGACACATCAAGAAAGACAGGTGTTGAACAAGTGACAATATATGGCGCTTGCGTGAGCAGAATACAGAAGAATACTTCAGGGTGGGAAGTGACTTGGTCCACATTGCATGAAGATCCTCAGACCGGCAAATTGGAAGAGAAAGAAGCCACTTCCGTGAGTTTTACCATATACTGGTGGTGTGCGATATGCTGTTCCTTCTAACTTCGTACAGGCCTTTGATGCAGTTGTTGTGGGTTCTGGCCATTATCATGCCCCTCGGATTCCAGATATCCCAGGCCTGTCCGAGGCGAAGGCGAGATGGCCGTCGCAAATTCTCCATTCAAAGGGATACAGAAAACCAGAGAATCTTGACGGAAAGGTTTGTGCTGCTCTTGAAAACTTTCAACAATGCTCCCGATCAAAAATAAGGAACTGACCACTCCACGCTAGAATGTGCTTCTCATCGGCGGAGGCGTCTCGTCCTCAGACATTGCACGAGAACTCGGCCCCGTTGCCCAAGATATCTACCAAAGCACCCGGAGTGGCGAGTTTGACTTGCCTTCCAATCTACTTCCCGAGAATGGATTGAGGATCGGTGAGATCGCATCCTTTGAGATCCTACCAGAAGCAGAAACCCCCTTGGCCGACAATGGCCCGTTGCCGATCAAGATCCATCTCAAGTCTGGAGAAACGCTCTGTGGGGTTGACCAGGTATTCATCTGCACCGGCTACCACATCACCCTCCCCTTCCTTCGAGACTTCCACGAGGACGGGACCCGGCCTGCAGATGCAAGTGATACCGTTCTCGTTACCGATGGTAGCCAAGTGCACAACCTGTACAAAGACATCTTCTACATTCCCGATCCGACGTTGGTATTTGTTGGGATCCCGTACTACACGGCCACGTTTACCCTGTTCGAGTTCCAGGCAATCGTGGTGACGGCAGTCTTCGCTGGCGTTGCGAAACTGCCTCCGCGCGAGAGTATGAAAGAAGAATACAGGGAGAAATTGAGACAAAAGGGCTGCGGGCGAGGGTTTCATTCGTTGAAGAACGTAGAGGAGTCCTACGTGAAGGACATACTGGGCTGGATCAACAGCGATCGAGAGAGCCTCGGACTGGCACCGGTCGAGGGTCACACTGCAGCGTGGAAGAGCGCCAAGGAAGCGCAACGAGCAAAGTTGGCGGTGATCTTTGGTAGCTCTGAAAAGTCTGCTTTGCAGGTAGCCACTCTGCCGGTTTGTGCTTGATGGGGAGATTTGCCGGCGTTAATTCAAACTACCTAATTTACTTGTATGTATGGCAACTAGGTATCAATCGGAGGTAAAGCAGTCTCAATGATATAAACAGATCGAGCAGGATACACCTCATACGATACGAGCGTACGATTTAGAGTAATGAGATGCAAATAGTGTGCCTGTCATATAAACTGCTTAAATATGTACCAATTTACAGTTTCGCCTTGAAGGCTTTGCGTAAGTCTTCCAATCCACTCGGACCATCGTAGATTTGCTGCTCGACCACACGGGCATTGACCTGCTACAGTTAGCAAACGGGTGTATAAAAAGGGACAGCACCAGATAGTTTGCCGAGGAGGAAATACATATTGCGGGCCCAGTTGGTCTACTCGTTCCACGCCGAGGAGGCGCATGCATGTCTTGGTTTCATCGGAGAGAACTGAACTTGTAAGCTTTCATAGAGTGGGGGGAGATAGAGAGAGAGAGAGAGAGAGAGAGAGAGAGAGAGGGAATACTTTGTAATGTCCTTTTAACACCTTCCACCCCACCGGCGGCCAACCCCCAGAGAGCCGGGCGGCCGATACCCACGGCTCTAGCGCCGAGGGCAAGAGCCTTGACGACATCTGTGCCGCGGCGGACCCCCCCGTCGACCCAGACCTCGAGCTTGTCGAAGACCTGAGGGCAATACTTGCGGATCTCAAGCAAGGTGTGGATGGCGGGCGGGGCGGTGTCGAGAGCGCGTCCGCCGTGATTGGAGAGGATGATGCCCTTGACCTGCGGGCCGTGCAGGGAAGCAAGGTAGGCGTCTTCATGGGTCTGCAGGCCCTTGAGGATGATGGGCAGGTTGGTATGTTGTGCCAGCCAGGGAAGCGTCTCGTGCCAGGTCAAGGAAGGGTCCGTCCCCGCGAAGAGCTGTAGGCCGACACCGCCGCCTTTACTGACGTCCGGGGTGCCGTCCTTCAATTCGTCGGTGGTCTTGAGGCTGCCGCGCGGGGGCGGCGGGGGGCCGACCTGGCCGGCGCGCTCGTCGTCCTCGCGTTTCCCGGGGACCGGTGCGTCGAGGGTCAGCACGACGAATTTGATCGCGGGCAGCTTGTTGATGCGGGCCAGCATGGCGACGCTCTTGGCCCGGTCCGACTGGACGTAGATCTGCCAGCCGAAGATCTGGTCCGGGGCGGCGTCTGCGACGATCTGCTCCGGGGTCATCGACGCACTGTTGGAGATGAGCTGCATCGCACCAAAGCTGCGGCATGCCTCGGCGATGCCCGCCTCACCCGCCGGGTTGCCCAGCCGCGCCATCGCTGCGGGCGACACGTAGATTGGCATACCTAATTGGTGGCCCAGCAGCGTCGTCGTGAGGTCGCACTTCGTGCAGTCGACAAACACCCGTGGCCGCAGCAGGATGGAGCGGTACACCTCCGTGTTGAACCGTTTCGATTGCTTATCGTCGGCGGCAGAGTAGTAGTATGCCCACGCCTTGCGGCTGACCTGTTTGGTCGCCACCTCCTCGATCTCGTCTAGATTCAGCAGCCACTCCATCGGCGGCGGGCCTTCTTTCTGCTCCTCCTCCGCAGCGGCGGGCGTCTCCTCCACCTTGGGCAGAGTATTCTCGTCTACAGTACCCAGCAACGCCTCAGGCCTCAGGTTTTCCTCCAATACCCCCGGGGGGTGGATAGGGTCGTATTCTTCCGTTGCATCTTTGCCCGACAGCTTGAGGATGATCTTGGCACCGCCGGGATGACTGGATAGAAAGTCGGTGACCTAGAGTACATAAGAATTGATACAGTGATACAGCGGGAAAATACCTAGGTAGCATTCACAACTTACATCGTATACTTTGCCGTAGAGAATCACCCAGCAGCTCTCCGACGTGTTGTGCTGTGCCACTATTTCCCGTCAGTGCTATCCAACCGTTCGGCGATCTGAAACGCTCCTCTCCTCACCTTCGGCAGCGTCGAACACCTTTCCCATAGCAGCCAACCTGATCTATCCTCTAGCCCCAAATAAAACAATGGGAATCAGTCAAAGCACTCAAAGCAATGGAAACGATAATATTGGGAGGGAAATGCCGTGGGAGAAAAAGAAGGAGGGAGCAGGGTCAGGCCTCGCTATATCGGGCAAAAGACAGACGAGAGAAACTGTGGGGGAAGCAGTTAGTACTAAGGTCTGACAATACGGATACGATACCGGGTCAGGGACGAATGAAACAGCCACGATACGAGAAACCAAACAGTTGATTCGTGGTGATGCTTGGAAGAGCTTTGGCCGGTGGAACCGAGACCGAGTGCGGAGAAGGACCTCCGGAGTAATTTCGATCGGTTATTTGGTTAATATAAGTTATGCCTGAGTTTCGACCGAGTATTTGCTGAAATAGTTAGAATTTCGATAAGATAAGAAACTAAATTAAGTGTTTGATAGTAGACACTTATTTCTAAGATAATAGTGGTGAGGTGATGGTGTGATGGTATTAAAGTAGTAGAGTGAGTACTAAGAATCATCCCATATTAGCAACTATTATCATATATTATGGCCACTTTTCTTATCTGATATGTATAGTATATATTTACTAGTTAGTTATGTAGTATAACTAGGTAGTATAACTAGGTATAGTATAAAGCAGAAATAAAAATTGGCGGAGTATAGGAATTAGGCGCAAAGGGTTAAATACGGAGTAGACAGTATCCAGTAATTTACGAGGGTGTTTTTACTAAACGTAATACAGAATCGTATCGAGTATTGCCTCCGCTTTGCTCGACGGTGAAACCCAGACATCACCATCTGTGCTCAGCCGATGAATCTGATCAGCAGCATTAATAGTTGAATACTGACTGCATTTTTATACTTCTTTCTCAGACGGGCGGACGCGGCTTTCTAGAAATCTGGACAGTAGATTTCAGCCGCCTCGACAAAACTTGGTGATCTTGAAAACAACTTGGCTGTGCAAAGGCATCATGTTCGAGGTAGGACAAATTGTTGCTATGACCGTGTCACCATCTTGTTCCCTCTCACTCTACCCCCAGATAAGGAGGTACACTGCGTAACACAAACACCAGGCTGACTGAACAGCGACGCGCGGCAGACCGGTACCATCTACGGATGCATCGCGCCCGAACAGTGGCCCTGACGGACGAGGAGATGGTGGAGGTGCGGGCGGCGCAGCGGACGTTCGAGGGCGCGTACGTGCGGACGGCTCTATCGCAGTTTTCGTTTGCCCTGGTGGTGCTCAAGATCTTTACGGCGGAATTCTACAGCATCGGCGCCCTCTTTGCCATCTACGGCACGGGGGTCCTCATGATCGGCCTCTTCCGGCGGCAGCAGGGGAACCGCCAGTTCTTCTCGGAGATCGGGGAGGATGGCATCCATCGACACAGATTCCGGACCAGCGGAAACGCGGTGGTTGTGCTGACGGCTCTGAGCATCGCGGCTTATGCTTGTCTCATCGGGCTCACTTTGAAACTGGCCGACTGAGAGGGGATAGTACGGAGTATTACTGGAGGGCATGAAGAGACATGAAAGGACAGTCTTGCTCCCACAGAACACTCCCATTCATTTCATCCCTGCATGGCTGCCAAGCGCCAAGATTCCGCAGCGATCTTCACAAACACCAAAAGGGCGGAAGACCGACACCGACGACCGACCTACGGAGTACGTACTCCGTACTCATCAAAAAGACGTGTCTAGCTGCCAAGGCCGCCAAGCTGATACCACCCTGCAGCGGATTCCCAACGCAGCGGAAGGTGTCATGGAACCCTCCGATCAGTATCAAGGGGAATGAAGGGCACGGGGCGGAGACGCAAGGCAGTCAAGACAGATACGCATCAAAGTATGTAGTAGGAGCAGGTACTCCGTCTGTACCACTAGGGGTACATTTCCCTTATCGTACCACTGAGTCACCATGTAACTACCTAAGTAGCTGTTACTACATCATCATATCATCCCTGCCAATATCGACTGCAGACTCGCCAAGCTTCCGGATCGACCCTGCAGCGACTCGCAGAGGAGTAAGCAGTAGGCAGTAACTAGTAGGTACAGATAACTCCTCAACCTATTTAAACCCTCTTCTTTTTTTTTTTAGTAACAAAACTGAGTAGATAACTGTAGCTAACTACCCCGTAGCTCTTCTCCTGACATCACTAACGTTGGCGATCCACCAGGTGGAACCGACCGGAGGCCGCGGACAGTGACTTCATGAGCTCAGCCATTGAATATCCAAGCCCTTTGTACCCTTGATCCTCAGCTCCTCCTTGCCAGAGTACGTAACCTACCGAAAGATAAGATATCATAAGCTTCAGGTCGCCGGCCATTCCATACCACTCTTGCCTGCACGTGGAGCAGGCGCCTCAAACCACCAAGGACTGCAGGGACCAGCCAGTCTGTCCATATCCCCCCTCTGGCTGCTGTGATTGCCCAACAGCAACAAACCCTCCAAGACTGTCTTGCTTGGGTGGTGATCCAGGAAAGTGAGAGACGTGAGAGTCGCAGAAAGGCCAGTGTGAAGGTGTGTTGACTCATCTAGGGCCCTCCCGCTGGACCAGGTTGGAAGCTTCACCTCACCCTCTTTTTATCGATAATTTTTTTCCTTCTCCTTCCTTGCTGCTCCTGCCTCAGCTTCCCTCTGCATCCTTCACCACCATTATTCCCAAACTCCTCTTGAAAGAAGAATCACCACCTCTCAGCTTCAGGCTCAGCCTAGCCACTGGCCATGGCCCACCAGGCTCAGCTCTCAGAGATTGCCCGGTCGGCTATCCTGCACGCCTCGTTGCCAGAGGCTCAGCGCGAAGCTGCGGCGGCGGCGACCACGACCACGACCACGAAACCCATCGAGCACGACAGTGTCGGGAAGGAGGCTACTCTTATGCCAACATCTGCTCCCAAAACCGTGGTCGGACGAGCGCTAGGCAATGGCCTGCATTCCGATGCCCACAGGGGGGTCGGGTCTGCGCTGACTGACACTCCGATTTCTACCGCACCGCCTTCTCCACAAATGTATGTCTGCCCGAGCTTCCATTGAGCCGGAATCGTTTTTTTTTTTTTTTTATGACTTGACTGGACTGGACTGGACGGTCTGTGCTAACTTTAAAAGCACTGGCAGCTCTCAACCTGTCACCCCCGGTCGCATTCGTGCCACCACCCTCGATATCCCCGGCCTGACCAGATCCAAGGTTTCACCCGACGGCCGGATTGCCCAGCGGGATGTCGGCGCGAAGCTTGTCATTGTTATGGTCGGCCTGCCCGCGCGCGGCAAGAGCTACATTACCAAGAAGCTAGCTCGCTATCTGAACTGGCTGCAGCATGATACCGAGATCTTTAATGTCGGCGAGCGTCGCCGTATCGCCGCCGGCAAGTCCCCGTCACCCGCAAACCTCGCCCTGTCCGACAAGCGTCCCAGTGCCGCCTCGGTTCACAGTGATCTTGTCGACTCCGTTCGCAGACTCAGCGTCAGTCTTGGGACCATGAAAAGCAACAGCCCCTCCCCCGACGCGACCAGTCCTCTGCCCCCTCCCGTCGTGCCTACCGCGAAGATCCTAGTCAACGGACAGGAACCTGATCCAGCTGACCAGCCGGTCTCCCCGTACCACCAATCCACCGTGGTTCCCTCCGTCGATGCGGGCCCTACCCTCAACGGCGAGACCATCCACGAAGCCTCCCCGGAGCCCATGGACCAGTCGGCCAACTTCTTTGACCCGCAGAACCAGCGCGCGGTTAAGCTCCGCGAGCAGGTTGCCCTCGACACCCTCGACGAGCTACTGGATTACATTCTCGAGTGCGGCGGAAGTGTGGGCATCCTCGATGCGACAAACAGCACCATGGAACGCCGCAAGGCAATTGTCGACCACATCCGTGCGCGTGCGGGGCCCGAGCTCGGCATCTTGTTCCTCGAGAGCAGCTGTGTGGACCAGGCCCTGCTCGAAGCCAATATGCGGCTCAAGCTGTCTGGTCCCGACTACAAGGGTCAGGACCCCGTCAAGGCGCTCGAGGATTTTCGGAAGCGTGTCGCGCTGTATGAGAAGTCCTACGTCCCCCTGGGCGAGTACGAGGAGAGGAACAACATGGCCTATGTGCAGATGATCGACGTGGGACGCAAGATCGTCTCGCACCAGACCAACGGCTTCATCTCCTCCCAGGTCGTCTACTACCTGCTCAACTTCAATCTCTCCCCGCGCCAGATCTGGATCACCCGTCACGGCGAGAGCCGCGACAACCCTCTCGGCCGCATCGGCGGCGACTCCGATCTGAGTGAAAACGGTCGTCGCTACGCCAAGGCACTTTCACGCTTCATCGACCACCAGCGCCACCAATGGGAACTCTACCAGCGGCAGAAGGAGTTGCTTCAGAACTTCCCGCCCCGCCCTGGTGACAGCACCCCCCCAAATCCCTACATCTCCAACAACCGGCCCCGCAACTTCTGTGTCTGGTCGTCGATGATGCAGCGTTCCGTGCAGACTGTCGAGTACTTCAACGATGAGGACTATGACGTCAAGCAAATGAAGATGCTTGACGAGCTCCACGCCGGCGCCATGGAAGGGATGACCTATGAAGAGATTCGTCAGCAGTACCCGGAAGAGTACGCCCACCGCAAGAGGGACAAGCTCTTCTACCGCTACCCTGGCCCCGGTGGCGAGGGCTACCTGGACATCATCAACAGACTGCGCGCCGTCATCATCGAGGTGGAGCGCATGACCGACCACGTCCTGCTCGTCAGCCACCGCTCCGTCGCTCGCGTGCTGCTCGCCTACTTCCGCGGTCTTAAGCGTGACGAAGTTGCCGACCTGGACGTGCCCCTTGGTGTCCTGTACATGCTCGAGCCCAAACCCTACGGTGTCGAATTCAAGGCCTACCGCTACAACCCCGACATCGACTGGTTTGACTACATACCTGATTTTCAGTTGCGTCAGACTAGCATCTAGTTGGCCACCCTACACTCTAATCAAACTCCTCTTCGGGGCATGTATTTTCCTCTCTATGCTCTCACTCATCTCCATCTCGGCCTTTCACTTGCAGTCCTTTTTTTTTTTCCTCCCCCTTTCTTGGCTTTATCCTTCTGCCTCATGAACTCGTTATGACATTTGATGATTTTGCTTCGCTGTACACTATGGGATACTGTTTTATTCTGCTTTCCTCGTGGCTTCTGCTCTGGTTGGCCATATTCTTTTTTTTTTTTTTTTTTCTATGGGGGTTGTTCCAGTTCTTTACATTCTTACTGCTTACTCTTGTTCGCGATCGCATGGCGGGAGTCGATCGATCCGAATTTTTCCTGACCGCGTTCCTGGCGCTCTCGATGGTTTCGCATGGTCCGGCGCACGGGAGTCTAGGAAGTCTACAAAGCCTGCGGTTGCCTGCCTGGAGTAGAGAGATGGAGATGGAATGTCACAATGAGGTAGTTATTCAACTCAATAGAAGTCGTCAATTCGAAGACTTTATGACAGTTTGAGCATATAACTATATAAGTTATAAGTATTAAGTGATTAAAGTAACAGACGTATCTTATGCAGCATCCTCGCTCTTGATGCGTTCAAACACCTCGAGGAAGGTCTCCGGCTCATTCGCTCCCTCAATGGCATACCTGCCCTGGACGGTGAAATAGGGCACGCCCGAGACGAGGCGCTGGCGGGCGCGTTCTGCCTCGGCGTCGACCTGGACACCACCACGGTCGGAATCAAGGAGGGCCTCGACCTCGTCGGCGGGGAGGCCTGCTTCCACGGCGGCCTCAAGCAGGACGGAACGATCTGTGATATTCTTTTCTTCTTCAAAGTAGGCGCGGAACAGATTCTGGACGACAAGAGTTTGGATGGAGGGTTCCTCGGCCTTAGACTCGGCCTTAGACTCAGTCGTAGAAGATGATGAATCAATCTTTTGCTTCTCCCCCGCCCACCAGATCAACCGGTGTGAATCTCTTGTCCGGCCCGTTCTCCCCCCAAAGCGAAACTTGATCCCCTCCCCTTCCCCGACGACAGCTAACCGAGCCCCCATTGCTGCGGTGCGCTCCGCCCCGAATTTCGCTCGATACATCTCATGTTTATCCTGGCCCGGGAACGGCGGTGACTCGCGGTTAAGGTAGAATGCTCGCCAGGTTAGTCGGAAGGTGTCGGTGGGATACTGGCTTCGGTGGGTTGTTATCGCGCGGGACAGGCGGCGGAAGCCGACGTAACACCACTTTTTTTTTTTTTTTTAGCTGCTGCTGCTGCTGCTGCTGCTGCTGCTGCTGCTGCTGCAGCATAAGAGTGAAGAGTGAGGGAGATTTCTTACCGGGCACACTGTATCCGAGACGATTTGGATATCGAAGGCTGTCATGGTGGTATGTGTTGAAGAGAATGTACTGGGCAGAAGCGATCAGGAGACGCCTTGTGTAGTAGTAGTAACTAGTCAACTAATTAGTAGTAAGAGGATTGAAGATTTGTCAGCTGCGGGGGATTGGGATGGACTTATACAGGTTCAGTGGGATTGACATATGCACATATAGGTTGGGTCGAGATGATTCAATTCTTAAGAGCATAATTTTCAGATGGAAGCTTACGAATTACCTTAGTAAAACTTGCTAGCAATCATTTATCAATTTCATAGCCCGACACGTTCCTTCATATCTCTAGAATACATCAATCCTAACATCTTCCTCGCACATTCTTACAAACTAGCCTGGTTCGTGAATTGCCAGGTAACATTGGCCGGAGGGAATTCCTCTGGCTGGCTGTCCCGGATCTTCTTGAGGGTAAGGGAATACTAAGGAGAAATAATAATGTTAGAAAGATAGCTGTTGGTAGCTATAGCAAGGTGTGTGAGAGAGAGAGAGCATACCTTGAAAGCGAAGTTGAGCACCAGAGCCACCGCGAGGCCGATACAGACCACAATAGGCCCGACGAGGTTATCCAGATCGCGGCCGCTGCGCTGCCGGATGAGCCTGGCCCGCTTTTCGTACATGTACCATCCCCACGCGGCGGCAAAGAGGGCGAAGAAGGTGTAGACGGTCGCGAGAGCGCGGGCGATATCGTTGTGCTTACCGGCAGCGTTGTACAGGCCCAGGGAGAGCGAGGCGAGTAAGATGCTGATGTGCAGCCACTTGATGAAGGTTCGTTGATTGGCAAGCCACACCTTGGTTTCCACCCGGACAGGACCCGCGTCCTTGATCCAGACTCCCGGATGCCGGACGCCAGACGGCAGGACGACCGAGTCCCTGTGGCCGCGACGGCCGTTACGCATGAACGAGGGGAACAGTGACTTTAAGCGGGAGGAAGGGGGGGCAGCGTTGTCTTCGGCCTCCGAGCTTGCGGCGGTATCATCGGCCCCGGGCGGAGGAGGCGCCGGGATGGTAGCTTGAGGCCGCGCTTGCACAGCCTGCGAATATCTTCTCGTGCTCGATGGAGAGGCGGCCTCCGCAAAGATCGCAGTGGTGGTGCCCATGGCGGGCCGGATCGAGGGGCTGCCCATCGTGCCCATGAAGCTTCCTACCGCCATGTTTTCCTCTGCTCGCTGTGCTAATCTCTCTCGCTCCTCGTGGAAGGCAGTCTCGGGATCGCGACGGATGTCATTGTCCAACTCGCTCAACCAGAAAGGAAGGCTGTTGACATAGTCTTCAAAGAGCTGGGCAATGCCGTGCAGGAATTTCGAGAAACGGGGCGCCTCCTTGACGAGATGGGAGACCATCAGATCCTTGACCCACTCGGCATTGTGCGCGCTTCCCCTCAGCTTGATCTCCAGCAAAGCATGGGGGAACCGGACGATCTCGCCTGTGCGGATGGTACTAAAAGGATACTTCATCCCCGCCTTGTCGATCTCAGCACGATGCCACTCGGATTCGTCGCGGCACGGACGCTCTGGGTCTAGCGAGTCTTCCCGAATCAGCGCCAGGTTGGTATCAAGCGAAATGCGGATCCGATCATCGCCAGGGATCTGGAAGGCAGTCCGCGTGTAGTTGGCCCGAAGCATGGGCTGCAGGTTGAACTCCTTGATGAACGAATGGAGCTCGTCCACATCATTTTTCAATGACTCTGCGTGCGCCGACTCCACCTCGCCCATGTCCTGCATGCGGTGGACTATTTTGTCTAGTTTGTAGTCGCCCTGCAAAAACTCCTTCACATGCTTTTCCTTCAATTCCACTTTGACCACCCGGCTTCGGTCATCATCCGTGGCGATTTTTTTCTCCAGGAAAATGGGCGGCTTGTCTTGCAGCTGGCCTGTCCATCGCAGTCTCAGAGATCCGGCTCCGGGTGCCCTGGCAACCTTCTGATTGTACAGGTCAAACTGCGGGTTGTCAAAATAGATCGAGGTGATGGCGGGATCTTCCGGCATTGTGGCTGGATCCTTCGGATACCGTGTGTTGTAAATGAGGGCGGGCAGCCGCCGAAGGATGTGAGTCTTCACTTCTAGGATATTATCCGCGTGGATCCAGAATTTGTACGAAGAGTAGGCGTCATGGCCGAACCGAGACTCAGCTGTCACTTCCTCAGACTCGGGAACACCCTCGCTGAGAACCTGCCGGGCAAACGAATATATGACCGACAGTCTGTGGACGAGGGGCGAGTAGTCCTCCGTGTTGAAAGGGAGCTGCGACAATCGCACCTGCAACAGAGGCTTGACGCGGTAGCGTGGCCCACGCTTCCGATCATGCTTTTTCACGGCCTTGAGGAAGCCAGTGAAGTTTATCCGGCTGTACTTCTCCAGTTCTGTGACTTCTTTGGCAATCCCATCCAGCTCCTGCAGCACCTCGGACGCGATCGCCTTCCGCTTTTCTTCCTCCGTCACAGGCTCCTCCTGCTCCGGATTGGGCACCAGCGGACGCAGCTTCGCTTCACAGGCCGATGTCCGCTCCTTCAATCGCTGTGACATCTCCACCTGGAAGGCATTGACCTTGTCCAACTGAACATTGATCAACTCCTGCACGAACGCCTCCTCATCCTGCTCCGTCCACGAGAGCCCGTCCGAGTCACTGGCATCTTCGCCTGTCACATCCTGCTCCCGCAAGAGCACCTTCAACTTATGGTAGTCGATGTATTTCCCACTCCACGGAGGATACACCGAGTTCCGAAGAGTCTTTCCAAAACGCATGATGGGTGGTTACGCTCACGAGCGTGTGGGTCCGACCGGGGGGGGAGTTTGGTGCTACGGATACACCAGACAACAGGGGCTCAAGAGAGCGAACAACTCGATTGCAACGCAGAATTGACGAAGCTCAGCTCATCTACCTTGTTCTCAAAGGAAAGGAAACAGCAGGAGAAGCAAAAGACGTAGAGAAAACCCATTCCATTCCCTTGGGGGGTGGATGTGGATGCTCCAATGCTCAGAACCAGCGGCGGAGACATACAAGGAGCATCCAAGCAATCATGATGAGTGTAAGGTCTGTAGCTCCTGCACGTGCTCAATCTGTTGCTCAGGTGCGGTAGCAGCAGCAGACCCCTGCGTCCAATCAAAAGCGCTCCCGCCAGCTCCGCCCGTGCGGGTCTTCCGGAGCCCGGAGATATGTTGCTCCGCGGGTCTTCCTGGCCGAGGCCCGTGACCTGACCCGATAAGGCGATTACTTAGCTTATTAGTATTACTTGGGCAGTTGAGGTCGTGTGCCAGCATATATTTGTCCCTACAGCAATAACTGCCTTCCTCAGGACTGGGTAGAAGGGAAGTTCTTGTTTAAGCGGTACTGTGGTACTTCACTTGAGCGGATCGAATCAATTAGCTGCTATTAGATTTTTATTTTTTTTTGGGTACCTTTTATCATTTTGCACTACAAGATTTATACCTCGATGGAGCCAGAGCCAGGATCGGAGCCGATATCGCTGTCTTCGTCGCTGCACAGGGTCCTGGGAGACCTGCACCAGCATCCGTATCCTCATGTCCCTAATCCTCCGAATTGCAAGAAACGAGCCTCGGTGGCTCTGATTGTGAGAGTGCGGCCCACATTCCAACATTGGCCCGACAGTAGTAGTGCCGCCGGTGCTCGCTTGCCCGATCGTTCGCTCTCCGTGCAGCAGCAGCTCGACGCTTTTTTTTCGCAACCATGGGTCCAGAATGGTGATCCCGAGGTTTTGTTTATCAAACGCGCTTCTCGAGTTGGAGACCGGTGGACAGGCCATGTTGCTTTGCCCGGAGGCAAGCGAGATCCTGAGGATGCAGACGACCAGGCCGCCGCTGTCCGGGAAGCTTCAGAGGAGATCGGCCTGGATCTGACGACGGACGACTGCATCTGTGTAGGAAATCTACCGGAGAGAGTGGTAACAACCAGCTGGGGGAGTGTGCCGTAAGCGATACTCAGCGATTTCCGTACCTCGCTTTCTGTTTGTGTCTATCTAACCGCTAATCATTCTCCTCCTCGTCGATTAGGTTGATGGTCCTCAGCACGTTTGTCTTCTTGACGACACGAAGCGACTCGCCCACATTAAAACTGCAGCCGACGGAGGTGGCCTCGACTCACTGGGTATCACTCAGAGCTCTTCTCTCGCCGTCACTGAGAACGGTCGAACACGTCGATGTCTCTGCCCGTTTTGCGAAACAGGGAGGGTTCGCTAAGCGTTTTGTCTACCGCTCTACTCTTGGACTCATGCGCTTCGCTGCTATCCGGCTCACACCGACGGAAAGCTTACAATGCAGTTCCATCCCGGGGTTCGTGCCAGAGGACGAGAGCTTATCAGACAATCGTTCTCTGATTCATCGCTGGAAGACGTGGTGTTCTAAAAAACCTACTGATCCGGGTGACCGAGGGAGTTCTCTTCTTCTCTGGGGCTTGACCCTGGGTGTCCTAACCGACTTTTTGGACATGCTGCCCTCCTCCACCGCCGTCCAGCTGTGGACGTACCCAACTTTCACGCCGCCAGATCTGCATCTTATTCTAAGCATAATGACCTACCATCTGCGGAGGCGCAACGCGCTGCAAGCCAAGTCTGGCGTTCGCCCGAATGACGCCTTGGCAGCCCTCTCTGTGAAGACGGAGACCGAGTCCGGTCATGACCAGAACGCCGTTGGTATCGAGGGGCTTGGGGTAGGCCGATATCGCGGATCTTCCGTGAAAGCCGCTGATGGAGAATCATATGCGGTTGGTATCCTCTTGAAAGGGTACTACGATCGTCTCCGCCTTGCTATATGGGTTTTCCTTGTCTGGAGATTGTCCGCCGGCTCGGTTGCGGCATTTTATGCGTGGAAATTTCTGCAACACCGGGGGCTGACCTTCTGGAGACGGTAAATACTTCAACATTAGATTGGATATACACATTTAGGTAATTAAAGAATAATACATGGGCTAGTTGCATACAAAAGCAGAAGACGATAGTGCATGGTTGGTCTTCCTCGTCAACCGTAAATCGATAACCATCCCAAGCTTCCCCACATGTAAACATGCAGACTATCTTTAGCCGCTCCAGGCTCCAGCTCCCTTTAGATAGATACATCCTTCAAGTCAATTACTCTTCACTCATTAGAGCTGCTGTCTATTTTCTTGCTCGACTTACCTCAATTTCAACCTCATGGCAGCCCAGCAGAAACTTTACCCTCGTGGTACCGTCAAACGCATTGTCAAGGCTCACTCGAATCGGAGCGTGAGCAAGAACGCTGATATCCTGGTACGCTTAAAGACCTGAAAGACCGAGATTGAGACACTCACCCCTTATGATCTCAACTGTTATATCAGCATGATAGTATTTGGGCTGACTTCTATCCCGTGTCGGCTTAGATTTTTCTCGACTACATGCTCTTCATGCAAGAGTCAGTCAACTCATCCATAAACCTCAACCGTCTTGCTCGCTCTATCGACTAAAGTACTGATGGGATATATCTTTTTACCAGGCTTATGCGCGAGGCATCGATCCGCTCGCGGAAATCCGGGGAGAAAAATGTGTCTGCCAGCTCTGTTCAAAAGGTCACCGAGGTGAGCAATGGTCTCTCTCCAGAATCACATACACTAATACGTCACTAATACCGTCGGGAATAGAGGACATTACGCAAGTTCAAGGGCTAAATCCCATCACTTGATATATCGAAAGTAAAAGGTTATGGGGTGTTTACCATATCGTCAGGGAGGGAGTCGGCGCAATGGCTGTTGTACAATTTGTTGTTTTCATTTGCAGGGTCTGGAGCATACTCACATTCGTCTTATTTGCTTTACGATACCCCGGTCGGTTTCAGATACAAATCTAGTCATCATCAAGTTTGGATTGGTGGCTATGGGAGCTTTGCGTAGTTATACAGCACCATCTAGTAGCAATGCGGCCCCAGGAAGATTGACTACACATAATTATGGGAATTATAATACCTTAGGAGTGCTACATAATCTAGGACTATAACTTGAAACTCTGACGATCTATTCCTACTGAGATTCGGTTTGGTGAGTCAATTTGTCCTCAGCGCACGCGACTGAGCTTAATCGACAACCCACTTTCGGGGAACTTCTAGCTGAGTCCACGGGTCTAGGATCATCTTCTTTTTCCTTACCTATCACCACATTCTCAGAGATCAATCCTCCTCACACTTCTCTTTTCTATTTTCTTTCTTTGTTCCCCATCCTCAGTTGTTCTGAAGCTGTATTATTCTATTTAATCTCCTTACTATACAGTTACTGTCTTCTGTGATCGATTGAGTGACTGGCTCGGCACACCCACCTCTTACGACACTTCTCACAAACCACCACACAAACCTATCTACCTGCTTTGCTACCATGGCTGCTGCCCCTCAGACACAACCCGAGTCCGCATCGGACAAGTCCAAGGCTGGCAATGCTTCGTCGGCCAATTCCACTGCGTCAGCTGCGGCTGTGGCTGAATATGCGACTAATGGCAACGACGCTTTTGAGCATAGCTACCTGAAGGAACTGCAGAAGTGAGTCCAAACTCTTGAGAGCATAAACAGCTGCTCTTATAGATCTAGATACTAATGTCATGTTTTGGGTAGAAACTTGCGCAATGCCGTTAAGAAACTGGTTCGTGTCTCCGGCCGTCGCTCAATCACCACCTACTTACTCATCCTTATAAACCAACCAACTGATTTCTTTTGTTGATAGAACGCTACCGCCAAGGTCGACACAATCATCGCTGAGAACCCGGGCAGATCGCTAGACGAGTTGGTTGCCGAGAACAAGATTAACGCCGACCAGAGAGCTCAAGCCTTGAAGAAGCCTGCTCTTCAAGCCACCGTGGCTCAGCTCGAGGAGAAGATCGGACACTACAAGCAAGTCACCGCGCACTACGAAGAGCGCCTGACTAGTCAGAAGACCGCGTTGGACAAGGCGCACAAGGAGGAGGTTGAAGCCTTGCGCGAAAAGGTGTTGGCCGAAGCCGCGGAAACCAGCAAGAACCGCTTCACCGAGCAACTGCTCACCCTGAGCAAGTTCCTCTGCGCTGCGGCTAGTGTGAGACGCTCCGGTGATGAGACCTCCACCGACACCCGCGCTTTCGAGGGCGTCTTGTTCCAGGTTTATGGCGGTACCCAGGAGGCTGTTGCTTCCATGTTGAAGCTGATCGACGGAGCGGATGAGAAGGTTGTCAGCGTGGAAGGGGAAACGCTTGAAGTTACCTGTAAATTGATTACAACCCCCCTTTGCACACGACTCCGTGGCAGTTGAACTAGTCTAACCATCTCACTCTAGTCGCCAAGGTGAAGCAGCTTTCCGAGAGCGGTACTGAGGGCACTACTGCTGCCAGCGAGCAGGCAGCCCAGGCCCAGGTCACTGACTGCACCGTGGCCAATGCTGGCCTGACGGAACTCCAGGACTCCGCCTTGACTGCTGGAGCCGTTGTCGCCACCCAGTCCGAGGCCGCTCCTCCCGCGCAAACTCTTGTCTCGGATGCTGCCAATCCGCTCGCCGAGTCCGCATGGGAGCCCACTGCTTCGTCCCCCTCTGCGAATGCCGATGGCTGGGTGGAAGTGCCTCGTGACCCTGCTGAGACCGAGACCGGTCTGCAAGCGACTCCTGCTCAGATCGAAACCGGCCTGAAGAGCGATTTGCCCGCTACACAGCCTACTGGTGCCTGGGCAGAGGAACCCGTAGCCTCCCCTAAGCAGGGCACCGACGGCTTCGAGCCAGTCGTCCACCACCAGAGACAGAACAGCGGACGGGGGCGCGGTCGGGGCCGTGGCCGCGGCGATGGATCCCGTGGTCGTGGACCCCGCGGCGATTTCAGAGGCCGTGGCCGTGGTCGTGGAGAGTTCCGTGGTGGCAACCGTGGCCGCGGAGGCTTTGCTGGACAACAGGGCAGCAACGGTGCTTCCGCTGGCAACTAAATGACCCTACTCTCTCCTAAGCAACTCTACCGCGTTACACTACGCATTATATTCCTCTTCCCTCCCCCCATTTTCTTGTCTTTGATTTCTCGTTTCCCCTCGTCGATTAGCGGTGTTATGGTTCACGAACGCAACGAAACTATTTTTTCAAAAATGCTTTCAAGGAACATGAGTCGTGACGGCGATGAATTTCAATTGGAGGCACAGATCATTTGTCTTTTGCGACAGTTTCTGACACCATATCATTTTTTTCTTCTAAAAAAAAAAGAAAAGCTTACGGATTGTATATGTCCTGCATCTATTCAGCGAGCATATCCTGTTGTTGCTGTTGCCATCTTCTCTCCCCCCCTTCTCTTTTTTTTCCTCCTTCTTCTTCCCGTCTGATATACCTCTTTTATTCTTTCCGGCTTTACTCTCCTGTATTCTGTACTTTGGGTTCTGCCTATTCTAACCATCGGGCTGGCTTTCGGCGTGGGGGGGCTCTGGCACGGGCAACGGACGGAGGGGAAAGGCGGATGGATCTACAGGCTTGCTCCGGAGTATGTAGTAATGCTAGTTAATGGAACAATGGGAGTTGGTCGAAGTGACGGCTTGTCTTCATCACAATCTTAGTGGAGCCTTCCAAGACCCTGTCATCAAACCAGATCGGCTGTAGTGCGTAATATTGTTGCTAATAATAATAGCTCTGAAATGGTCTTCACGGCTCGGCCCAGTTACCGCCCAGACAGCGGGGATGTGTGTACTGCTAGGAGGGAGACGGAAACTCCGGTTGTCACAATCAATATATGATTGTATTGGCCCTTGACCAAAGGCCAGATCTCCAGTACAATCTTTGGTCTTCGCGTTATGTTGTTGTAAACCCGTGTCTTTCATTATTGATATCTCTTTCTTCAAACGCAGTCGGTCTTCCCACGATCTCTTTTCGCTATGGCGCCCGCTCCGGTCTCTGTCCAGCAGCAGCAACGGAGAAAGATCCTGACTGTTTTGATGATATCCCTTCTTTTGGATCTGGTCAGCCAATCCGATTTTTATATCGTTGAAAGATACTGTGTGCTAATTGAGGTGGTTTAGATTTCGTTCACGTTTATCCTGCCGCTGTTCCCCTCCTTGTTGACCTTCTACCGCAACCGAGACCCTTCGCCCAACTCCCTGCTGAACCGGGTCTTCCACTACCTGAACGCGTATAAGAACTCGTTTGCGCGTCCGATTGATTCTCGCTACGATATCGTCCTCCTCGGGGGTGCGCTGGGCTCGCTCTTCTCGTTGCTGCAGGCCATCGCTGCGCCCTTCATTGGCCGTCTGTCCGATCAGCATGGCCGCCGGACCGCCCTGCTCTGCTCCATGGTCGGGAATATCCTGAGCGTCGCCCTCTGGGTGGCCGCCACCGACTTCCGGACTTTTCTCGCCAGCCGTGTCGTCGGCGGGCTGAGTGAGGGGAACGTCCAGCTCGCCAACGCGATCGCCACGGATATCAGCGATGAGTCGCAGCGCGGCTCGACCATGGCCCTGGTGGGCGCCTGCTTCAGCATCGCCTTCACCTGCGGGCCGGCCTTGGGAGCAGCGCTCTCCAACATCACCACCGTCGCGGCCAACCCGTTCGCAACCGCCGCGGGAGTCTCGCTGGCCCTGATCGTCCTGGAGACTGTGTACATCTACTTCCGTCTCCCGGAAACGCACCCTCGCTTCACCAAGTTGAAGCGCCCTTCTTCTTCTACTACCACTACGCCGGATGGCTCTACCTCCGACTCTGCTCACGAACCAGCCGACGTCGCGCCGGCTCCTCATCAGCACGTCAACAACCCCGCGGTCTTGAACATCCTACATCTGCTTTTCCTCCTCCCCTTTTCCGGTCTGGAGTTCTCACTCCCCTTCCTAACCGCCACGCTCTACGCCGGGAATAGCACCAGCAGCCCCTCCGCCCTGAATGGCCGGCTGCTCTCGCTGATGGGTCTGATCGCCTCCCTGCTTCAAGGCACCGTCGTGCGCCGGGTCTCCCCCTTGCTCACCGTGCGGGCGGGTGTCGTTGCATGCGCGTTGGCCTTCTTCCTCCTCGCGCGCGTCTCCTCCATCACAGGCCTCTACGCCTCCGGCTGTCTACTAGCCGTCACCAGCGCGACGGTAGTCACCGGCCTGAACAGCCTGGGCAGCTTCGAGGCCCGCGAGGGCGAACGTGGCCGTGTCCTCGGTCAGCTGCGCTCCTGGGGTCAGGCCGGCCGTGCTGCGGGACCCTTGCTTTTCTGCTCGCTCTTCTGGTGGGTTGGCCGCGAAATCGCCTACACCGCCGGCGGCCTCGCCATGCTGGTCGTCTGTGTCGCGGTGTTTACCTTGCTCAAGGCCCCTCCTGTCACCAAGGTGAAGAGTACTTAACTACCTTGCATACCAAGAAGATCATTTGATAGTTCTATATATATATATATATGTGTGTCTACTGGCTGGTTCAGTATGTCTGTATGTAAAGGAAATTCAATGCAAATTAAACGCACTCTATGTCGTTCTAGATTACCTTGTTTGATTATACCAGAGTAAGAGTAGAGATATCAGATCATGGGTGGAGATGGTCTCGTCTTCCTATACAGACCGTAGTTTCAAGAACCAAATAAAAAGAGAAAAAAAAACACTGTACAGCCGGGCCTACTGCAGACCCCTACCAAGCGTACGGTATCGGGCTCTTCGCCGGCAAATTCGAATGGGACGAATCATGTATTCTCCTCGTTTCCGTAGGTAGCGGCAGTTTCGACCCTGTAGAGAAGCAATTGCGGTGTCCGGATTCCCGGTACCCTTGCATTGCCAGCCCTGGTTTCGGCGTCGAGGGCTCGAGGGACTCTCGCGCCTTGCCGATGAGCCAGTCCGTCAACGCAACGAATTTGGATGTCCGCTCCCACCCGTTTGCATTGTCTGCATGCTCGATGGTGTGTGTTAGAATGCGCCCTTTCTCGTCAAAAGAGAAGATGAAAAGTCCTGTAAACTGCTCTTCATGCGAGAGCTTGAAGATCGGCGCGTCGCCGCCCAGAAGCATGCTGAGACCCTTGTTCGTTCCGGCTTTGGATGTCGAAAGACGGCTGTGTGTTTCCGCGTCGCTAACTGATCCTCTCTGGGATTCAGTGGTCTCGGAGGTCGGGGCAGTATAAGAAAAGGAAGGGGTCGTTGATGGTGATGATGATGATGATGACGTCGTCGTCGTCGACGATGAGCCCGTCGCGTCCTTCGGCTCGGTCTTCCATCGCACGACCAGCCGTTCGTCACCGCATTCGCTGTCTCTGCATGGGCCTGGATCCAATACAGTCCCGGCTCGGACGATGCGCTCGCTCAAGATCTGCAGTTTGATGTTTCCGACAATCGGAACGCTACCCCAAGCAACAGGTACAGTCCATAGAGCAGCACGGTACAGGGTTCGTCCCTTGACCGTCGGGAGATGGGGGTGTGTCGAAGGGAAAAGGTGGAGGGTAACGCTCGGCGAGAGAAGTTCCGGGGGTAACGGGTTGAAGAGGATCGTCGGGAGCAATGGCGAGAGAGTGCGGAGGGCTACAGAACGTCCCCCGGAGTCAGCGCAGCTGTAATTAATCTTGTACAGTTGTATAGCCACTTCACATACTCTTTCCTAGCTTCAGCGTCCGCTCATCTGGCGGCTTGTGATCGCCCTCCGAACCGCCTGACCTCCGCCGATCTGTAGATGAGAATGTCGTTGTTGAGGAAGACGGAGTCAACCAAGAATCGTCCGTAATCCCATTGCAAATCTGGGCAAGAGGCCGTCGCGGAGAGGAAGCAAACGTTTGACGACTTGCTAAGAAGGGTATTCGCGTGGATTTGTTGGCGTGGAAGGGAAGAAGGCATCGCATTACCGTGCGGGGTGGAGCTTTAGCAGAGGCAAGCTTCGGCATGGTCAGAAATCACGCCTATCGTGTCTCATGATAACAAATGAAGAAAAGGATCAAAGTCCCCAAGCCATCATGCATCATAGGAGGGCTGCAGTCGAGAAGTGTTCTGGTGTTGAAGTTGCCGGTTGCTGTTTTCGCCAGAATGACGTTGACAGACAATTTAGCCAAGCCGATAACGAACAACAAGTAGCAGCGAGTGGATTACATACAAACAAAACCAATTTTTCTTCAAAACTCCTTCATCATGAAGCATAATAGATTAAGATAGCATGTTGGTGTGGATTATTTATCGTCACCAAATCAGACAGAATGTCAAAAGATACAGCTCAAGCCAGCTCATCATCCTCTTCGCCCATCAGGCGCTTATCCACCAAGTCCCTGATCTTATCCTCCAGAACGCTGCGATCATATCTCTGGGCAACTTTGACCGCCGCTGTGAGCATCTTGCCGCTGCGGTCTCGCATCATCTGAACGATCTCCAGAGCCTTCATGCCGCGTTCCTCGCCTTCCCGGCATTCAACGGCCAGCATCTGCAGGAGAAGTTTATCGACCTCGAGCTCCTTTCTAGCCAGCTCTGCCCGTTGGCTAGCAGTGGCATTTGTCGATGACAGGAGATCCTGGTACAGAGAGAGGAGAATATTGCCACGGACAAAGGATTCTTCGAACCGGGCAATCTCATTGCGCTCAGCGGTCTCATCCTCCTCCTCGTTCGTCTTGGGCGGCTTGGTGGATATCGGGATTTTGAACTCGAATTCGCTGAGTAGAGGGCGAGGAAAGTACGGATATCTATCTCCTCCCTTCAGGATGATACAGTGGAATTTCTCCTGAGCCATGGCAACGGGCCAGTACGTCTCTTCCTTGCGACCAGTGGCCAGTCGGTCCATCTGCCTTGTGTCGAGGAGAGGCACCCAGCGTGCTTGACCTTGGATGCGCCAGTGTTGAAGTACCAGCAAGACACCATTCGAATCATAAATACACGGGTCCTGTATCTGGTAAGCCTAAAGTGGAATGTGCAAACGCTTGGATTTCTTACCCCAGTGTCGGAAAAGAAGACGCTTTGCAACTCTGTGCCTTCAGAGATAGCAACCACGTCTTCGTTCTGGTGAATCTCATCGCGCTTGACGTTCTCGATAGAATAGCGCAGTGTCGTCTTGCCGTCACCTCCCAGCGGTCCATTTCCGATGGTCATGATATAGTCCCTCCATGCGGCACAAGTCACTGCCGGGCTCTTTTGTCTGTATACTTTGTACGGCGTTCCAAACAGTGTATATATACGAACGTAATCTTTCGATGTCACAGCGACAATATATGAATCACTTAGCGCCAGGGCTAATGTTGTTAGCAAGGAACGACTCTCCATCCACCAGAAACAATCATAAACTAACCTTTGACAAACTCTCCCTGCGGCAGTTGTGTGCGCCAGTCTGCTCTAGTAGTCCATGTCTCATGGGGGCGGTAAAAGATAGTCGCCGGGCTGCCATCATTGGGGTTATTGGAGAATAGGCTTCCATGCTCATCTACCGCAATTAGTATATTGATTCTCAATCCAGGGATTTGTGTGTGTCCTACTGAGACAGGCTTTATCATAAAGATATGGGTCTGTGAAATGAAAGTCGCGATGCAGCTCTCGGTCGTAGAACTCTACAGTGACTGTGTGGTGTGTCTCCTGGTCGACAGTCCAGATAGTCCCGGTCAGGTTCAAGCCTAACATGGTCAGCACCCAGAAACAAAGACTTTTAGTAGAATCGGAAGATCCATACAGAGATAACGTCTGCTCCCCTTCCATGGTGTACTGCCCGGTTGAATTGGTAGATGCACCCTTGGTCGCCATTGCGATTCCATCAATCTTTTGGCATCATGACCGCGAGGGTCGTCTAGATGATCATTCGTGCGTTTACCGAAAGAATTGATACCCTCAGCATAACCAGCCCCGTCATCATCTTCAACGAAGTCATCCATGCCATCGACAGACCCCAAAATGTCATCCAAGGAGTCGGGAGTCCCTGCTCTTCTTCGTGGCGGTATGGGCTCTTTCGGGCGGTTTGCCAATGGACGCATAACATTCTCGGACATCTCCGCCAACGCTCCACCATAGATCGGGGCGGCCTGTAACGGTTTTGCCAGAAGTGGCTGATATTCCTTCGGCACAAAATCATCGTGGATGAATAGTTCGCCATCAAGTGTCGTGAATGACAGCGAGTTTTGGGTTGGATGCCATGACAGATTGATTACACTCGGGAAATCATATCGCTGCAACACAGTCTGCGATTTTGTTTCCCAGAGTAGAATCTGGCCATCTGTCGCCGCAGTCGCAAGCAAGGCACCATTTGGCGACCAGCTGAGTGTCGTAATGTCACCGGTATGACCTCCTGAGAACACCTTCTCCTTTCGCCATTCCGCCGTCGAATAGATGGAGATATCTCTTGTCGCTTCTGCAGTCGCAAATGCGGTACCATCCGGGTGCCATACCGCTCTCGATGTTGCCTCTTTGTCTGCTTCAAGTTTGCGGATTACACCGTCCAATTTCTTGAGAAGCTGTGGTTCGTCTTCAAGCATAGAGTAGATATACAAGAAACCGTCGGTGCAAGAGACAAGAACATATCGTCCGGTGGGATCGAAGGTCACATGCTTGGCTCCCTTGGCTTGATCACGAAGATACTTCACTTTTGTCATGTCCTCCACATTGACCACTTTGATCGTAAGCTCACTTTCGAACCAATTGTCAGTATTCAAACCGCCAAGAGCAATTCTGCTCACACTTACTCGCTTGCAACAGCAACCCATTCTCCATCCTTAGAAACATCAATATCCCGCACAGGCAGCGCGCAGCGCACGAGTAACTTGTCCATCCGTCCAGACTCGAGATTGTACTGCCAGACTGTTCCATCCTCCGCGCCCATGATGAAGGAGTCATTCTGAAACCAGTTAATTGAATGCCCTTACAGTTGCAAAAGCATAGGAGCATACAGTAGCACCGATCCCCAGATGGCCCTCAACGCCCTCATCAACCGTCATGGGCTCTCCATCTTGTCCAACAGAGTAGATTCGAATGGCAGAGTTGGAGCCACCAGTAACCACCTTCTTTCCATTGGGCGTATACGCCAAAACCGTGATCCCGGGGGTATCTAGAAGTCATCACTATCAGCCTCAAGGAATCTTTTATTCTAATTATTAGAGATAGTGATTGCTCACGGGCCGGCCGGCCCCTCGGGCGAATCGCATCGAGGCTCATGGGTTGAAGCAACCCAGGATGGGTTCAAGGAGAATTGTTCACTGAATTCGTAATCACTCAAGATTATGTGATAAAAGACACAATCGGTATCATCTGTTAAGTTGCAGGTCTGGTAGGTCTAGCAGTGCATGTTGGACATATGGAGCGTCCTAATCCTCTCTCCAGGTCGCCAACGTTGAACGCGTAGAGATCCCGCGACGCGTCGGCCGACGTATATTAGTTACCAATCACGGGGTGTATTTAGGGCTTAGGGCTTAGGTCTAGGGCTTGGTTCAAAATACGCACTCTGTGCTACATACAATCACATTCTTACAGCAAAGGGTTAATGATCTCTGAAGAAAGATGATTACCAAGGTAGCTAGGCTAGCTAGGTGGCCCAGCTGCTGTAAGGAAATCAAAATCTACTCCTTCCTGTGCTTGATTTACTGATCGCTCGTACAAGCCACGGTAGCCCCTTCTTTGCCGTCGTTCCGCCCATGGCCCGTCGCCGTCCAGGAGGATCTTTCGCCGGAGATCAATACGAGCCTTGAGCTGCTCGTCGGGAATTTCGAGATGGAGCCTCTGATTTGCTACATCGCATGTGATCAGGTCTCCGGTTTCTATCACTCCAAAAGGTGACTCCGGCAAAGCAGACTCGGGCGAGATATGGAGGATTATTGTGCCACCTGCTGTTCCGGACATTCGTCCATCTGAGAGCCGCAACATGTCCTTGACATTTTGCGTTGCAAGCTTGCGCGGAATCGGAATCAAGCCGGCTTCAGGCATTCCAGGATTTCCAATCGGTCCAATGCCTTTCAAAACAAGCACCGAGTTCTTTTCAACCGGCAAGTTAGGGTCGTCGATTCGTTGTGCCAGATCAGCAGAGTTTTCAAATACAACTGCCGGGCCGGTGTGTGACAGTAAAGAACGGTCCTTGGACGCTGAAGCCTTCATGATTGCCCCATTGGGAGCGATATTTCCATAAAGGACTACCAGAGACGAGGATTTGTACAAGGGATTCGAAAGAGGTCGTATAATCGACAGGGAATACTCGAAAGCTCGAAAGCGTGAAGTGTCCAAAACTTCCCCCAGAGTCTGGCCAGTGATGGTCAGTGCCGAAAGATGAAGAAGTGGATGAAGAGTGTGCAGCAGCGCCAACATTCCTCCAGCTTGATGAAAGTCGTTCATATAATTATCGCCACTGGGTTTCAGGTCGATCAGCAGAGGAGTTTTGAGGCCGATTTCCTCAATTGTGTCTAGTGTGATCACTCCTTGAAGAGCCGGATGTCTATTCGCGATAGCAAGCAGATGTACGACGGCATTGGTCGAGCCGCCTATTGCCTGTAACACTGTGATTGCGTTGAAGAAGGATTCCTTTGATAGGATTTCTTGCGGTTTCCGCTTGACCTTTGCGACAGCCACAGCGTTTGCGCCAGTTTCTTCGGCGATCCTGAGCCGTGCAGACGACACTGCAGGCGCCGATGCACCCTTGAGAGGCATCATACCCAAAGCAGCGGTAATACAAGCCATTGTGCTTGCAGTCCCCATAACACCACACGTTCCTATCTATAAGTGTATCAGTAGCATTCAAACACTTGAATCTCCAAAATGGAAAGAACTAACTGTTGGAGCCAGTTCCTCGTTTATGGCAGCTATCTCCTCGACGTCTATCTCGTTCGCTCGAAAAGCAGCCCAATTGTTCCGACAATCAGTACAAGCCCCTACTCTCTGGCCGCGATGACTCCCCGGGAGCATCGGCCCAGTGACAAGAGGCAATATCGGTTTGTTGGCCGAGATCCCGCCCATCAGCTGTGCAGGGACTGTCTTATCACAACCTAGAAAAAAAAAACAGATAAAATGTTGATGAACCAGTTATTTCATACTTTGCAAGACCTGTGATCTACTCACCTCCAATCATTATACAAGCATCCAGTGGCTGCGCCCGGATCATCTCCTCGGTGTCCATGCTCATCAAATTCCGCAAGAACATACTGGTCGGGTGCGCAAAGGATTCGTGCACGCTGATAGTTGGGAACTCTATAGCCAGTCCTCCATTCAGCTGGACGCCTCTCTTCACAGCCTCGATGAGCTGTGGCACATTCGCGTGGCATGGGTTGAACCCCGAGTAAGTGTTGATGATGCCGATGATGGGTCTGGAAAGAGCGTCCTCCGAGTATCCCATGGATTTGATGAAAACCTTTCTCAGGAATAACGAGAAATGCGCATCTCCATAGGACGTCAAGCCTTGCCGAAGGCCAGACTCTGAAGCGATGGGCCGCGAGATATCATAGTCATCGACACTTGATGGTTCGGCTTGTCGTTCCTCATGATGCTCCATGGCTATTGTTTCTTTGAAAGTTATTATAACTTATCAACAATATTCAGAGGTATGATTAGGCAATGAATCACTTCACGATCCTCGATGAGGTGATCAGACGTCTAAACTTCACCATCGGCGCATCTCCGGGCCTCGGATTCTTCCCCGCTCGATGTTGCTTGATCGTGCTCTCAGTGACAATGAAAGTAGAATTAAGTGTTTGTTGATTGGCCTGGTTTAATTCATATCTACTATAAAAGAGCTAATCACAGACCCTCTATTCGCTGAACATGGTCTCAACTAATACACCTCTATATATGTCATCAAAGATGGATAGAGAGACAAAGAGACCAAGGAATTTACACTTCCTATCTAATATCGAATGATCGTACTTTCTTACCGTGTGGTCTTTATGGTCCTTCTCGCGGCAAGACAATTACGAATTCTGACTTAACTACTCTACTTTAGTATAGATACAAATAAATAGAATCTCACTAGATGGTTATCTTTAAATCTTCCCGTACTTAAAAGTGAACTAAGTCTACACTCTTGATTTTATCCTGACTCGAATCTCTCTACTCGGAAGAAATGCACCAGTAGCCACCTTATGGCCTGGGATGGCCCATTTCTTCCCACCCACGGGCTCAATATCCCACATTAGAAGAATCGCAGCGACAAACGCCAGCAGCTCCCGCTCTGAGAACTGCTGAAGTTTGAAATTCAATACGCCGCCGCTGAAAGGGCGGACGGTGCGCGGGTCCGCCTTCTTTTCCTGGGTATCGGGATCGGTAACGATGAAGCGCGACGGGTCGTACTTTGTTGGATCAGCAAAGTAGGCGCTATCGTTCTGGTGCACGCCATGTGGGATAATGACGTACTCTCCCTTCGGGAGTCGGTACTGGCGAGGCCCCTGCGGCGAACAGTTCATGAAGGCGTCCTCTTCGGGTTCCCTGATGGTAACATCCGCCGTGAGCTCGCGGAACGAGAGCGGAGCACAGTCGAGCCGGAGAGCCTCGTAGCAACTAGCCCGGAGCAAGGGACAGGAGCTAAGTAGCGCGTCCAGATCGATAGAAATCCGAGGCGGTTCCTGGAAGGGAAACCCCGTTTCTTCGCGAGTGAGACGAGAAGCCTTGGCAAACGGCGCCACCTCCTCTCTGATCTGGACGAAAAGGTCCGGGTCGGCCAAGATCCGCAACAAGGTCCAGAATACCATGGGCGCGATATTGGCGTTCATCGCCCACAGCAGAGACAAGTGTGCCGGGGCGCTTTCGCGGGGGCTGAGACCCAGGTCTCTGAACGCCCGGATACGCTCCTTGATCGGCTCTGAGACGTCGTCCAAGTCACTCAGTTCGAATCCCGGGTTTCTCCCGTCGTCCCATTGGATAAACGCCTGGTGAAACGAAGTCAGAGAGCGAAGCAGGCGCTCACGAGCCGTAAACGCGCCCGACACGCCCGGCAGCGGAATCCAGAAGGGCACTCCCATCGAGAGGGCGACCGCATGGTTGTCTAACGTCCAGAGATCCCCAAGAAATCCCGGGAAGGTCTCGACAAATGCCTGGCCCATGAAAACGGTCGAGGTAAGGTGGCCGACAAAATTTCGGACGAGAGAGAACATATTAGCTTCGCAGACCAGCGAATCCGCCGCATCGTCCGGGACAATTACTTGACTGCATCGCTCCCAGATAGCCTGGTCGACCATACTCTGGCAGAACCCTACCAGATTCGGCGTCTCCCGTTCGATCAGACGAACCAGCGACGTTGACGCATCGGAGAGGAATGGCTCTCGCATGAACTGGCTAGGAATCTTTTGGTGGATGGCATGCGAATCCTCGGGCTTCAGCCGCCGCTGCGTGCCACGGTCCCCGAAGACTTTCTCCAGGATATACTTCGTCGTTGAATCGCTGGAGACGTCTCGAGAGAGCAGAACAGAGTCGATCATTGGCGGTGACAGAACCACGTTCTGCTTGACACCACCCATATATAACCCAAACACGGGTTCTTTTACTGAGCGCCTGCATTGATCAGCTTTCGTTCGGAGAGAGAGAGGGGGGGGGAAAGAAGAAAGAGAAAGGGGGCAGTTCGGGCTCACCATGTCCTCGAAATGAAATATAAAGGATTCCAGGCAACGAAAGGTGCATGACCAACCCATGGAATCCAGTACGGAGCGACTGACACGTTTCGAGTATCGTCATTATTCCCCGTCTGTACTGTTGTCGACCTGCTCTGCAAGCCGGAGAGGATGCGGGTTGCGATGCACGAGAAGACCACAACGGCCACGGCAGTCTGCCAGGCCGATCCAGGGAAACCGCCCCTTTCCGTTTGGAATAGACTAGGGGACAACTCGTCCTGTCCCATGGCTGCTGGGGGTGGAAAATGTCGATGACAGCGTAAGGTAGATTGTTGTGGTTTATTTCTATAGCTGCTTACGTCACGATATTGGTTCGTACTAATTACCACTAACCAGTTATGACACTAGCCAGGTAATCAGTTCTTTCGATGATAATTCACTATGAAGAAGCAGTTAATTAATTGACAAGGTTTCGCACGAGGCAAAAAGAAAAAACATAAACAAGTTCCCAGTCCGGGAGTCGAACCCGGCGCTGCTGGGCACTAGACTTTCTATGAAAGCCAGCTATGTTACCGATACACCAACTGGGAGAGCATGCGGACGGGCTCGACTTTTGACATGATGAGCCAGAACATTTGAGGGATTCAAAAATACATACGATATATCCCTAACCTAGGGATTGAGCAGCACCCTACATTTTAAAGAGTAATTCTCTATCATATTATCTACATATAAAGGTTTGAGATATCAAGTAGAGTTATAGAGTTTACTAAATCCTATAAACAATGTAGAACTTGGTGTATGGTTGATGTACATGTATTCAGGATACACAGAACCGACGTAGAATTGACGTAGGAATTTGATGTAGAATCGGCGTAGGTTCATAGAATTCCTTAGCCATAGTAGTAAAGGCAAAAATGGTTGGCATGCTAAAATACATGGAGTGAAGACAGGTCTGGAAGCTACTATATACCATACATACCGTGTAACAGTGACGGCTAATTTTCGCTTTTGAGAACTTTCTCCAATCCAGAACCCTCATCCTCATACTTCGCGATCTTATTCTGGGCAGCGTAGACCTTGTTTAACAACCATTGAATCCGCAATTGCAGCTCCCGGGGCTGTTTTGGCAGCTGACCGAGCAGCTTGAGTTCCTCCTCGTACGTCGCGATGCTCTTGTTCTGCTTGCTGATGAGCTGTGCGAGGATGGCCAGGTCCAATCGCGTGCTTAGCGCTTTGTTCTCGGTCAGCCGCTGGAAGACGGCTTGGAAGATCGGTTTGCCTGGTTTGATCCAACGCGGGGAACCGTCGACAGAGATGATGCTGATGAGTTCGGCTTGCTCCAGGCTACGGAGGGTACCTTCACCGTTATCCTTGAATAGATCAGAGAGAATGATCTGATTATAGGACATGACTCCGGATTTGGTGTGAGCAAGAGCCTTGATCAGATGCCAGACCTGCTCTCGCGTCCACTGATGTTGGGAGTTATCGGCCGCGGTGTCAAGGATGAACGATTTCAAAATCTCCGAGGCAGATTGGTCGATGATTCGGTTGACAGCGCCTAGACGAGTCTGTTAACCCTACCATCTCATAAACAAACATGCTAGAGAGTTGATACTCACCTCGAGGCGTGTCGCCCACTTTGATACGCTGCGCCATGAATTCAAGATCAGTCACACGCCCACCTAGGGCTTCAATACAGGCATCAAGATCTTCCAGTTTGCTGGAATCCTGCGGGTCCGGGCTCTCGTCTGCTATCTCACGTTCCAGATGATTGAGCACGAACCGCCTCCCAACATCAAGCGAGCAGTCACCCAGTGAGATGCTGCGGAAGACCTGGTTCGGCAGCGCCTTGCTGAGTGGCTTCGCAAACGATATATCGGTGGTCAGGAAAATGACGTGAGCGATGTTCCCAGCTGTCAAACCCGCTGCCCACTCGGTGATCTTGGCGTAAACGACGTCGTCCTCGCTTGCATTGTGGAGATAGTTGTCGATAACAACGACGGGGCGCTTTTCCGGGTGTGAGTCGAGATACTCTTCCTCGGTCAGGTGCGCTCCTTTCTCGTCCTTTTTATGGTCCTCGAGAGCAACTTGTTTGAGAGCAGTGGCGGTGCTCTGCCAGATCTTGCTGAGCTGGACATCCAGTGTCTCCGAGAAACCGGCCTTGGTTCCAATCATGCCCTGCGCGGCAAGGTCGATGAAGCTGCTGATACTGTTCATCCAGGAGAAAACCGGGCGATAACCGACCTGGGCTGCCGCCTTGGTAATTTTGGCAGCGTCTCCTCTTGCATCCTGGATCTGCTTGCAATCGATCACGATCTTGTACTTGCGGTCCTTGAGCGTCTGATCTAGCACTAGCTCACGCTTTCCAGACCCCCGCGGTCCCTGAACAACTATAAATGTTTCGACGTTTTCTGTCAACCACGCCTGCAATTGAGAGATCTCTGTTTGAAGGTTCTCCCAGATGGCCATGAGACCGCGGACTTCGCTTTTTCCATGATGCCCAAAACGGAAGCTGGCTTTGCTCATCTGTTTCTGGACCCACCGGAGGATGGCATTTCCTTCCGACTGTGCGCTGGCCTTGATCTTCAGCCTGATAAAGAACGTGCGAATGGGGTCGAAGATGATGACGGTGATGGTGGCGACAATGGCGGCGAGGATGGGGAGGACAATGCGCGGATGACTGAGCAGCCAGTTATTAATCATCGACAGCTTGATCTTACGTTCGTATTGGAGTTTCAGTTTTGTTCCAGATTTCCCACCCCCATCCGTCTCCGGCAAGACGAACCCATGCAGGCAGTTGCGCGCCATAACCGCATACTTGGGCCGCCTGAACTCCACATAAGCGTATCGGGGGACGACTTTAGAATCAGATGGCTGTCTCTCGATAGTTTTCAGCTTCCCATACGGCCGCAGCAGTGAGTACAGAGTCTCCTGCGTCAGCTCGGCGGCTGACGACTCCGGAGTCGTCGGTAAGAACTCGATCTTGAGCCGCTGGCTGGGGATCCGATAGAGATCTTCGATCCATGGTCTGCCAAGAACGCGAGCAGCTTCAACAGACTGGAAGGGATTGAACCACGGCCGGATGGGATGCTCTGCCAGATGGGCCCTGATCGCATCCTCCACCTGGGTGCTGTCGACCTCAGCGCCATGCGAGTACTTGACGAACGCTCCCCCTTCATGCACCCGAGGCACGATATCCTTGATCTCTAGCGGCAGCTTTTCCGGCAAGGCCCGTCTGATAATACTCACGGGGTCCGACGCTGCGATATGCGGTCTATCGATCCTTTTCAGTGCATCTTCGAAGGACCGAGTACCTCTCAGCGGTATCCGGAGCAACCATTGTAGCTTGGGGGGGAAGATGTCTGCACATTAGTTTCCATCCATATAATGATAATGAATATTCAATAATAAATACATACTGTTGACAAAAATCAAGTGTTCACCATCCTTGATCTCGATATGTCCTGCCTTGACAGACGACGTGCGCGCCCCCGCAGGAGGGAATGCACCTGGTCTGATGATAGGCAGCCTCGTGTGCCGTGCATTGCTATATAGACCATTTCTGAACGGACCTCTAGCAACAGAGAGCGGTATCATCTTTGCAAGCATGTAAGCATGGTGTAGGTCATTGTCAAACAGCTCGTCGAGCTGGGGGGAGGAACCCGAAGTTATGACGTCGACGGGGGGTTAAGAGGACCTGTTATTAAAAAATCACGTGATGCGTATGGTAAGTTAATTACCATTCGGAATTTACAAAAGTTACGCCCAACACCAGCGACTGCATCGACTATCATAACAAGAGTATCGATCACAACATCCTCACCATGGGCTGGTTATGGAAAGCTCCTCAGCAGAGGCAAGAGTCTACACCAGATGCACCAGATGCATCATCAACAGGGACGCCTCCTCCCCCCCCCGCACTCACCAGAGAGGAACAAGCCGATGCAGAACTGCGCCAATTCCTCGCCAGCTTCGAAGAAGCAAACCGACAAGCCTCATTGACAGACACTCCTACACAATCGAATCTACAATCGACCCTACAGTCGAACCTACCATCAAATCCTCCTACACAATCGCCTCCCGGGACTACCCCAGACTCTATCGCCCCCGAAGCCCTCTACGCAGACAGCATGTCCTGCCGCAGCGCCTTCGACTACGCCTTCTTCTGCCAATCCTTCGGCGGCCAGTTCGTCAACGTCTATCGGTACGGCGAACTCCGCTCCTGCAGCGAACACTGGGAGAATTTCTGGCTGTGCATGAAGGCGCGCACCTACGCGGAACCGCGCGCCAAGCAGGTCATCCGCGACCATAACCGGATGCGCGCGCAGAAGTACAAGACCGGTCCCAGCAGTGAAGATGTGTGGGACATGCGTGTGCGGCCTGTCAAGGATGCCTTTTCGGGTGATTTCGCGGCTATGGAGGCTGAGATGGAGGCCGAAGCTGCTGCTCAGCCGAGTACATAACTTACCTCTCTTCGATATAAATGGAAGAAAAAAAAGGGTATGATGACGATAGATATAATTGTACGATAGGCGTTATGTTTATAATAAATTACGGCTACAGGGCCAGATACTCCGCTAAAGCATCCACAAGAAGAGAAGACACGATGGTAGAAGATTAATTATGTACATGCAATCGCAATGGGAATCTCAACATTGACAGGAGAAAGGACGGAATGGGCAGAATGGGCCACACCTGATACATCTGTTCTCAGCGGGAAAAAGTAACGAGCTCAGATGCAATCTAGTAAGTGTGCTGGGAGCGTCCGAGACGCCGAACATCCTGCCTCGCGAACTCCTACATCCAAAAAAGAAACGGATATCACAATTGGAGAAAAAAAAGAGGGAACCAACTGTACGGAGCAGACCAAAAAAAAGAAAAAGAGCAAGGGAGTTGGCTTTTTTTTTAAACTTCTTTTGCATGAACTTTTCACGTCAAAGTCATTATCATCAAGTGTGTAGCGCAGCCAGGTTTAAGCGGCGGCAACCTGGATCTCCTGGATCTGCGGAACAGCATCGATGGCAGGACGACGCACAATACCGCCAGTGACGGGAAGTTGAGAGCTGGTGCCGCTCAGGAACGAGTCGACTTCGCGGGCGCACTGACGACCCTCGTTGATGCCCCTGTGACAATTAGTATTAAAGGGTCTTAAAGGTTGAATTGATGGGGGGGGGAAGAGAAACTCACCAGACAATCAGAGATTGTCCGCGTCTGCAGTCACCTGCAGCAAAGACACCATCGACGTTGGTAGAGTAACGGCCCGGAGGCGTCTTGACGTTCTTGCGGGCATCGCGTTCGATCACGTCGCCGAGAAGGCGGTCCTCAGGACCCAGGAAACCCATGGAAAGGAGGACGAGGTCGGCAGGGAAGAACTGCTCGCTGCCCTCGACGGTCTTCATGTCCCAACCGCCGGTGGCGCTCTTGGTCCATTCCACACGGACGGTGTTGATACCCCGGACCCGGCCGTTGCCGTCGTCGACAAACTCCTTGGACATGACACAGTACTCACGGGGATCCTTGCCCATGTGGGTCTTGACCTCGGTGTGACCGTAGTCCACACGGTAGATGCGAGGCCACTGGGGCCACGGGTTGTCACCCGCACGCTCCGGGGGAGGCTGAGGCAGCAGCTCGAAGTTGACGACGGACTTGGCGCCGTGGCGGACCGAGGTACCGATGCAATCGTTACCGGTATCACCACCGCCAATGACAACGACGTGCTTGTCCTTGGCGGAGATGTACGCGCCATCCTCCAGACCGGAGTCGAGCAGGGACTTGGTGTTCTTATGCAAGAACTGCATGGCGAAGTGAACGCCATCAAGCTCGCGGCCGGGTACCTTGAGGTCACGGGCCACGGTGGCGCCGGTCGCAAGGATGACAGCGTCGTTGGAGTCGCGCAGGGACTGGAGCGAGATATCGTTCTCCGCGCCCACGGCGGTACCGGTGACAAACTTGATGCCCTCGGCAGCCATCAGGTCCACACGGCGCTGGACGACCTTCTTGTCAAGCTTCATGTTGGGGATACCGTACATGAGCAGACCGCCGATGCGGTCCGCGCGCTCGTACACGGTCACACTGTGGCCGGCGCGGTTGAGCTGGTCCGCCGCGGCGAGACCGGCGGGGCCGGAGCCGATGATGGCGATAGTCTTGCCGCTACGGACCTTAGGAGGGCGGGGCACCATCCAACCCATCTCGAAGCCACGGTCGATGATGGCACACTCGATTGACTTGATGCCAACGGGGTCCTCGTTGATGCCCAGGACGCAAGCACCCTCGCAAGGGGCGGGGCAGACACGACCCGTGAACTCGGGGAAGTTGTTGGTCATCAGAAGACGGTTGAGAGCATCCTGCCACTGGTTCTGGAACACCAACTCGTTCCACTTGGGGATGATGTTGGAAATGGGGCAACCAGTGTCCGACTGGCAGAAGGGCACACCGCAATCCATGCAGCGGGCCGACTGGTACTTGAGCTCGTCCTCGCTGAGGCGATTAGACAGCTCAGCCCAGTCGCGCGTGCGAGTGACCGGGTTACGGTACTTCTCGCTGCGGCGGCTGTACTTCATAAAACCGCGAGTCTTGTCGAGGATGAGCGCGGAGCGCTTCTTCTCAGTCTTGGAGTCGCTGATGCTGTCTTCGATGTCCAGCAGATCGGCGGCCTTCTTAGCAGGCTCCTCAGCCTTAGCCGCAGGCTTCTCGGCAGCCGCGGGCAGCAGGGGCAGCGCGAACTCGGCCTTCTTGGCAGCTTCAGCCTTGGCGGCCTCCTCCAGCAAGATACGCTTGTAGTCGGTGGGGAGGACCTTGACGAAATGGGGCAACGCGCGGGTGAAGTCGAGGAGGATGCGGGCCGCCCGCTCAGAGCCGGTGTAGTGGTGGTGATCCTCAATGAGGCCGCGCACGAAGGCGATCTCAGCCGGGTCATCGATGCCCGAGAGCTCGACCATCTCCATGTTTACCTTGGAGTGGAAGTCTTGGTTCATGTCGAGCACGTAGGCGATACCGCCAGACATACCTGCCGCAAAGTTGCGGCCAGTGGAGCCAAGAACGAGGACGCGACCACCGGTCATGTACTCACAACCGTGGTCACCGACACCCTCAACCACTGCAGTGGCGCCCGAGTTGCGGACGGCGAATCGCTCTGCAGCTACACCGCGGAAGTAACAGGTACCGCTGGTCGCACCGTACAGACAGGTGTTTCCGACGATGATGTTTTCTTCCGCCTTGAAACTAGCGCCGCGGGGCGGGTAGACGATGAGACGACCACCAGACAGACCCTTGCCAACATAGTCGTTGGAATCACCCTCGAGTTCCAGGGTGACACCGGGTGCCAGGTACGCACCGAAGGACTGACCGGCAGAACCCTTGATGTTGGCATGAACGGTATCTTGCGGCAGACCTGCCTCACCGTAGCGGCGACTAATCTGGTACGAGAGAGTGGCACCGAGTGCCCGATCGGTGTTGACGATATCACACTCGATCCGGCAAGGCAGACCCTTCTCCAGCGCTAGCTCGGATTCGGCAATCAGCTTGTTATCCAGACGGGTGTGCAGGCGGTGATCCTGTTTGCGGACGTTATAGGTCGCAACTCCAGGGCGCAGAGAATGCGCAGGAGTCAGGATCAACGACAGATCGATCTTTTCCTGTTTGGGATTGCGGATATCCTCGCGGACCTTGAGGAGTTCCGCCCGGCCAACCATCTCGTTAATGGTGCGAACACCCAATTTGGCCATGATGGCACGCAATTCATTGGCGATGTAGTAGAAGAAGTTGATCACATGCTCCGGGGCACCCTTGAATTTCTTCCGCAACTCGGGATCCTGGGTGGCAATACCGACTGGGCAGGTGTTCAGGTGGCACTAGTTTCAGTCAGCAAAAACTTCATTATCAACCGCAAAATAGCCTCAAAATAGCCTCGAAAGCATGAAAAGAACCAGGAAATTACTTTTTTCATCATCAGGCAACCTAATGCGATCAAAGGAGTCGTGGCAAAGCCGAATTCTTCAGCACCAAGCAGACAGGCGATGGCGACGTCGCGGCCGGTACGGATCTGACCATCGGTTTGCACCACAACACGACCACGGAGATCGTTCAAAACTAGCGTCTGGTGGGTCTCGGCCAGGCCTAGTTCCCAGGGAAGACCGGCATATTTAATACCGGTCCAGCGAGAGGCACCGGTGCCACCGTCATGACCGGAGATGAGGATGTGGTCTGCCTTGGCCTTGGCGACACCGGAGGCGACGATACCGACACCAACCTCAGAGACGAGCTTGACAGAGACACGAGCACGCGGGTTAGAGCATTTAAGATCGTAAATAAGTTGCTTCAAATCCTCAATCGAATAGATGTCGTGGTGCGGCGGCGGAGAGATCAAACCCACTCCGGGGGTGGAATGGCGGGTGCGGGCGATCGGGCCGACAACCTTGTGGCCGGGAAGCTCACCGCCTTCACCGGGCTTGGCACCCTGAGCCATTTTGATCTGCAACTCATCGGCATCAGCCAGGTAGTTGGAGGTGACACCAAAACGGCCGGAAGCAATCTGCTTAATGGAGGAGCGCATGGTGTCGCCGTTTTCGAGGCGCTTGCTGCGTTCCGGGTCCTCACCACCTTCACCGGTGTTGGACTTGCCGCCAAGGCGGTTCATGGCGATGGCCAGAGTGGAGTGGGATTCCATGGAGATGGAACCGTAGGACATGGCACCGGTGACAAAGCGGCGCACAATCTCAGTCCATGGCTCGACCTGGTCGATGGGAATGGCGTTTCGTTGCTCAAAGTCAAAGTCCAACATGCCGCGGAGCGTGCAGTTCTTGATGGCCTCGTGCGCAGCGCGGGCGTAGGCCTCGTATGACTTATCGTTCTTGGTGCGCACGGCATCCTGGATGTTGGCGATGCTGACGGGGTCGTTGACGTGGGCTTCGCCGCCATCACGCCAGTGATACTCACCGGACTCCGGGAGACCTGCAATTTGCACAATCTCACGGGCAGGGAAGCCCTTCTCATGGAAGGCAAAGGCCTCTTGGGCAATAAGCTCGAAGGTCAGACCACGGATGCGGCTCGCAGTACCAGCGAAGCAGCGGTCGATGACACTGTCATCGATACCGAGCGCCTCGAAGATCTGAGCGCCCTTGTAAGACTGGAGAGTAGAGATACCCATCTTGCTCATGACTTTGAGGATACCGCCGTCGCAGGAGGCCTTGTAATTCTCGATGATCTTTTCGTCAGAAAGCGGCTTGCGGATCAGCTTCTCGCGGTTCATCTTCAGGATACATTCCATGGCGAGATAGGGGTTGATGGCGTCTGCACCGTAACCAACCAGGACGCACATGTGATGCACCTCGCGAGCTTCGGCAGTCTCGACGACCAGCGCCGCGAGCGACCGCCACTTGTTGCGGACGAGGTGGTGGTGGACGAGACCCGTGGCCAGGAGGGTCGACACAGGGACGCGGTCGGCCGAGGTGGCCCGGTCGGAGAGAATGAGAATCTTGTCACCGTTCTTGATGGCCTCCGTGGCGGCGTCGCAGATGGCGTCGAGGGCCTCGATATAACCTGAAATGCCCTTGCGCTTCTCAAAGGTGATGTCAATGGCCTTGACGGTCCACGCCGGGTGAGCCTGGTGGATATTCTGAATGGCCTTGAACTCCGGAATGCTCAGAATGGGCGAGCGGAGAAGCATCCGGTGGCACTGGGTCGGGTCCATCTCCAACAAGTTGCCCTGGGGGCCAATGTAGCACTCGAGGGACATAACAACAGCCTCACGGATAGGGTCAATGGGCGGGTTGGTGACCTGGGCGAAGAGCTGACGGAAGTACTCATAGATTAAACGGGGCTGAGGAGAGATGCAAGCCAGCGGGGCGTCATTACCCATGGATCCCAGGGCCTCCTTGGAGTCGGCAGCCATGGGGCCGAGGAGGAGAGTGACCTGCTCGAAGGAGTAACCAAAGGCCTTGAGGCGGGGATCATTCTGGATAGTCGTGGCATCGAGTGCGAAGCTCAAATCGACGTTCTGGTTGCGCAGGGCCTGATCGATGGCGGGCAGCTTGAGCAGCTCCTTGTCGAGCCAGGCCTGGAAGTTATGACGCTGGGCGACGGTCTGCTTCAGCTCGGTGTCGTCAATGATGCGACCGGCGACTGTGTCGACAAGTAGCATCTTACCCGGCTGCAGACGGCCCTTCTGAATGACACGTTCCGGGTCAATATCGATGGTACCAACCTCAGAGGCGCAGATGATGCGGTCGTCATCCATGACGTAGAAACGGCAGGGACGCAGACCGTTACGGTCCAGGTTGGCGCCGCAGTAGCGACCGTCAGAGAAGGTGAAGAGGGCGGGACCATCCCAGGGCTCCATCTGGCAGGCAGCCCATTCATAGAAGGCAGCCTTGGCGGGGTCCATGGCCGGGTTGTCCTGCCAGGCCTCGGGGACCATGAGCATGACCGCCTCGGGGAGAGAGAGCACACCGTTGATCATGAGCAGCTCGAGAACATTGTCAAAGGCAGCCGAGTCGGAACCACCGTCCTCGATGATGGGGTAGAGCGAGTCAAGCTCCTCGCCGAAGATGTCAGACTTCATCAAACCCTCACGAGCACGCATCCAGTTCTTGTTGCCGCGCAGAGTGTTGATCTCACCGTTGTGGGCGGCCCAGCGCAGAGGTTGGGCGCGATCCCACGAGGGAAAAGTGTTGGTGGAGAAGCGCGAGTGGACGAGGGCGAAGTGGCCCTCATAGTCGACGTTTACCAGATCATGGTAGTACTGGTAAACCTGGACGGGGGCCAGCTGGCCCTTGTAGATGATGTTGCGGTTGCTTAGGGAGCAGAGATAGAACCAGTTGGCAAGGCCAATGACATGAGTGGCACGCTTACGAAGAACGTAGAGCTGGCGCTCAAAGGTGCGGTCATCAAATTTCTCCGGGTCGGTGATCTCCGGTTTGGTGCCGGCACCATAGGCGTCTTGGAGCACGACAAAGGGCTGCATGATGATGGGCTCGCGCGACAGGGCAGCGGGACCCAGGATGGTGGAATCGCGCGGCACCTCACGCCAGCCCAGCACGCGCAGACCGAGCGAGTTCGCGATCTCCTCGAAGGAGGCCGTGGACTGCTTAAGCGCCTCTTCATCAGGCTTGAAGAACAGGTTCCCCACCGCGTACTGGCCTAGCGGAGGCAGCTCGACACCGACATCCCGAGCAAAATTCTTGACGAAGAACTTGTGCGGAATACTGGTCATCACACCAGCACCATCACCGTCGCGGGCGTCGGAACCAACAGCACCACGGTGTGTCATGTTGCAAAGCAGGTTGCGAGCTAGAAGCAAGCCATGTCAGCTCATTTGGTCTGGGAAAATCATAGCAAAAATTGTAATATCTAATTATCGAGGATCTCACCATCGCTGACGATCTTGTGACTAGCTTTGCCCTTGATATGACTATTCAATTGAATCAGCTTTTGTCTCTATAAATCCTCAATCGTCAATGATCCATCACTCACGCAGTAAAGCCTACACCACAGGCATCCTTCTCGTACTCGGGGTCATACAGACCCTGCCTCTCGGGCAGCGTCTGTGCCCAGCCATACCCCTTCTTCGGCTGGTACTCGGAATACTCCTGAGGCTGTTGCTCTTCGACTAATTGTGTGCCATAGATTTCCTCCAGGTTAAGACCCATTCTTCCGCCGACCGCCGACAGAAAATGGATACCAGAAGAGATCGAGAGAAGGAGAGGGGGAGAGAGAGCGGAAATTGGTTTGTTTTAAGCTATTCTAAGCTATCGACCGAAGGAGGGGGGGGTATCTTTTTTTTTCTGGTCCGCGTCGGAATTGGCAAGGCGATCGAAGCCCAGACGATAAGATAGTTGTCTGTTCGACGAATGTCGTCACCAGAGGTAGACAGGGAGGGCTAGCGGGGCGATATAGGGACCCAGCGTCTGGCCTCTCGATAGAATATTTGATGGGGGGGGTGAAGCAGACGAGAGAAGGAGAGGAAGAATGAAAAAGGGAGAGAGAGAGAGAGAGAGAGAGTCAGTGCAGAGGGAGGGGGAGGGGAGAAATAGAGGAGGGAGGAGGGCAGGTCCGGGGGAATTTGGCCCAGGGACTCCGATACAGACAGTACAGACAATACAGACAGTACTAGGTAAGGTATGAAAAAAGGAAAATTACAGCCAACGATGGTTGTGGGGTGTTTACTAGGAGGTGCCTCCTCCTGCTTCACCCTTTGGTACGGAGCACAGCTGTCCAGGTGGGAGGGCCGAGTAGATAGGGACGCTTTGGAAGGCTTCCGCCGTGGCAAATGACTGGTAAATACAGTATATTACCTGTACAAAGTACCTACTAGCTACCTCTACCTAAACTTAGATACCTAGGTAGGAGGTACCTAGGTACTTACTACCAAAGAGACGTTCCGCTTCTGGTGAACGCTTTCGGAACCCGCCGTTGCAAGCTTCCGCTTCGAGGTGCGTAGAGATCTTCGATCTTGCATACGATAATTAGCTTGAAAAAAAGACTCTGTAAAGTCGTACTTTAGGGAAGGAAAAGAAGTAGACTGACTACCTGGGTAACTAATTCCACCATTCAAGCCAGTTCACGGTACCCTTAACGTACCATTAACTCCGTGGGAGCCTGAGATATGGCGAGCCTTATGGACTGGGAGATAAGAACGGCCACCAATCAGAGATGCAGCATTCCAACCTTACGGAAGCAGATTAAGTTCCCTCTACGTCAAGATCCACTTGTGAGTTTCTTAGCTTGGTCTAGAATACGTATTGTAATTACGGTAACTAAAGGTATCTACATACCTACTAGGTATGTAGAAACTTGAGAGTACTAAGTTAAGTACCTCTGGAGTAACTCCTCGGTGGAGAGAATAGAGTACAGACTAAATTGGTGGAGAAATAACAGCTTATAGAATCCTAGTAATAGTCAGCAATCCATACTACATACTACATACTACATACTACATACTACATACTACTTCTTTTTGTACTAACTAAATGGTAGTCTCTCCGTACTCCATAACTAAGTCGGGCATACTAAGTCCACGACTACTGCATGGGGCAGTGCAAGGGTGCGGCTGCTTATTTATCGATTGGCTGATAGCATAGTATATTATGCAAGATATTCTACTACATAGAGTATGTTCGTGATGAATCTTGACGATGATATTTTGAAGAGAGAATAGAAGACGATAAAAAAATAATAAATAATAAATAATGATTAATACAATATCTATTCTGTACAGTAACTAATCAATTCAATCTTCAATCTCAATCCTACCGAGTAAACAAAGTACCAATAACCAGCTAAATTCTTTGCCGCGGCAGGCGAGCTAACAGCATGTACTATGTGGAAGGGAGCGCACAGAGCACATGTGCCACCCGGCCGGCTTTCGGACGTACCCCACGGTGATCGCCTAGTACTACGAGTACCGACTTCTGTACTGTACTGTACAATACACTACACTACTACTAGGTACATACCAGTACATACCTAGTACACTATCAGGGCAATCTGCCAGGTAAGCTCGGAGCGGGGTGGACAGTGGACACTGCTAAGGTGCAACCACAAAGAAGAATCCAGTACGCATCCGCTACGATTCGTCGAGCACCTTCCGACAACGGCTGGGCATCTGTGCTTCTCCGCTTGTTTAGAAAGCCCTCCGGCCTGGTTGGTTGCTCCCTCTCCCTGACTTTTCGCCGTGTGCTGGATGGTCGACTGGCCGGGCGGTCCCCCGATCTCGGGGCTTCCCGAGTTTCCGCCAGCTCATTCTTTGAGGTCATCACCTTATCAAGCACAGTGTATGGTCTCACCTTGCTTAGAGGTACTACTACTCCGTATAGTGAGCTGGAATCTGAGGAAGCGTCCCTACAAGGAGTAGGTGTATACTACGTAGTACCTATGTTCGTCTCCTGACAATCTCCCCACCGAATAGTAATAAATTACTTAATAGTAAATTAAATCTTCATCAATTAGTCAATGGCATGGTCGTCGAGGTATTCATCAAGTAATTCGTGGGTCGATATAGTTACTCCGTACTCATAACTTGGAAGTTCCTACAGAGTAGGACTCATATTCAAGGCACTGTAGTCACTGTACAGTGAGCGTGTCTTCCGTATCCTCCCGATGTTTCCAGACTTGCCCGCATCGGGTTCACCGGCCGACGCTCCTCTTCAGGAGCGGAAAAGCACCCTGGTCGGGAGAAACCGGAACAGTCCGCTCACCCGAAAACCGGACTCGAAACACTCCGCCAAAGTAACCTACGGAGAGGCCACAGTACTATATTTTGAGTACTGTAGTTACATACTACAGTAACAGGCTAATAAGAGCATTGACCAGGCTAAAGAGTACCAGACACAGTAATACACATGGCATCATTCCATCTCAGATATTCTACACACAGAAATAAGGAGAAATCAGTTCTATGAGGTGATGCTCGCATTCTATCAAACCATTACTACATACTACATAGGCACCACTACAGGAATACTACTACTGCGTACACATTGAACACGGTACTCGGAACTCGGCATCATACAGATATTGTCTCGCCCACTTGGGTACAGAATACGCTATTATAGTAGGAACTGGAAGCTTGCTGTAGACGGGGTTGAAACTGCGGATATCGGCCGGGGTAATTGCTTGCCGTTTTCAGCAGTGCTTTCCTTACTCTCTTACTAAGTAACTACTTACTACCTAACTAGTTACTACTTAGTACTAACTTGTAGTATGTAGGACTGTATCTAGATAGTCACTAACTAGTAGTTAGTGAATTAGTTGTACTTTTTAGTATATACTCTACACTCTAGTTAACTACTACATATGCAGTAGGTATAGTCAGAAGTTTGTTAAATTATTGATCTAGTTATATGGTTAGCCTTCATCAAGCCAACTTCTTAAGAGCATACTTATGTAGTCTAGGGGTGTTTGTATTGAGTCTATTAAATAATATCATATACTATCTACGAGTAGGTCAAGTATGGGAGTAAGGTGGTACTGTGGATGCCTAAGGTATCACTACTTGGATCCACTTTGTCGATAAACATCCACGATAGCAGGTAATCAGCTCTATCAACAAGAATCAACAAACCGTCAACAATCTTACAGAGAGACGAAAGCTGCAAAGACTCGTCACCTTCTCCTAGTGCACTATCGATTCTAGCAAAACAAGCAGCAGACGACTAGCCATGCTCTCGCTACCGCTAATTACACCCCGCGACGTAAGTTCTTCCTTCCACCTCCACGTCCAATTCAAATATAGAAAGAAAAGCTGAAGAGCAGTCCTACGAGCTCTGGTTCGGTTCCTCACAGCCCTACCGCTCCTCACAAAACCAACATACTCACGAGCCCACACAATTACATGGCCACGCCCGCCGCAATGCCCCCGCAACACCATTACAGAGCCGCACGCTCATCTCATCGACGACCCCCTCGAGCAGCCTGTCTGCGCTACTACTCGAGGAACGCGCCCTGCGCGCTCGGAAACAAAACATCTCTTCCTTCGGGTACTCGTGGATCCGGCCTGCGGGATGCGCAAAGACAATGCTGGGGATGAAGGAGGAAGAGGCGGAACGCGAAGAAGCCCTTGCCACCGCCGCGGCGGAGATGGCTGCTGCCGCTGCTGCAGTGGCGGCGGATGATAACGACGGGACGAACGAATTGGACGGACAGGATACCAATCCCATGGAACGGGATTTGGACGAGGATATCCCCGATGCAGATGCCGAAGGGTTAATCGAGGAAGGCGAAGAGGATCTAGAGGACGAGGACGTGATTGACGAGGAGGAGTTCATGGAGCGGGATCTGGACGATGATATCCCCGAGGCGTTTCCGGATGATGAAGACGATGACGATGAAGAAGACGACGAGGAAGACGACGAGGACGATCGAGATTTTGACGAGATCCCCGTTGCAGAAGATAATATGAGTGAAGATATGGCCCGTGATCTTGACGACGATATTCCGGAAGCAGAGGAAGAAGACGATAGTGATGACGAAGAAGATGACGATGGAGAAGAGGAAGAGGAAGAGGAAGAGGGAGAAGGAGAAGGAGGAGGAAGACACGAAGAAGTCGAAGATGAATGGCAACACACCGATACAGACGAAGAATTCGACGAAGACGACAGCTTCGCCATGAATCCCTTCCGAACCAGCACAACAAGCAGCCGTGGCGGTCTCCCCCCGCCGCCGTCTCTGCGCCGGCCGCGCGAGACCGATGCCCAGCGCCGTTTTCTCGACCGGTGGAGCGGTGGAGGCGACAGCTTTGACACGAGTGGAATGTTGATTGACGAGGACGACCTACGGGCCTCATTGGCGAGTCGGGGGAATCAATCAAATAGATTTCGGCGGCATAGACGCCGGACGAGCGATAGGATGGAATAGGACAGTATAGTAGTCTGTATACAAGTAGACAACCATAGATATAGTACAAGTCAGGCTTGCAATCATTGAGTGCTGTGAACAGTAGTGTTCTATCATTATTATAAGTATACTATTCCAGGACAATCAGTATCCTAAAGCCTACGCAAAGTCACATTTCACATCCTCCGCCGCCACCGCCGCCGCCAAACGAGAGAAACCCTCTCCCCGTGCCTTGGTCAAGGTGACAGACTCCCCACCCAATGGCATCCGCAGCGAACACTCTCTCCCACGACTAGGTCCAGCAGTCACTTCCCGTACAACGGCCTGCGCTGCCTGTCTTGGATCCACTCCTTCCAGTCCATGCGCAGAGATAATCACCTTCAGCACCGTATCGGCAGGAGTACCCACGTACGCGGCGGGGAGAGGAGACAGCCCGACTTTATGTGGGTGGATGAAGTGTGTGCGCATCGCGCCAGGTTCGACGATCAGCACGCGGATACCGAGGGGAAGAACCTCTGCAGCTAGGGCTTCGGAAAAGCCTACCACTCAAGCTCATCAGCACATCATATAGAAGTGGGCTTTCAGTTATATATATATATATATATCTTGATCTCTTACCCTCTATTGCAAACTTTGTGGCAGCGTAAAACGCCGTCCCGGGATGGGGATGCCAGAACTCCGCACTGGAGATGTTGACAATCACGCCTGTTCCACGGCTCGTCATGGAGGGAAGGAGGCTCTGGATAAGCCGTGCAGGGCCAAAGAAGTTGGTTTCCATAAGTGCGCGTCCTGAATCGATACTGTCGAGCCGAGCCATACAATTTTTAGTATATATCATCTTTAAGTATATATTCAAAAGTGTTTTTGATAGAATCACTTGAATGTCTCGACAACACCACCGAGTGCATAGCCAGCATTGTTTACTAGGACGTCCACCCCTCCGTGTTCTCGTACAAGAGACAAGACAACACTCTCTGCATCGGGCGCCGTCACGTCGAGTTCCGCCCACACCCCGCCCAGGGATTCGATCTCCAGCACGGCAGACGGGTTGGTACTCTTGCTGCGTGAGGTGGCGATGCAGCTGTGGCCGGCTTGCAGAATTGCACGCGCGAGATCGAGGCCGAGGCCCGTGGAACAGCCGGTGACCAGCCACTGCATCTTCTCGTTAGAAGTTTTAAGATAGAATAGGATATTAAATAATAAACTTGGTTGTGCCTAACCTCTAGCAGTAGGTGACCTGCTTTATATATGCGTATCGCCCGAAGGGCAAGCTCCCTCGGAGAGATTAATGTCACTCGCCGAGAATCAAATCCCAGTATCATTGAATCACGAAAGTGTAGAGACCTTGTTGGATGGTGATATGTGACGTTAAGTCCGTCTTATCACCGGCCGAAGAGGGAATTCATCCGATGCCGATCGACAAGGTAAGAAGGCTCAGAATGGGGACTATAAGCTCATTCTAGAAGTGAACGATGTAAATGTCAAACCACTGTTTTCTGTTTTCAAGTCTTAAGATACCTGTATATACATCTATCAAAGATCTTGGCAATTTTCACTCCAAACGCCGGGTCAAGACTAATTGGCTATACAGATTAGAACCAAGTTTAGGAATATAAGAATCATGCACCATGTGGCTATGTCAGCCACACGTAGGCGAAAAGAAGAAAAACCGCGAGAAAGAAGCACAGCCAGACACGCCAGCCGACGCCGGTGCGTTCGGCCATGCGGAGCATTCGGTTCATAGTGCCGCGAAGACGGACGCGCGACGCCTCGAAGGAGTCGTTCATTTTTCTGTTGGTTGATTAGTATATATTGGGGTAGTCAGCATGTTCAGGGACCGGAGGACTCACTCTGCAAGTGCGGATGACTCGCGGATCTCGTCACCAATAGCGACAGTTAACTAAACCATTAGCAATGATCAATATAAGAAGAGCCAAGAAAAAAAGGCACACACCTCCTTCAGCATCTTGACCTTTGCACTGATCCCCTCCACCTCGGCATCATTCTGCGACTCAAGAGATGAGAGGACTGCATCGGAGTAATGGCCTCTGCAGAGTGTTAGCATAGAGACAACACACAAATCGAATATATATATATATAAATACACACCTCTTATCCGGCGTCGCAGTGCGATAGTTGCTTCCACCAGCACTACCACCGTTCATATACCCTTCCCCGTATCCCCCGTACCCACCGCCGATATGCCCGGGCGACTTGCTACCGGACCGGGAACCGCCACCGTAGGAATCAAAGAGCGACGAAGAAGCGCGGGGATCGCGTTGGTGGAGATTCGACCGGGGAAATCTGCTGGATTAGCTATATCCACAAACAAAAAGGGTTGGTGGGATGCAGAGTGTCTACCTACCGTGAAGCCATGTTGACGTTATTATCAAAGAGATAGCTTTTTACTTGGACATCTTGTCATAACATGTACTAGTTTATTGAACTCCGAAGTTACTCCGAAGAAGTTCTCTGCGTAGATTTTGAACGTGTCGCAGGGCTCAGAGAGCACGGGGAATTAATAGGAGGATTAATTGCCATCTTGCCGTGATGATCATTAGTTATCTGGTGGCTGGTCCCTGGACCGGGGTTGCACGTGACGTCGAGGGTCGAGCTCCGGATGCAAACGTCGGCGCAATAACAGACATTTATTACTCGTACTCTAGATATCCTATCTATTTCGACAGCTTGCGCTTAGTTTTGTGTTCTTCAAACCGACATTACATTGTTGAGAAGGGGTAGATAAAAGACTGTATGCCATATGGTCATTCACACTGTCTCCATACAAAGATAAAAAATTATAGAGACTAAAACGAAGTGAAACTCCCCAATAACCCAGCGCCTAACATTCATCCTCTTTCAATCGTATGAAAAGATCGCCTTCCCATTTTGTATGATGTATGACTTCGTAAGAAATAACGGAGGCCTTCCACCTGCATTTTGGTCGTGTTTAGACAAGCTTAATCGCGCATCTGGTGGTCCTCTTCTTCGCCGCCATCGAAATCCTCGTCGTCATCGTCTTCATCCATTTCGCCCTCGGCCTGGGCCTTTTGGGCGGCCTCGGCGAAGTCGATCCTCTTACCGCGGGTGCGACGGCCGCCTTCGATGATGTTCTGGGTTGAAATCGGCTCGAGGTTATCGTTGTCATCATCTTCGTCCTCTAGAACAACAGGCACGAGTTAGATCGGAAGCAGATGAAAGCAATGGGGTTTATGGAAAAGCGGGCATGACCGATCAATTCGATGGTATTCAAACTGGGGGGGTTATTGTTATTACCTTCGTTCTAGACAGTGCAAAGAAAAAAATGTTAGCCTTTCTGTGGATTACACGTGGATTCGATGGAATTACCATTTCATCATTGTCACTCTCCTCTTCACCGCTCTCTTCGTCCTCGTCCATGCTCATCTCAAGGGAGGGATCCTGGGCTCTGCCCTTGCCCTTGTTGTAAGCCGCAGCATCGGGAGCGTTGGCGGCGGGGTCGTTGAAAGAAGTAGCGTGATCACCCATGTTTTCAACGTGGAAATATTCAGTCCTGAAGGGGAATGGAACGAAAATCGATGGGAGACGAAAGGAAAATGAGAGATCAAGATAGAGAAGAAGGCGCGCTGTGACGAACAAGGGAGGTGAGGTGAGAGATCCGATGGGAGATGGGAGCCAGACCTCCTCCGACGCCTTAAACCAAACAGGGCATTTGTTTTGGGGCAAAGTCGCAAGGGAGATTCAATGCAGTAAGAGCGCCAGGATGCTGATTGGCTGAGCTGGATGATCGAGTGTACTAGCGCTCCCGTGACAAACCTTGCCCTTCATCGACTTTATGTAGTACTATTAGGTACACTAGGAGGTATCTAGGTACCTACTTATATACTTAGGTAGTTACCTTCTAGTTAACTAGTCAATATCTACTATGACTGCTCAAATATGGAGTACTTGATATTTGATGGGAAATCAATGGTGTTGAAAATAATGGTACTGGTACATTTTTATAATAATATCTAGTAATGATGGTTTATACTCATTGACTGAGCTAATACTAGTTGATATATTTTATAGAGAACAGATAGACTGAGAGGTACTCGTGATATCATATTTATACTCAGTGACCATGAAAGACCTCGGCAGGCGGCTTTTCAACTATAAGCCAGTTATCATCTAGTACAGTCCGTGAAAGAATATGGGGAACACCATATTAAATTTAAGCTGTATCTTAACCTATGAGTATAAGCCTAATAGTTAGTGCCTAGCTTCGATACTCTGTAATCGCCATATAATTGATCCAATTATTCTAATAAATGATGGATTAATAGACACATCATTCAATTCTTCAACATAGAATATGATATTTATATGCAGTTCGAGCTAACAGAATGCCACATTATTCGACGATAGTAGGGCTTTTTTCAGCTCAAAAGCAGTCAAGTAGAGAACGATAGAAGAAATATAGAAGATAGAAGATAGATGCATTTAAATACTTAGGTATGGTTTCTGTAGTTACCTAGGGATACAATGATAGTCCCACTGCCATGCCTGCCTGAGGTATACACAAAAATTCCCACAATCCCACTTTCTCTATTACTGTGGTTTGGATGGCGTTAAACAATGACTCATATGGCCCTGTAGCCCCCATAGCTAAATAATACCTCGCGATTCGGGAGTTTCTACAGAAAAAAAAAATCGAGGCCTAGTGAAGTGGAAATTTTTCTATTGACCTGCACGTTTTGTTTCCTGACAGTGAAACCCCATAGATGATCTCAATGTTGGGCACCCCTCCTAAGATATCAATCAGGATGACGAACGAGCAGGGGGGGAAAAGTCTCGCAGATCTGACTGATAGAAGCAATCTTGTTGGCTCTCTCTACTATTTCCATTTAGACCGTAGGGACTGTAGGAAATAAACGTACAGTAGGAGCGCTCACTTCGAATTGTCGTGTCCACAAAGAACTTTTTCATCCCACCTTCTATTACGTCATCGACCACCCCGCCTCGCTTTCTGTAAGATCCTCGCTCGCCAGATTCAGACGCAAAACATAGGAAATAAAGGCCCAAAGGGGCTGTGAGACGCCTCAGGTTTTGACAGGCGCCCTGGAACCAGCTGGCAACCACCTCCGGGCGTTGCTAGGGGATTCCAGGAGCGGCTGGAAGAGCGCTGGGAGCTCTAGAAACCCATAGACACCCATCGAAACCTGCCGCTTGCTAGAAGCTTCCGGCCCATGAGTGAACCACACCGCCCACCCTATATCTACGAACGCCTTTCGCACAATTTTCTCTCCCCTCAGTCTTCCTTTTCACACATACTTCAATCTAAACTGAATCCTCTCTTCTGACTCGTAACACCCCCCGAGTCTTCTGTACACTACACTTATCACGAACCTTTCCTTTCTTCTTTATTAACGACCCCTCCACACACACACAAAATGGCTCCCGCTGTCGGTATTGACTTGGGTACCACCTACTCCTGTGTCGGCATCTTCAGAGATGACCGCATCGAAATCATTGCCAACGACCAGGGTAACCGCACCACCCCCTCCTTCGTGGCTTTCACCGACACCGAGCGTTTGATCGGTGATGCCGCCAAGAACCAGGTCGCCATGAACCCCCACAACACCGTCTTCGACGCCAAGCGTTTGATCGGTCGTCGTTTCCAGGACGCTGAGGTCCAGGCCGACATGAAGCACTGGCCCTTCAAGGTTGTCGACAAGGGCAGCAAGCCCATCATCGAGATTGAGTTCAAGGGCGAGACCAAGCAGTTCACCCCTGAGGAGATCTCCTCCATGGTCCTCACCAAGATGCGTGAGACCGCTGAGGCCTACCTGGGCGGCACCGTCAACAACGCCGTCATCACTGTCCCCGCCTACTTCAACGACTCCCAGCGTCAGGCTACTAAGGATGCCGGTCTCATCGCCGGTCTCAACGTCCTCCGTATCATCAACGAGCCCACCGCTGCCGCCATTGCCTACGGTCTGGACAAGAAGACCGAGGGTGAGCGCAACGTCCTCATCTTCGATCTCGGTGGTGGTACCTTCGATGTCTCCCTCCTGACCATTGAGGAGGGTATCTTCGAGGTCAAGGCCACCGCTGGTGACACTCACCTGGGTGGTGAGGACTTTGACAACCGCCTCGTCAACCACTTCGTCAACGAGTTCAAGAGAAAGCACCGCAAGGTATGTCAATTCCATTTTCACATTCACAAGAAAAGAAAAACAGAATACTAACTTATATTCAACAGGATCTCACCACCAACGCTCGTGCTCTTCGTCGTCTCCGCACTGCTTGCGAGCGTGCCAAGCGCACCCTCTCGTCGGCTGCCCAGACCTCCATTGAGATCGACTCTCTCTTCGAGGGTATCGACTTCTACACCTCCATCACCCGTGCCCGTTTCGAGGAGCTGTGCCAGGACCTCTTCCGTGGCACCATGGAGCCCGTCGAGCGTGTCCTCCGTGACGCCAAGATCGACAAGGCCTCCGTCCACGAGATCGTCCTGGTCGGTGGTTCCACCCGTATCCCCAAGATCCAGCGCCTCGTCGCCGACTTCTTCAACAAGGAGCCCAACAAGTCCATCAACCCCGATGAGGCTGTTGCCTACGGTGCCGCCGTCCAGGCCGCCATCCTGTCTGGTGATACCTCCTCCAAGTCCACCAACGAGATCCTTCTTCTCGATGTTGCTCCCCTCTCTCTCGGTATCGAGACTGCTGGTGGTGTCATGACTGCTCTCATCAAGCGCAACACCACCATCCCCACCAAGAAGTCCGAGACCTTCTCCACCTACTCTGACAACCAGCCTGGTGTGCTTATCCAGGTCTACGAGGGTGAACGTGCTCGCACCAAGGACAACAACCTGCTCGGCAAGTTCGAGCTTACCGGTATCCCCCCGGCCCCCCGTGGTGTTCCCCAGATTGAGGTCACCTTTGACCTGGATGCCAACGGTATCATGAACGTCTCTGCCATCGAGAAGGGCACTGGCAAGAGCAACAAGATCACCATCACCAACGACAAGGGCCGTCTCTCCAAGGAGGACATCGAGCGCATGCTCTCTGAGGCCGAGAAGTACAAGGCTGAGGATGAGGCCGAGGCTGGCCGTATCCAGGCCAAGAACGGTCTCGAGTCCTACGCTTACTCGCTCAAGAACACCCTCAGCGAGGGCAAGCTCACCATCGCCGATGGCGACAAGGAGAAGCTCCAGAGCAAGATTGACGAGATCATCTCCTGGCTCGACAACAACCAGACCGCCACCAAGGAGGAGTACGAGGAGCAGCAGAAGGAGCTTGAGGGGTATGTTCCCACCATCCTAAAACAATAAAAAAAAAACTTGATGCTAACTCTTTTCTTTTAGTATTGCCAACCCCATCATCTCTGCCGCCTACGGTGCTGCCGGCGGTGCCCCTGGTGGTCCCGCCCCTGGCGCTACTCGTACCGCCGACGAGGTTGAGGAGCGCCCTGAGGAGCTTGACTAAGCGTCTCATCCTTCTTTTTTTCCTTAATGTGTTTTCTCCAATGGCCATACGACTAAAGTAGGCTTTTATGGGTTGTTTTACGAAATAATGGGCTCGTTTTTTCTTTTTCTTTTTTCTTTGTGCATGATGACTTGCATAGATTTAGTTTTGATACATCATGATCTGCAATGGTTCAGTTGCTCGAGGCAGGAAAAGTTCTCAAGAACAATAAATTCCTTTTTCTAATAGTCATTTCATCAGTAACCATTCTAATGTAGATGCCTAGATAGTAGACAGTTCGTACATGCGTTCAATCTCCGGGTATCATCTATATATCCAAATCCCAACTCCATCGTCTAGAGACAACCTTTCTCGAAACGAACAACCTAGTTATAACCCGCTGAAATCCCCCCTCCACCACCGCTGCAACCGTCTCCCGCCATCAGCCAGCACAACTCCATATCCTATTTCCGACGCCCGCTCGGGATATTTTTCTTGCTGATCGCGACGGATACGCACCGCGGCCGCTGCGGTGCCGATGGTGAATGCGAAGATGGGGTCGGCGAATCTGGAGAAAGAAACATAAATATATATATTAGTCTTTTTTTTTCTTTTATCGCTTTGATGATGGGTATTCTTGGACTTTGACGTACTTTGAGATCAGGTACGGGATCGATGTGGACATTGTGTTTGTTGGTTTCTGGAGGGGGTAGTTTCTGCTCATTATGTGTCAGTTTTAGATGTCGGGAATACTAGTTATATCAATTCTGTATTGGGGTAAGAAGGGAGCATAAGCTTCATACTTTGTTTGTACGAGGTAGGCGCTTCAGGTCTAGGTCGGCATGGAATAATTATCATGATCACTTTGATCTGAAGCTTGAAGCTTCAAGCTTCACTTCGTATCACGTGATCTTTTTTTCTATATGCTTCTCGCTGGCGGCTCCTCAGCTCCTGTCATCTAGTCAGAGCTACTCCGTATTAGCTAGTAGTTACTTACTAGTTACCTGGTTATATTAATATACCATACTATCTACAGATGAAGTATTGGATATCCGCTATATGATGAGAATAGAATATTTGATAAGTGGAGATTATTTATTTTGAATTCAACGTTCATGCTCTAATATATAGCGACACATACAAGGAAGGCCGGAATCCATTATGCTCTAGAGCTCTATGTCAGACTGCGGGAAGGCCATGAGGGAAAAGGAAATGGAAGATATGTGGTCCAGCTTTATACGACCTGGCCGAATGCAGGGATCAGGGTCTGTGCCAGCCAGAAACTGAACACAAGCTTAGGGCCGGTCATCAGCAGCTTGGGGGTCAGACCCTTGAAGAAGCTGGTGAAACCCTCGTTCTTGGCCATGTTTGAGATGATGCGGAATCCGGATTCGGGGTTCTCGAAATTGCGGTTCTGGATACGGGTCTTGATCACGTCGAGAGGGGCGGACACAACAAGGGAGGCGCTGGCACCGCAGATGGAAGCAACAAAGTTCTGGCCCCAGGTCGCAGAGTTGTAGTCGGTCAGGCCGTAGATGTACTCCTTGGCAAAGGCAGAACCACCGAACAACTATTGGGGGAGAAATCAAGATGGTTAGGAACATGCAATAGATGGCGACCAATGTCTCCAGATAAGCGGTACTCACAGCAAATGATCCAGGAGCGTTACGAGCAGCAGTCCAGCCAGCGCCACGGTAGAGCCCCATACCCTCATCGGAAATAATCTTAAACAAACCACGGCCGCGGAAAGCCTCCGGGTTGGTCTGACGCTTGATCTTCAGCACATCCAGAGGAAGGAGAACGATCTCTCCGATACCGATCAAGCTGAGCGCAGAAAACAAGATGATTAGCCAAGGAGACTCGCCTGAATCCTCAGGTTTAGAAGTATCACATACCTTCCAGCGGTGGCATGCATAACAGCCTTGCCAGTTCCCTTTCCAAACGCGGCGTCAAAGTCCGCACTGTAGTGCTGCGCCAAGTAATCACGAGCGAAGGGCTGGCCGCCATACTTATAGATTCTTTGAAGAACCTGTAATCCGTGAGCAAAGGTCGAACCCTCCCCAGGATATCACCTCCGTCGTTCGCAAAGACGAACCTTGTATCCAGCAGCATAACCCAGGCCAGGGAAGAGCGAGGTGAACTTGCGGCCGGCAGAGGCTTCGGCATACTCCTTGAAGATGACCTGGTTGAACACATTCATCGACGATATCTAGCAAAGAGAGTCAATTCTCGCTTAATAGATAGTCATCCCGATCCATTAGCCACGAACCCTGCCCTGGTTGCTCATCAATCGCTTCGCAATGGTATCGACCTTGTCCCATTGTTAGTATCCATGCGCGAAAGGTCTGCCGACGGAGGATTTCGGCGGGCATACAGGGTGGAAAATGATTAACTCGGCAATGCCGGAAGTTCCTAGGCATCGTCAGTATCGTCGCATTCATCTCTCAAAGCTCTTCCAAATCTTTTTCAAGCCCAGGAGTGAGTAAACCATACCGGATCCAAGGAGACGAGCAGTCGCAGACTCCTTCTTGACATTTTTGGTTGCGGAACCCGCACCAGCCTGGGGAGCAAGAGCCGGAGACATTATCTTCTATTTGCTCGGTGAAAGGAGAACAGAAAAGAGAAAAATACAATTGAATTAAAAGGGCTATAGTAAAAGAGAAGTATAAGTAATTAAGCAACGGCCTTAACTAATGAGAGAAAGTTGATTCAACTGTTCCACGCGCGCCGACTCGTTCAAAACTTTTTGCCCCAAAGACACTAGTCCCGGACGAGGAACGATATCGGACCCGACGGGAGTACCTCTTAACCTTACTGATAACTACGGGCCGCCTCGGCCCTGTAATAATAATCAGGTACAATAACGTGAGAGTTCTTTACTCTGAGTTGAAATATTATTTATTCAAATGATACACATGTCGCTTCTATTTCCTATTAGCATCTACTGATATTCGTGAAGGACTGGTTCACAAGGTCAAGGAAGCTACAGTGCTGACTGACTATACCAGCAGGGTACTAGTTACCTATCACGAGATTTAATTTATGACACATGATTCTGGAATCTGATCTGAGTCTCAACGTGTATAAAATAATGAGTTATGGCTGGTGAGAATCGACTTGATTAAGAAGCAGTTTTTGAGGTGCATTCATTTGTGAACGTCTCCTTGAAAGCGATCAGGCACCTCCAGGATGACGACCACTATACAGTGTACACCAGCCTCGCCGCAAGCTTGCTGGGGGGGAAAGGGGGGAGGGAGAGGGATAGAATTTCACTTGCAGGACCAAGAGCGGTATAAACTGAAGGACAAGCCTGTATCCCGACTGTAACAAGAGAAAGCTGTAGAGGCTTATCCGAGTTACCTGTGGATAGACGACTTAATTCATAACCATCAATAGAATATTCTTCCAAGTCAGGGAAAGTATCAAAAGATAAATTATAACGCCCAGTTGAACGCCTGCAAACAAAAGGAAACCCCCTGCAAGTTAAACTACTAATCCCTTCTCTTTCTGAACACTGGCAAGTCAATCGTACGTCGGCTAAATGACGACTGGTTGAAAGCCATGATCTCGGAAGCTACCGGTTGAGATTCTGGATTGGTTGTTCACTTCTTCAAAAGTCGCCGAATGTGTTCTCGCCAGAGTATCTGAAAAGAGATCAGCATGGCAATTCACTTTAGCAAATTCAAGATCCAAATGCATACGTGATGTACAGGAAACCATCTTCATCCTTGTGCTCCTCATAGATGCTGCTCATCAATGCGGCGGTCGGTGGCAGAACCTCATCGACGAAGATGAAGATGGCCTTTTCCGGGGAGAGCTTGATGCGCTTGCGGATCACATAGACAAACTGGCCGACAGTGAGATCTGCAGGAACAAGATACTTCTTCTTATCGATGGTTGCAATGTCCGATTTCTCGACCTTCTCGCAGATAACCTACAACAAAGTGGTGAGGTAAGTAAGTTGTCAAAGAAGCGGTGAGAAACCACATCGTCTACCGCACGCAGCAGGAAGAAGTTCATCACAGATAAACAGTAGAAAGTACAGAGAGACGTACTGGAATCCGGTCAGCGTACTTCTGGCGAATACGCTCGGCCTCTGCCTTGCGCTTCTCGAAGGGGTGCTCGTCCTTGAACTTCGAGCGCATCGTCACTGATAGTGTCGTATTATAAGACTGGAAGCCTGGGAGTTTATGATCTGCTGCAAGTACTGTGACTGAATATGGATAACTTCTTCAAGCAGGTAGGAGATAGGTAGTTGATGAGAGATGATAAGGAGACAAAGTGGAGGGATGGAAGGCTACAAGGTTGATGACAAAGAGGGAGGCTAATCGACTGCTCAAGGCTACAGCCCCGCGTATTATACAGGCACCTGATAGAGGATCACATGGAGGCGGTGAGCGCCCCACACGTGAGTCATGTGAGTCTTTACACCAACACTCTGGGATTTAATATTTATTCTACTGTCAAATATTGTCAGGGCTCTTGTTAGATATTGATATCTGGTGGTGCTGGAGCCTGTAGGTCCCTTTTTTTTTCTGCATGGCTTGACTTAGGAGAATGATTCATTGCGATCGGCTACAGGCTGCGGCAGAATGACGATATCGCTCAGCAACATGGTGATCACTGATTCGCCTCCGGCCGGTCCGTATCTATTCGCCTCTCTAGCGTATTTACTTGAACAACTACATGCATGGTATTATAGATTCTTATTATATGAGAAAACCTCCAATTCAATACATATTCATTTCATCAAGCTTAAAATCTACAAAATATATCTACCGACCTAGGCACCTAGGTACTGTAGAGCTACTGTCCTTATCTTGATATGGAAGTGAGGTGCAAACACTGCAAACATTCTGGACTCTTCATACTATACTAAATACAGTGATATGAGCAAACAGGACAAACATAAGGCTTTCTGTGCAATCAGGTAGTTTCTATTCTTGCCGCCATCATCAAACATCCGGTGGGCTGATTCTCGGATGCCATGCCTGACGGTGGTGCCAGAATTATCAGAATTGTCATTGGAGAACATTGAAGAAAGTTTCGCATGATACTATAAGATTTTGATCATCCTTGTCGTGTGATTGTGCCAATTATTCAAGCCAATGGCCTCTTCAGCAGTATATATGCCTCTTCGGAGGTCGTTACGACAGTTACCATCTCGAAGGTGTCTCACTCCTACGCGCAAATTCGGTATTCAATTCCGCAGGTTTTCGGCTGAGCAGAAACCACGCGAAACTCAACAGTTCACTGTTTGGAGACCATATCTACGACTGGCTGTTGGGATCCCCTTCATAGGAGCATTGATCTACTCCATGGTAAGAAATGATGCTCGAGATGTGTTGAGGCTCTCCCTGACGAGATCCTGCAGATGACCGGAGAAGTCACCGAACTCGATGCACCTTCCATTGTGGAGCTTGACGAGACCCTGAAACGACAATCGACAATCAACGAGTCGTCTCCGATGCGTTTACGAATGGAGAAGTTGATCAAAGAACACCAGAAGAAGATCGTGGACGAACTCAGCAGAATAGATGGCAAAGAATTCCACGCGGATACTTGGACCCGGCCCAATGGCGGCGGCGGTATTTCCTGCGTCCTTCAGGATGGAAACGTTTTTGAGAAAGCAGGCGTCAATGTGTCAGTGGTCTACGGGGAACTGCCACGCCCTGCCATTGAAAAGATGCGCGCCGATCACAAATCGTTTGTCGGGGCAGACGTGGACTCGTTGAGCTTCTTTGCCGCCGGCCTCTCTCTCGTCCTGCACCCTCATAACCCGATGGCACCCACTGTCCACCTGAACTACCGGTATTTCGAAACTTCAGACCCGAAGGACCCTATCAACGGAGAGAAGAATTGGTGGTTTGGCGGCGGCACTGATCTAACACCGTCCTACCTCTTCCCCGAAGATGCCAAGCATTTCCACCAGACAATTAAGGACACCTGTGACAGACACGATGCCACCTACTACCCCAAGTTTAAGGCCTGGTGCGATAAATACTTTTACCTGCCTCACCGTGGCGAAAGCCGCGGCATCGGAGGTATCTTCTTTGATGATCTGGATGCTAGCTTTTTGCAAAGCTCGTCCTCTTCTTCCTCCAATCCACAGGAGACTCTTTTCTCCTTTGTGTCGGATGCCCTTGCATCTTTCCTCCCCGCCTACGTCCCGATCGTCGAACGCCGAAAGGACATGCCCTTCACCCCTCAGCAGAAGGAATGGCAACAGCTTCGACGCGGCCGCTACGTTGAATTCAACCTTGTGTACGACCGCGGTACCAGCTTCGGTCTGCGCACTCCCAACGCTAGGGTAGAGAGTATCCTTATGAGCCTTCCCCGCACCGCAAGCTGGGTATATATGGATCCCGTCTCTGGAACGAGGACTGATTCCGCAGACGGCGAGGAGCAGGCCGTCGATGAAACCACCGAGAAGGAAAGAGAATTAATGGACGTCCTTAGACATCCGAGACAATGGGCATAGTCCGGCCAATATCCATCATTGGACTTGTATTTTATGTGTTGTCTGGTTACGGGTCAGCTTTTCTATCTATCGGGTTCTGGTCATGCTGTACAATATCTGTCTATATATGAATCGTTATCTAAAAGTTACATTAACAACATATAGTTACCACTAATACTTGAAAAAAATCAAGATTATATACACAATTGTAAGGAACGAGAGAAATGCTACAGAATCGTAGTTTGTTTCTTCCATATTTATCCATCACTTAATCTAAGTCTATCTCCAGAGTCTACTGATTATCAATAAGAGACGTGTATCAAGTAGATAGAAACCAGATCAATATAATCAAATGAAACAATGATTTACCTAGATACATACATGTAGAACCATCAAAAAGTAAAGATGGCCTGTTTAATATACTATAGTCTATCTATATAATCTAAAGGTTACATTTATATTAGCAAAATTATAGAAATGAAAACAATAACTCTGTTCAAGAACAAATAGAAGAGACAAGAAAGGTGGAGAGCATAGAGAAAGGAAAGGAACCATAGATATAAAAACCCACGGGTCAAGGTTTAATACTTGCATACTGAAAGATCATCTCATGGAAGCTAAATCATCGTCCAACAACGAGGTTTCGCTGTTTGGCTAGCCAGCTCCTCTGCGCATCGGGTCCGCTGGAAGGGCCATGGCGATATCTCGAGACAGTAACATTACTGTTTTGTAGCTTGACGTATAAGTCATGCCAAGCGGAGCTCACAAGACGAAGCTCCTGGTCACGATCGTCGATCATCTTTTGTAATTCGGTCTGGAAAAACGGAAATGTCCATATCAGCAAAGCAAGCTCCAGGTTCATGTCTAATTGCGTTAATACGAACCTCTCGCTCCTTGCTGATGGAATCCTCGGTGTTTTCTTCGTAATGCTTGATCCGTTCGCGAAGCGACTTGATCATCTCATTTTGCTGTTGAATGTGCTGCAGTGTGAGACCAAGGTTAGCAATGTACCGGCAAAGCATTGATTTTAAAGATGATATAATGAAGGCACTGGAGAATCAGATCGCTTCTTCCAGGAACGCAGTCTTTTAAATGCCGACGAACGTGCTTTGGCTTGACACTCGACAAGAAACAAATGGCGATTGAATGATTCGCAAGGGTAAGGGCGTTCTTCAACTTCTTCATAGTAGGACAAATTACTGACCTCTGCACGCTTGGCAAGTCTTTCGACGTTGGTCTCAATCAAGTCGGCAAACTGTTTCACCAGCTCCATGCTCGATTGTTGACGCAATTCTTGGTCATTGTCACCTGCACCTCCGCTGTACTCAGTGACCAGCCTTTGCATCTCAGCCAACAGATCCTGATCTTCCGAGATCATTTCTGATTCCTTCTGATCCAGCATTTCACGAAGTTGATCCCTTTCATTGCAGGCCTCCCTTGCAAGATTAAGGCTAGCATCCGCCTCAGCTTCAACATGATGATATTTGTGGGTAAGAGCATCAAATTGCTCCCTGAGATCGGCGAGTTCAGCGTCTTCTTTTTCTTTGAATGCCTGGGCCATGTCGACCTTGTCCTTGCTTGTGAGATCAACTGTGCACGAGTGAGCTGGGCAACACATTGAATGATTGTGATAGGATTTCTTTCGCTTACGGTCTGCCTTGGCTTCTTCGAGTTTTCGCATGGTGGCATGGGCCAAGTCGTCAGCCTCTGCGAGCTTCTTGCGAACCTCAGCAAATTCTTCATAGAGTTTCCAGTATTCCTCGCTAGACAACAAATCAGCATCTGCTTCCGCAGCCGATGGCCTCTCATACCTCTGGGTAGATTTTGCTTGTGCGATTTGGGTTGTCGAAAGGAAGTTGTCAGAGTAAGGCACAGATTGGCCGGCCAACTGGGATTCAGTGTCAGTGTCTTGCAATGGAGAGCGATTCCAGGGCTCACATACGGATGCCGAAGGAGCCTTCAGGGAATCATCCTCCTCATCCTTCTTCAATTCGTTATTTTCAGCTTTGCTATAATCGATCAGCTCTTGATACAACACGCGTCTACGGAGTACTGACAGTTGTGACTCTCCGAAGTCCTTTTGGAGTGTATCCTGCAATTGTGGCGTGTCGCTGCCGGGCGTATACGATGGGCTCCCTGGTGAACCTTCAAGCTCTCGAATCCGCTCTCGCAGATCGCTGATTCGGGTTTGGTCTCGCTCATGTTGTTCTTCTGCGCTCTTAAGACGTTCTGTAAGAGCGTGGTTATTGAACTCTAATTGCTTCTTCAGGTTTTGGACCGTGTGCCTGTCCTGCTCGATATGAGGAATAAGTTTTTTGTATTCCTCCAGTTCCACATCGCGCTCGGAAGACCGCTTTTGTTGGGAGTCAGCTTCCTTCAACTGCTGCTGAAGATCTTGAATCTGGTTCCTCAATGTTTGGTTCTCTTTCTCGTAATCCTGGCTCGCTTGCAACTTCTGTCTGTATTTTTCCGCCGCATTTGCCTTGCGCGCAAGCTGATCCCTTTCAGTCTTGAGTTCGTCATAGTCATCCTGGAGCTTTTGGTATCGTTGATTCTTGACGAGTAAAGACTCCATAGACATCCGTAAGCTGTCGATCTCATCTTGTGCAGCGGCGAGTTTGACCTCCTGAGAAGCGATCAGGTCTTCTTGCTGCCGAGCTTTGGTCTCCAAAGCCTTTGCATTGATTCCGACTTCGCCTTTTCCAGACTTCAGAGTCACAAGTCGATCTTCAGTCGACGCAAGGCGGTTTTGCAAGGTATCGTTATTTTCCTGCAGACGAGCCAAGCGGTTATGCAGGTCTGCCAATGCCTTCTCTAGTTCCTTCTTTTCGTGCGCAAGACGATCGTTTTCTGCAATGACCTTCCCAACCCGTTCCTCGAACTGCAATTCCGGGTCGACGAGCTCTCGCTTTAAGGGGGGTTTGTGATCGTCGTCGTCGCTATCAAGCGGCTCATGTTGGCCGTTGTGCGCCTCCTCAATGATATCCTTCAATCCTTCTTGGGTCGATGTGCTCAGGCTCTGGAGAGTCTGCACGTATGTTTCCGCGTTGGGGGAACTGATGGCGGCAATCAGGAGGAGTTTCAAGAGCTTGTTGGTCTCTTTGACAGAGCTCTTTTCCGCGATAGCTTCAAGATCTGGGGAGGGGTCAAGACCGGATGGTACTTCGTCTTCATTCTGGTGTCGGACATAGCTCAGCAAAAGCTTGTGGATGTGCTTCAGGTTCTGCCACTTGGCCACCCAATTGTCTGTTACCCGTTCCGGGAGCTCGTCGAGAAAATACTGAGGGTCGACATCCTGTAGGATCTCCCAAATAATTATACCGTCAGTCAATTCGTCGGTAGCCCGGAGGGTTTTACCCAAGGAAAAGCTGTTGATCCATTCCAGCAAAACCTTGGTCACGGTGTGTTCCGAGGCCATGTTGAGCGGAATGGATCAGGCACGCGCGGAACCAATCTTTGGCTAGAAATGTCAATGTCAGGGTGCTCTCAGGGGCGTTTCAGGACTTTATTGTAGACCGAAATGAGGCAGGAGTGTCTTGGTATTTATAATTGCGGTTTGGGAGGTATTTCCTTTCTCGAGAATCGGAGTGTTTCGAGTGGAATCCACGCGTGCTTTTTTGGCGCGGTTCGGAGAACGAGGATCAATTGCTTTGTTTCCGTGTTGTCAGATGATCCAACATCGATAGTTCGTTCCTCTTTCACTACTGCTCTTTCAGACATTATTGTCTTGCTTGAAAGACACAAAGAATCACTGTGGTATTATCTAAAGTACATGGAAACAATTCTAGATGTATTTACATTATTGTTGAGAACTCCAATTTATACTATTTGTGGATGGTATACGCTGAATAGCTCTCTGTACTTAGAGAATAAACTACTCTAGAGATTTCATAAGTTATAACCCCCACTTCAGCTAATGGGGCTGCTGGTCTAGTCTACGGAGTAGATTAATTAATATATAGTCTTAACCTAAGTGCCTATTAGGTTATATTTAATGACATCAATGAGGACTGTAAATAACTGGATTCTTAGATGATCAATTTGTTATAGCTTTGAAAGTCCATTGTTATTGATATTTGACTGCGTAATTAAAGAAACAAACATAAAGAAGCATACATATCATTCATTGGGGACATAAAGAGCATAAAAAACATACCATCTACAATGGTCAAATCAAGAAGAGACAACCCCTATTGTTGCAGAAGCCATTCAAGCCTTAAAGTGCCATAACGCTTCCTGGAGTGGTGAATATTTAGAAGCCAGAGTAATATGCTAGTAATCTAGTATATAGACTCCTTAACTATCAGTAAGGTCACCATCAACTGTGACTATCTGGTCCTCTTCAATGAATGGGTTATATGTGGTAGAAAGCGTAGAAATGGTCTGGATAGTATTCTCTGTAGCTTGAGCGGCAAATCCTCTGGACAGACTATGTCAGTCCCATTGGTCAGGCAGAAACAGCGGGGAAAGATGCCCTTACTTGAGAAGGTCTAAATCGAGAGCAGGAGTTAGCTATTGAAGTATATCTGTCTGGAGAAAGAGGGAGAACTTACGATATTCATGCGTGATAACGCCACCCTATGAAGTAAATTGATTAGTCTCTTAAACAAATACCAATGACCGACAGTAATATCGTACAGCATTTATAAGAGCTTTTTTGGCGTCATTTATGACTGAGTCTGGAGTATTCTGAGGGTAAGTGACAAGAAACGATTTATATGACTGGGCAGCCAAGGCGAGTGGGAGAAGGCCGAATATTGAGATCGAGGTAGCAAATTTCATGGTGTGGCTTGTTTATCCTTCTCCTCAAAAATTTGATATACAAACGATATCTGATTCAGATCTGGTCGAGAAGATGGGATGGGCCTTGAGTTTTATAGAGGGATGTCGGGTGATGGGTGGTAGATGATCATCACTAACTAGGTTGGGCGACGCTTCTTTCGTCATTTTGCTGACTAAGATAACTGTCTTAACTAGTTAGCTCCCGACAAAGCCTGAAGGAACTCCGCGCCGGTCAGTCACGTTTCAACTGTTATTATTGTTGTTCTTGCAACTACCACCTGTTCTATTCGTCTTCTCCTTGTTTTATTATATTCCATTTGACTCTGAATTCTTGAATCTACACTTGACTGTTTATATTTCAATTTCTCTAACCTTAAGCTAGTTGATTTCCTGCTGCTCTTCCCACTAGACGTCGCCCGCCCTGTCCGCGGTTTTCCTTCTTGTGATATACACACAGCAAAGACGATTGGAAACAGAAGGATTGAGTGAGGTAGATATAAATCTCCACGGCTGGACGGTTGCGGCGGATTTCTTTTCTTTTAATTTGGAGGAGGCGCCTACACCACTTGTTATTGTCTCAATCTCACAGAGAATAGTTAGCAAACATTCTACAAGTTTCGAAGCTTTTCATATCTCTTTGCTATTCGAGGAGAGCCTACCTTGAGACAAAAGGGGGACCAGGGTGAATAAACTGGGCTTTACATTAAGGCAAGTGTGCCAGGAGCCAACAAGAAGAAAAAGAGGTGGAAGAGAAAAGAAAAAAAAGCAAATATAGAGGAAGCCAAGCAGAAGAAAAGAACTTAATAAAGAAAAAAAAATTAAAGCACAGGCAAAAAAAGGATACAATATTCAAGAAAGAAGAGAGGCAAGCAGAAAGAGGGGGAAAATCTTCTGGAACACAGTCAACTCCCTAGAAAGGGCAGAAATAGCCAACTTCTGCATATCAAGTGTTACTCAAGCTCACCATTCTCCGAGTACTCTTGTCCAACCTCAACCGCCAATTTCTTGTTTCCTCCCTGTATATCTGCAGTTTCCCGCCCATCATGTCTTCGGGTCTTGCCTCTGATGAGGTCGCCGAGGACTACAAGAACTCTTTGGAAGATCTCACTAGCAATGACAGATTCCAGATCAGCAACTTGACCGTCATTGCCAAAGAAAACACGGAACATGCAATGGCTATTTCCCGGGTCTTGGAGAATCATATTCGAACAGTAGGTGGAAATACCCCCCCCCCCCCCTCTTCTACTCCCTTCGACTTTGTTAGATGTGTCTGTCCGTGTAGTATCTTTTCTGGATGAACGGCTCTAATTTTTCTCTGTAGACACCACCCGCACAGAAATTACCGGCTTTATATGTAGTCGACTCGATTGTGAAGAATGTGGGCACTCCTTACACGTTATTCCTGGGGCGCAACATGTACCAGACATTCATGAACGCATACACCCTGGTCGACTCACAGACTCGCAAGAAGTTAGATGAGATGCTCAAGACCTGGAAGGAGTCTGTCCCGGGTTCTTTGGATACTAAGCCAGTCTTTCCTCCAGAGATCACCCGTGGTATCGAGAGTGCTCTCATCAAGGCAAGGACAGCAGCTCTTCAACAACAACAAGCCAGAAGCCAACAGGATCTGCTTGGTCGCGGCCGTGGAACCGGAACACCCACTGGGTGGACTAACAGTCCTACACCACAAACTGCTCCGCGACATCCTCAACCAAATGTACCTAGACCCAATAACAATGGGCATGGCTACGACGCCGCACGGATTCCCCCCCAAACCCAGCATAATTCACATCAGGACGTCGATCTCGCCGCTTTAAACAGAGATATTGATTCTCTGATAGCTACAGCTCGTAGCGACTTTGCTAACAATCCATTGGACAATTCCGTGCAGCAGCGTCTGAAAGCTCTTCTGGATCTTCAAGGGATATTACAACGGCAGGAACTTACTCAAGAACAGCTCAGGCTCGTACGTGATCAGGTTTCCGCACTTGCTCCAGCCCCAAAGCCTGTGCCGGCAATTCCCCAGGCTTCCATGGCTGCAAACATCCCACCCGTGTCAACGACCCCAGTGTCGAATATACTCGCGCAACAACTCCCGCAGGCTTTTCAACAGCTATTGAATCCCGGGACACTGGGTGAGCTCCTCAAAGTCACTGCTGCCCGTCAGCAGCAACCTACTCCACCTCCGCAGAATCCACTCCTCTACCCAAAAGTAACTGCAAACATGAATACGCCACCACCAGCTGTCCCAACACCAGCAGAGAACCCCCTCATTGCTGCTCTGAAAGCTAGAGGACTTCTTCCTGCAACGCCTGTCCCGACAGCTTCAAATCCGCTAATGCCATCTGTACCCTCTGCTTTCCCGTTTATCGTACCTGGCCAAGTGCGGTACACCCCTCCCATCTCTACACCCCACGCTATAAATGCATCCGAAATCAAACTCGGTGTTCAAATGAACACTGTCTCCATAAAAATGTAGGTTGCGCCCTGCTGTATGGAATATCGCACAATTATTAATTCTAGGAATATCAGCCCCCAACCAACTTTGATTATCTCTCTGTATGAAGCGAGATCTAATCGATGCGGGACATGCGGCCGTCGTTTCCTTACAACAGAGGAAGATAAAGAGAAGAAGGCTCGCCATCTAGATTGGCATTTCAAAACCAACCAACGGATGGCGGAAGCCGCCAAGCGAGCCCAAAACCGCAGTTGGTACGTCGATGAACGGGTAAGTATTTGCATTCTTCTACCAGACCGCGTTTCGCTCAATTGTTGACCCTTGGTAGGATTGGATTAAATCACGTGAATTTGGAGATGATCTGGAAATCCCAGAGAGCGATGCTCAAGGCGAGAGTGGAGCTGGATCCGGCAGCGCGGCCGCAAAGAAGAGTCTTCCAAAGCAATGGATTCGTGCACCGAACGATGCTGCATTGCGAAACACTCCGTGTCCCATCTGCCAAGAGAAGTTCGAATCGACATGGTCCGAGGATGTTCAAGACTGGATCTGGCAAGACGCAATCAAAGTTGGGAACCGTGTGTATCATGCCAGCTGCTACGCCGAGGTCACCAAAGATGGGCCAGCTCCAGCCCGCGGTAGCACGCCGCTTGGGCGTACGGGAACTCCAGACTCCGTCCTGGGTAAACGAAAGGCAGAGGTAAGTTACTTCAACAGGATCCTGCGAGGTGCCCTTTTCACTTACTTGATGTCTCCTAGGACAACGACTCACCCTCCCACGTGCGAATTAAAACTGAGCCATCATTATAATTAGATCAGACCTTCCCATGCAAATATTACTAATGTACGGGAAACGAACGGTCCATCGCTATACTATCCCTAAAATTCATCTGAATTTGCATTGTACCGGATCGGGAGCTGCTTCTTTGGTATATCCTAGCATCGTCTTCTATTTCCATGGAGTCTCTTATTAGCTTTCTCTTTCTCGTTCATTTCTCGTCACCCAACCCTCACAGTCGAGGCACAACGCCAATATTTTAGAACTTCGTTGCATCAAATGCGGCCTAGAACTTAGCATCTTTCATTGAGATATCTCATGTAACTATACAGAAATTTCTAGGGCTCTTGCACGGAGTATTTCTCTCGTACCCAATGTAGCTAACTAATTGGCTCTACCCCACTAATTCCTAACTATGTAACTGGAGATTTACCAAGGTCGTATCGTAACTATCTGCATCCTGTTATAACCAACTCAGGTACCTACCCCTCACGGATACTAGTTTCCGTAGGATCACTATCGCTCAGAGTCACTATATACACGCCTGGGTCGATATTTCTGGAGCAAGAAGTATTTTTTTCTATAGCCATCCGTTTCGCATCCAGTGTACGCAACGCAACCATGGCTTCTTACAATGTTCGATGGGGCATTATGGGTATGAGAAAACCAACTCCCTTCATCATCACTTTCAACCTGAAGAGAGCATTAGGGCTAATGTAATGATCTGGATATAGCAACTGGCGGGATTGCCACCAGTATGTTTGTCCCTTACGGTCTACTTATAGACTTGTTGACAGTTAATCGTCTGACTATTGATACAAACAGCTTTCGTTCGGGACCTTCTGACTGACCCTAAGGTTCGTGGCGCATCTGATGTGTCGCATACTATCGTTGCAGTCGCCTCGTCATCTTCTGCAAGCCGTGCTGAAGAATTCATCGTAGACAAAGCCATTCCTCGCCCTTGTGCGGCGTATGGCTCGTATGAAGAGCTTGTTGCCGACTCTAGCGTCGATGTGATCTACGTCGCAACGCCGCACTCGCACCATTTTCAAAATAGCATGTTAGCCCTAGAGGCGGGCAAGCATGTGCTTTGCGAGAAAGCGTTCACAGTCAATGCGGCCCAGGCGAAGATCTTGTGCGAGACTGCAAAGAAGAAGAACTTGTTCCTCATGGAGGCCGTGTGGACTCGCTACTTCCCTCTCAGCGTGCAAGTCCGGGACCTCATCAAGCAAGGCGCGATCGGCGAGGTGCTGAGAGTAATCGCGGACAATAGCACGGGCGATGATGTGGAAAAGATATGGGGGACTGCTCATCGGATGGTGAACAAAGATCTAGCAGGTGGCGCCTTGCTGGACTGTAAGTTCCCAATCAGAAGATCTAACAATGTTCATTTTTTGGTAATTCTCTGCTGAAACATTCCACAGTGGGCATCTATTCTCTGACGTGGGTTTTCCAAACGCTCTACCACACTCTCCCTGTTACTCAGCGCAAGCCCCCGTCGGCCATTTCGGCGCATATAACCCCCTACCACCTCACTGGGGCGGACGAAGCAACCACGATCCTGCTCAGCTTTCCTACCACTACCCCATCCAACAGCACGCACCCCGGCGAGTCTCAAGCCGTGGCAATGACACACCTCCGGGTCGCGACCGATCCTGGCGAGGATAACTCTGCTGGACCTGCCGTCCGAATCCAGGGCACGAAAGGTGAGATCCAGGTTGACGGGCCCGTCTGGAGGCCGGAGAGGTACCGCGTGATCTCGAAGAAAACTGGAGACTCAGAGGCTTCCGGCATAAAAGAGGTGCATTGCTCTTTCCCTGGAAACGGCCATGGCATGTACTGGGAGGCGGACGAGGTCGCTCGGTGCCTGCGCGATGGGAAGCTTGAAAGTGAATCAATGCCGTGGGAGGAGAGCATTGTCATCATGGAAGTCATGGATGAAGCTCGTCGTCAGGGTGGCTTGACTTATCCCGAGTCGATAGAGTCGACATCTTACCCTCTGAAGTTGTAAAAGATGGGCATGACTTATCGATGGAGTTCACAAGATTCCTTACGCACCATCTGCAGGTTTGAGTGATTCTAGCTAGTCCTTTCTGCGATGGATATACGAATAACTATGAATTTCTTGAAGTAGCCAATACTTAGGAAAAAGAGGCTCAAACTTGAATATACTATACATTCTGCTGAGATCACTTTCTAGGAGGTGTCTATGTAATGATGCAGTATGAACAATTCGTCCAATTGCAATGCAAGAGACCGGCTGGACTTTGCTTCCATGGCACCGTCGTAAGGCAACCCAACATATTCGTGACATTAAATTATTCTCACTAATTTTTTTGGCCTCCTGATCTGTTCATTTTTGATCAGATGAGCGCACGAGAACCCCAGGGGCTGCTGGAGAGCTGTCAATCTCTCAGCACCGCGAGATTCCTGCAACAGGAGTCTTTTTAGTTCTTGTGGAAAACACCCAGAAGGCTCTTCCACACCTGACCAGGCTCCTGGCTGGCATCGATGCCCCTCCAGATACCAGTCTTCTTGTAATAGTCGACAACAGGGGAGGTCTGATCGTGGTATGTTGCGAGACGCTTCTTCAAGGTATCGGCATTGTCATCGGAGCGCTGGATCAAAGGCTCGCCAGTGATATCATCCTTCATGTCATCCTTGGGCGGGTTGAAGATCTTGTGGTAGGAACGTCCGGAAGCAGGGTGGACCAGACGGCCAGTAATTCTGGCAACCAGGAGAGCATCATCGATCTGAAGCTCAACAGCATGCCCGAGCTTCTGGTTGCGCTCGTTAAGCATGTCGTCCAGGCGCTCAGCTTGAGCAACTGTACGGGGGAAACCATCGAGGATGAAACTGGCCCTGTTAGCCTTTTCTGCATGGGCAACTCAAGCAGCCGGTGTATGCTATACACACCCGTTCTTGCACTCGACATTGTTCTCGAGCTCGCTCTTGATCATGTTCACCATAATCTCATCACTGACCAGACCGCCCTGGTCCATGATCTTCTTGGCCTCCTTTCCGAGCTCGGTCTTCTTGGCAACTTGCGATCGCAGCATGTCTCCGGTAGCCTGCGCAACAAAACAAAGCATTAGTAATGGGATTTCTTGGGGGGGGGGGGGATGGGAGGTAAAAAGAAACTTACCAAGTGGCACACGCAGTACTTCTCCTTGATCTTAGGGGCCTGAGTGCCCTTGCCTAAATGGATATCTGTCAGCATCACTTCCTACTGATCCCCGAAGAAAATCCAAACATACCAGCACCAGGAGGTCCCATCAGGATGATGCGCATGTGTTCCGCAATGCTCTTGGGCTTGGAGCTGCTAGCTCCACTCAGGCGACTCTCCAAGTCCTCAATGCGCGCCTCCAGCTTTCCGATCATGTCCTTCAGGCCATGAACGGCATCGTCTGTAATGGGAGCCATTGTGTATAGAAGAATGGAGAATCTGGTATAGAATATTAGAGATCATTCGCTTAGAGACAGCTGGAGTTAAATAATCACTCTCTTACCACAGGAGAAGGCTGAGATTTAAAACAGGTTGCAGGATGGAGAACGCGGACAACCGGTTGGGGACAAAAAGATGTTCCACAACTCGGCGAAGAACTAGTGCATGCCCCAAGGCTCGCTCCGCGATTCCAGCCTCTTCACCCGCCCGGGTGCCGGACTTGCAGCGACATCTCCCGCGAATGCCCTTGAAGCGATTAAAGGCCAAATCACATTCATCTAAAGATACAAAATAATGATATACAGCCCTAGCGCGCTCTTTTCTCCAGATGAGAGTTAACTACCGTAGAAGTCTTTTATTTATTATTTTTAACCACGTGATCTGCTTGTCCCTGGGGCCTGGGCCTGTTCTAAGCCTCAGGCACCAAGCTGTGGCTGGTAATGTGGCTGAAAGGCGCAACAACAGGGCAATACCGAACTTACGTCTTACAGCCTACAGCTCCGAACAAGCTCGCCGCCATCGTTGACAGAAGCCACTTCCACACCGCTCACGATATCCCAGAGCTCTCTACATTCGACGCCCTACGTTTCCCATTCGTCTAAACGGCTGTATTCGTCTTCCCCACCTCCACCATGCCTGCCACAACGGCGGACACACTTTCGCTCGTCACGCGTACTGTCTCCGTTGCTCCCCTCGTCCTACTCTCTGTTGCAGATCACTATGGGAGGTCCGCCAAAGGAACTCGGAAACGTGTAGTCGGTGTGCTTCTAGGCGAAAGCTCCGGTCAGAATGTCAGAGTGTCGAACAGCTTTGCCGGTGCGTCTCGCTCGACTACAAGTGCTAGCGAAGCCTTGCCGCTGACTGATGGTGTTTAATAATAATAGTTCCCTTCGAGGAGGATGAGAAGGATCCATCTGTCTGGTTCTTGGACCACAACTTTGTCGAATCGATGCGTGATATGTTCAAGAAGATCAATGCTCGTGAGAAGCTGATCGGATGGTATCACTCTGGCCCCAAGCTGCGGGCCTCCGACCTCGAGATCAACGAGCTTTTCAAACGATACACACCGAATCCGTTGTTGGTCATCATTGACGTGCAACCGAAGGAGGTTGGCGTGCCCACAGATGCATACTTTGCTGTGGATGAAATCAAAGATGTAGGTTGTCTCCTCCATCCTGATCTATATTGACATTATATGGCGCTTTTATCTAAAAACATGCTTCTTTTTCAGGACGGCACGACAACCTCCCGGACGTTTGTGCACACTCCGTCTATAATCGAAGCAGAAGAGGCCGAGGAAATTGGTGTTGAGCACCTCCTCCGAGACATCAGGGACGTTGCCGTCGGGACGCTCTCTACACGCATAACATCCCAGCTGCAGTCGCTACAGGGCCTTCACCTGCGCCTACGTGATATCGGACAGTATCTGCAAAAGGTTCTTGACCACGAACTTCCGGTCAACCACGCCATCCTCGGCAATCTTCAAGACGTCTTTAACCTGCTCCCGAACCTGTCAACACCTTCGACATCATCGCGTGCCAATGGCGCCGAACCGCAAATCGAGAACAGCGAACTAGCTCGCTCTATGAGCATCAAGACCAATGACCAGCTCATGGCCATTTATTTGAGCAGCTTAATCCGGGCTATCACTGCCTTCCACGATCTGATCGAGAATAAGATTCAAAACCGGCAGCAACAAGAGGAGAGCGAGTCGAAGAAGGAACAAGAGAACGCCACGGGCAAGGAGGACAAAGACGCTGCCGCGAAGAAGACCAACGGAACAGCGAACGGGGAACAAACGGACGAGTCGGAGGCTAAGGAGAAGCAGAAGAAGAAATAATCATATGATGCATGGCCTTTACGATCAATGCAGATACTGCCAACATTGAACTCATTCAATTACCTATCCGTAAACCCTTGCCTACAAGTCTACTCCTGAAGAGTACAGAGTAAGGCATATGTAGTACTTGAAGAACATGGTGAAGAATTAAATTTATATTTCATCTCGTAGATGTATTAAGCCAAACACCCTACCAGCTCCGCCGGCGTGATCTCCCATCGCGCGTCAGAATCGACCCCAAAGACCGCAGGACATCTCGCGGCCAGTACACAGGCAAGCAGATGTTTACAAATTGCAGACTGGCGAGGGCCTATCGATCCGCCAAAGGGATACAAAGAAGGGGAGTGTGTATCAGTATCGGCATCAGAATCAGGTTGCGGTTCGGATGTTTCTGGACCGTGCTGGAAACAGGCAAGCGCGAATGTCGGACAGGTACAGTTCCATGCGCGAAGACGGACTTCGTACCCCTTTTCCTTTTCAGCAGGGGAAGAAGAATCCACACCTGCACCTGGCGGGGAAGAGGCAGAGATCACGAAGAAAGTTTCTCCAGATACTTTGTTGTCGGGGGTATTAGCCTCCTCCCTTCGAATAAGATACCGTCGTACGAGCTTCCGGTCGAGGATGTCTAGGGCTAGAAGCAGCTCGTTGGGGAATAGACAGTGGAGTGTTAGAATCAAGGACTTGGCGTGTGCGGAATGTGTGGGTGGTAGGCTCGCGAGAGGATTTGATGGTCTATCCGATTCCCTGGTGGTAGTGGTGTCATTGTTGGTTTGTGGCGAGACGTGGGAAAGAGAAAGCTGTGTGATGAGACGGTCGATGAACTGAGTTGACTGTGTAAATTCCATGGGCTTGAAAAAGGATGTAACTGGATGCTTGAGTGGTAAATAGGTTGAGTGATGTATATATATATATATTGAAATTGATCTCTAAAATGTAGTAACTCGCAACTTATTAATCACAAAGAATAACAAAACCAAGTCATTTGCGTTTTCGAGGCCGTAAGCTTCTACCCCCAGTCTTTTGCGTGGTCTTCGACCCATCTACATATTCGCCATCGTCGTCGTCCCTCTTTCTCTTTTTACGAGCTGGCCTTGCCACTTTGGGATCTTCCTTCTTGGTCGTCTTGGGTCCCGCGGTCTTATTTGACTTCGCCGCTGCCTTTCGTCGTCCTAATTTGGGCTTGGGATCGACCTTGGATTTCTGTGTTCGAGTACGCTTGGGTGATGGCTTACCCTCTGGCTGTTCCGTTTCATCCAGCTTACGCTTTTTCTTCATCTCTTTGACCTTGTCAACAGCGGTCACAACCTGATCGATGAGCTCGTCGCTGATCTCTGCATGGATCTTGAGCTCGAAATAGACGCCCTTTTCTGCATGCTGTGGATCGGGCTGGACCTGCTCCATGATTAATCCATGGGTATCTCCTTCACTTACCTTATACCGACAGGCTTCCGCATGGATTCTTTGCTGGGATTCATTCTTGGTGGCCGACTTTTGGGCTTCCCCTTGATCCTTGCCTGCCAGCTGCTGGGTTGGTTTAGCATCTTCGATTTCCCAGCCGACTTTGCGATATGCCAGAAGATATGCATCTACCGGCAGTTTTGCACAGGCCCCAAAACTCTCCGGTCCCGGAGTGACTGTTAGATCATTCACTTTCTGGATCTTACCTTTTCCGTTCTTCACATAGGTGATGTAATGCCCGGACATGATTTGCTTACCTATATGGCAGATGGCAGCGTACAGCTCATACTTGACGGTCTTCCGTTGGGACTGCCTGACCGCCACGTTATCGAGATATGGATTGAGGTCCAGATCGAAGTCTTTGACAGGAGTCTCAATCTTAATGCATGAGCCGTTTGCGAATTTGATCCGATCTAGACACACCAGCAGCACCTCTGGCGTCTCATCATCGAGAAGGCCTTTGGAGCTGAGCTTGATACCGCATTTGCTGCAAGTTTCATTGTCTAGAGGCCGGGGCGCCATGGTCTCCCGGAGGGCCCTTTTCAGCGTGGTGGAGACAACCGTCTGTCCTCCCGAGGTGAGAAGCGCGCTGAGCCAGTACCAGCTGTCTGGCGGACCCATGGACACAAGGGGTCCTTTGCACTTGTCGCAGAACTTGTACCTGTTTGTTCTTACCTGAAAGATCTGGCTCAGAGACTGGGCACTGGACACATTAGTTAGCTTGAAGATTGATAGATTGAGAAATAGGCGGGTATAGAGAGAGAGAGAGAGAGAGAGAGGGAAATGCAGTAATAGAACATGACTTACAGGACGGGATCTGTTTCCTCAAGGTAATTAAGCAAGTCGACCAAGAACTCCGTAGCATCCTGTTGACCTCGCCTTGGGATGGTACCTTTCGCGCACCACCTTGCATAGAAGGGAGTCCATAGTTTATTCATCCACCTGGTTCGAGTTCCCTGGTCACACCCGCTAGACCAGTAGACGGAAGCCAGCTTCTTGAAGAGGCAGACGAGACATTTCTTCGGATCGCACCCGCCTCCGTTATGCGAGTTGAGCCAGTTCACAAACACAGGCGTGTGAAGGAGCATGACCAAGACCGAGTTACGGTAGCACTGGTCCCCCCCGTTCTTGATTCCGTGCGTGGGGGCATCGACGGGCAGGTTGTTGGTTGTCCACCATTCTTCGATGAGGGAATCCTATATGTTTTTTGAGAATGGTTAGCAGGGTGGGGGGCTATCTGGTAGATTCAGTCGGAAAGGAAAACCTTGCCTTGTTCTTGGACTTTGGTTGCGAAACCGCCATGACTCGGTTGATTCTAGTGGGTGCTTTGACTGTTTCTCTTTACTTCTTGTCGATATACAATGACTGTCTCTTGACTGATGAACTTGTACTTCAAAGTCATTCTCGACAAGGAATCGGGGCAATTTATCTTCGAGAAGGCCATGCGACCTGCTGCAGGGCCGTTGTTCATGTTTCTTTGTCTCATTGTGAGTATGGTTTGTCATTCTGCTTTGTTCTTTGAAGTGTGAGATGTTAGGATTAATATAGCTCTGAAAGATCTTTGAAGATATTCTTTATAGTTTATAACAATGAGAACAAAGACTGCCAATTGTCTTACATGACAATAAAGAATCTTGAATCGAGCCTTATGCTCGTAGATGAGATTCAAGTTACTCAACACGCTACATAGATTATCATATCTATAGCCACTAGAGAAGCGATACATTCTCAACTATACTACATAACAAGACTCGAGTACTCCGTAGGACTCTAACTATGCCACTGTCTGTGATTCTAGACATGATACATCAAAACCATTACTCATCCATCGGATGATTCAAATGATTACCTTAGGAGCTCTTACTGGCCTTGTTGATATCGACCGTCGTTTCAGAAAAGTGGAGTAGCAGAACAATAAGCCGTGACTCTCTCCATTGGTTCGCGTGGACGGAGTCGACCACGAAATGGAAATGCCCGAGCAAAGCAAGGAACCACCACGTCAAAATGAAACGCGGGCGGTCCCCAAGTGTTTCTCGTAGATTGTGTAACGGCTGGGAACGGTGGATCTTGGGTATCTTGAATCTCGACTCCTGCTGCACTGCACGGCATCCACTAGTTACAGAGTGCCTGGCTAGTTAACAGTTAGTCAACCGACTAGTTAAGCACCTTAGGTACGTACTTACCAGGTGGTTAGTTGTGATTCCGTAGATGCTTGCCTACCTAAGGATACGAAGCTGAGACCTAGCAAGGTAAACTAACTGCAGATGGGCACAAGTCACGGAGCCGACTCGGACATGGAGTCTGCACGGTCCGCACACCGCTAAAAAAGATGGAATAGTAAGGTATACCTACCTAAGCTAATAGGCATGAGTTAGTTACCTCTTAACGTCTACATGTTTAATAGCTGAAAGCTTTATATTCTCAGGTATATCTCAGGTATACGACTAGGTATTTACCTCCTAGTTACGATAGCTACCAAGTACCTAGGTAAGTGGTTACAGGGTACTCCGTACTCCGTACTCCGTACCTTGTTCCAGCCAGCAGCAAGTCTCGCCACGTTTCCTTATTCTACCTATCTAATTCTTACTCTGTGCTTCGAGGGTTAATCTCGCTTGGACCAGCAGAAAGACCCGCCAAGACGAAATGAAATGAGCTGTGATTGACATGTTCTCGGTGGCTTTGCTGAAGCAATCATAAAACAAGCCACTCTGGACCCCACTGGTCCCTATAATTTGGCCCACCGTTCAAGCGATCATTTCACTCACTCTGCTCCTAGGAAGTACCCAGTACGGATGTACTGAACCAGTACTTAAGAGGCATAATCCACGAAAACAAGGAAGAGTATGGAGTCAGAACAGATGGGTTTAGACTTTTCACTAACTACTACATAGTTCCAACTTCTCTTGGTAGGTTAGATACCTGGGTACCTATAGCTAAGATAGGTAGGTAGGTAAGTGGATTAAGTTTCAGTAATTACTCCCATGTAGCATCATCATCTAGTTAGTAGTATAGTAGTACAGTAGACGGTATAGTAGTAACTAGCAGGAGAGGGTCACAATAATGCACACACTCTAAACCAGCTATGATCTCTCTCTCTCTATTAGTCCTACCGTTTTCCTCCAAGTACGGAGTACTCCACCGCAAGTCTCGCCTCTGCCACCAGAATGAGGTAGGTTGGGATAGACAGCGCGTTAACCATGGTTGAGCAGTCGATGGATGACATTCCTTCCCAGTATCCTTCAACGTAGGTAGGTGCCTGCCTGTCTAGGAACTGACAAGGGTAGGGAGTTACTGGTAAAACTACATACTACATAAGTTGCCTACCCGTACACATACTATAGTAGTTTCTATTAGTTATACCTAGGACTACGTTTCGTAACTCGCTCTGTAACTGTAGGCTCGAACGGTCTGCCCGAGAGGGATGGGGCTTGACGGGTTCGAGTGGAGAGGGCTTGGGTCCCTCTGGATATTAGTTCCTCTGTATTATTATTACTACTGTCTGTGCAGCGTTGAGGCCTGCGAGTCTGTGAGGGTTTCCCGCATATTGGCTCATTTGATTTGTCGCAACGGCATGCATCACCTGGTTAATTCGCCGACGATCGTCTTTCCCATGCATCCATCGCCCGGTTATCTCATAGGTTCTCCGGCCGTTTTTTTTTTTTTTTTAATTTTTTTTTTAATTGCTTAATCGTCCTTTTTCTCTCTCTCTCTTAGGGCCCTTTCCCTCGCTTCTACCTCTTTAGACTCTTGCTCCATCCTGGGTCGTTATAGCCCGTCCGTTCGATATTCCCATGGAACCCGTTCCTAGGTCCACTTTCTCTTTTGCTGTCCATCGTCTATATACCTTCGCTCCCCGGTCGTTATTGTTCGAGAACCGTCTCGACCAGCTAGCTGCCGAACCCTCTGCAACACCCCTCTCTTTCCCCAATCGTTTTGTGGATTCCTCGCCACGAACCAGTCTATAGATCTCCCTCTGCCTTCCATTTCTCTTTACCTCTTACCCCCCCCCCCCCCCCCCCCCCTCCTTCCCTCTCTCCCTGGTCGGTTCCGTCTTGGATAGTCCATACATAAACTATCTCTTGTGTCGATTGACGTTCGGCTCGATCTCTGCGCTGATTTCTCGATCGTCTACTTTCCTGCACCTGAGAGCCAACTCGACACGCGGTGAACAACGCGCATATGATTGTGCTACCCAACCAGCCTCTCCCTCCTCCCGGCAAAGTGGATATCTCACTTCTCCTCAAACCCCAGGATGAGGAAGAAGCCACCCGCGCACCTATCACCACTGCCGCCTACTACAAACCACCACCGCTGACAGCACAACTGCCGCTTCCTGCGGCTGCGGGGCCCTCGCTTGCAGCGGCGGCCCCGGTAGCTGGACTACCAGCAGGGCCGCCGGTAGTCACTGCGGGTCCGAGTCTCTCGGTCAAGGCTGGCACAAAACGACTGCAGCCCGCTCATACGGCCGAGTCGCCCGCAAAGAAACAGTCAAAGTGGTCTCCGGAAGAAGATGCGTTGATCATCGAGCTGCGGGGCAGCGGAATGAAGTGGGAGGACATCAGCAAGCGGTTGCCCGGTCGAAGTGCCATCAGCTGTCGCCTGCACTATCAAAACTATCTGGAGCGTCGAAGTGAGTGGGACGAAGACAAGAAAAACAAGCTCGCACGGTTGTACGAAAGGTACAAACGCTCTTATCTCTTTCTCTCTCTCCTTTTTTTAGGCTAAAGTAAGTACTGACTCGGATAGATTCAAGGCGGAAATGTGGTCGAAGGTGGCCGAGGAAATGGCCATTCCATGGCGGGCAGCAGAGGCCATGCACTGGCAGCTCGGAGAACAGGAGATGGCCCGTCGAGCGGGCGTGGTACCTTTTTCTTTATCCAGTGCGGCGATCGATCCCCCGGCAACCCGCACACGCAGAACGTCTTTGTCACGGCCCCGAAAAGATTCAGCATCGCGGCATCTTCCATCCCAGCTGCCCTCAGTGGAGGAGCTCACAGCTGGGGTACCAGCATATGCTCCAGCTCCGCCACCCAGAGAGCCCTATCAAATTGGGCGGCCGCCGCCGCTTATAAATGGGCCTCCGCCGGGGAGTTTCGGCCCTGTAATGTGCTTCCCACCTCCGCCACCGCCGCCACGAACTCTTCCCTGATCTGATGACTTGCTGTTACCCCCCCCGCACCCCCTCTTTTCTCTCTTCTCCGTTTGATATATTGCATAGCGTTGGCCCGGAGATGGTGGTATACTTTTTTTGAGATTGCAAGAAGAGAAGCTACACATGATTGTGCTGGTTGATATTTTATTTCCTTTGTGTTTCATCAAGGGCTGGCTTCATGACCAATGTTTTCTTTCCTTTTTTCTGTGCCACGTCAGAGATATGTGACCGATAAGCGGGTCTTTCGAGGCTGGTCCTCCAAAGTACCCATTTGGTCAATTTATTGCAGGGGAGGGGGCTGTTGTTTCGGCCCGTGTTGCAATCGCCCACCAATTGTCTTTTTCATACCCAGACTCAAGAACATGACCCCCTGCACAGACTATGTCTCGCTCCAATTCCTGGCTTGCATACAGGTGGTAGTAGCGGTGAAAAGTCTTGGACATGTCCTTGGACTGAGCGGGGGAGTTCCCACCACCCATCACCCAAGGAACCATGATATCCTGCTGGTCGCCTTTGTCCCAGCCTCTGCGGCTCGTTTTCTGCTCGAGAGCCCAGGCATAAATCAAGGCTTTGCCGCCTTGATTCAACGTGCGCAAAATCTCTTTGATCGCCTCGACTCGCCGGTCAGGACTTGATAAATGATGCACGACTGCGATTGAAATAGCAAAGTCAAAGCTCGCGCTCGGATGCGGCAGATTTAGAATATCGGCCATGATGGTGGAATGTGGTTGATGTTTCACAGCAATTCGCGCGAGGTTCTCAGATCTAGATGGTCAATACAGTATTGATGAAACATACAACAAAAAAAAAATTCAGATAGAGAAAACAAGCAATAAATAAAGCTGTGAAATAAAAAAAATCAATATAACAAAAGAAGATCCCCAATACTCACCGATCAGAGGCGACGATGAAAACATCTCGGTTTACAGGCAGATACTTGCCATTGCCGCACCCTACATCCAACCCGACAGAACCTGGCTGAAGCCCCTTCAGGAACTGTTCCACAATCGGCCATGGCTAAGCAGCAGGTGTAGTTAGCAGCTGTTTTTTGGTCTTTTTTTATTATTTTACATGGGATACCTCAAAAAAGAACAAACCTTGTATCGTGTTGAGGAAAAGTGCTGCGCGATCTGCTGGTACACCTCGTGCACGTGTTTCTCTTCGTATGATTCCTCACCTGGAGCTGGATCTGAAGCCATGGCTAGAATATAGGAATAGTATTGTATCTATCCGTACGGATGTAGTATTGGCTGCAGGGGAGAGCAGTTCCTCCATGTACGCAGTAGGTGTTAATCAATTAAAGTTCGGTAGTGGCGCGAGCTGCTTATCACGTGGCTCGGAGAATTTCTGAATCAGCAACTGTATTGCGACCATCGACGAGTGTGTGCGTTGGGTAAAAGAACCTAGTTAACTGACTTACAGACGTGTCCAGCGAGTCGGAGGAGATCTGATATCCAATAATCTGTCAGAGGCGGTGCTATTAAACGGAAAAGCTACATTGGCAGGATTGGAGTTGCCATTTGAGTCGAGCCGATCTTTTGGTATAGAGGGGGAGGTCTGACCTGTGAGTTGTATCTAGGCACTCAAACTCTCTTTGCATTGTCCTTTTTAATTACTATTGGTCTACTATGGATCTTTTATTTAAAAAAGAGCATAGAACTAATGTATCATTGCTCTGTTAATGCCCCAGCCCAGCCCATGTTAGCTTTTAGTACTTTGTTCTTGTTCTAGAAGCGTCTATAGGATTACTTTTGCCTGTAGTTAACCCAAAGATAAACTAACTCCATTTCCATAGGCATTCATTACACACATACTCTTGTTCTACCATTAATACACTAAATAGTTCAATATGGCATTCCAAGTAACACCAGCAGATGTCTCTGTCATTATCTCTACACCTAGCTCCTTCGGCGCAGCGGGGACGTCCGAATCGGACCCGGGGCTGGCGACAGAACGTCGCATCACCCCGTCCTGGACTGTCAACCAGCTCAAGGGAAAGCTGGAGACCATGACGGGCGTGCCGCCGGGCTCGCAGCGCCTGCAGCTGAAATCCCCGGGCCAGTCGGACCAATGGATCGAGGGGGAAGACGAGATCATCGGGAGATGGGGGCTGGTCAAGGGGAGCGAAATTGTGGTACGTACAGTCTCTTGAAACGGGTCATCCTTTTCTTTTGTTCCTCTTTTAGAGGTATTCTTTCTTTTTATCTTTATTCTAAGAAGAATGTAAGGTTCACGATACACGCCCGCAAGCGATGCGGCCGAATCTGAACGACGTCTCCTCGGTTGAAAAGTACACTCTCCCGACGGAAACATACGAGTCTCTTTCCAACTCTGTGCTGGCGTGGAAAAAAAACCAGAAGCTGGGTCGCTTTGACCCGAATGCCCAATCGCCCGAAGAGCTGATGCATAGGCAGGCTGAGAAGGATTTGTTGGAGCTTCAGAAGCGAGGTAAGATGAGCCTTACGAGAGACTAAGATGTCCTGCATTTGTTCTAATTTTTTTTCTTCCTCTTCAAAAAGGAATCGCCGTGGACAAGCGTGCCATCACTCTCCCCTCGTCACCGCCCCATATCCGACGTGGCACCATCCGCTTCGTCGGACCCGTCCCGGATATTCCCTATCCGGGCGTGAAAGAGCTGGGCACGGATGGACCGTTGCCCGTCTGGGTCGGCATAGAGCTGGACGAGCCCACGGGGAAGAACGACGGCAGCCTCAATGGGAAGCGGTACTTCACATGTCTGAACAAGACGGGGCTGTTCGTCAAGCCAGAGAAGGTCGAGGTCGGAGACTTCCCGCCCTTGGACTTAGATGATGATCTCGATGACTTAGAGGAGATTTAAATTATTAATGTTACTACCTATGCTGGTGCTAACCCATGCACATTCTTCGCAGCACTTGCACATTAGGATAACGAAAGATAGGGTTTTTTAAGAAGAATACCCGCCATGAACCCAACTGTCAGACCAAACCCAGCCACCCCCAAGTTCCTAACCTTGTACCTCTCCGAAAGACCAACGAAAACAAGAAAAAAGCCCATGATTTGTGGAAGGCGAAACATACTATCATATGTGTGTGAGAGAGAAACCTGAGACTAGCGCAAAAACGCCGGGATCCTCCTTATAAGATGAGAGATATATGGAGCGCTAAAAACAAGGTCGAAAGGAGACACATGGCAATATGATAGAATACCAGATTACAAGCCTCCACAGCATAGCATGTCACAGGTGGTCGGTCATGAAGAGAAAAAGAACTGGATCTCGGTTTTCAGATCAGAAAATTAGGCTTTGTTGACCTTCTGTTTACCCCTCGGCCTCCCCTTCACGGTGGTCACTGCAGGAGTAGCTTCTGCTGTCGATTCCCGCTCGTTTTCTGCAAGCTTCGAGGCTGATCCGGGCGTTGAGACTTCGTTTGGTGCAGGGACACAGCCTTGGGTGAAGAAAAGACGGGCATCTTTTTGGTGCGTGTTGGCAAAACTATAGTAGTTGCCTGAGGCCTATTAGTCTGTCTTCAAGTCACGGTTGCTGAAAAGAACTAGCGCAAAGGCTTACCTCGAGGAACTTGGAATACGCAGCCTTTTCCTGCACTGAATTGAACGCCCGACACATCGACTTGGACCCGGCCATGACAAACATAGAACACCATGTGCATTTTCTTCGAGTTCTTCGGCTTCTTGACCCCTCCGGGTCCTAGTTCTACGATCCCCGAACCGATAAACGAGGAGCTGAGCAGTTTCGCGAACCGGAAGGACGAGTTCTTCACACCCCTCGTTTCGATGCCTGACGGGGCATATGCGATGTCTAGCACAACAGTTAATCACCATGTTGAGTAAAACAGATATTGTAGACATACCAAGAACCTCCTCATCTTCCGTGCTAGCTTGAATATTCTGATCCCACTTTCGAATGTATCCGTGGAGGATACCCTCCTTCTCCCAAGGATCGGCGGCCGAGTCTCCCTCGATATCCGAATCATCGTCCCGGTTCTTCCTTGGTCTGCCTTTCTTTGAGGATTGGTGTTTGCCAGATTTCTTCTTATCCGACTCAAGCTCCTCGGTGCGAATGATCTCTTTGATGGTCGATAACGGAAACCTTTGACCGACATCGGCCTCTCCATCACCGTAAACACAGCGCTCGTTGCGCCAGTATGCTAGTGGTCTGACAGACGCTCTCCCCGATCGGGTGTGAGTGGTACTGTCATCCGAAGGCATCTCACGCTTCAGTATGTATAGACTGCGCCCTTTCAAAGGCCCTGTGCGCATGGCATAATTCTCCACAATCTTGTCTAGTTCCGGGTTATGAGGTAGGTTTATTGTCGAATCCTTCGGCTCGGACATCTTTGTCTTCTTGGTTGGCCGTTGACCCGGCAAGTCACTGTTCACGTTGCGCGCATTCTTGGATGGTCGGCCTGGGCGTTTACGCTTCGGCTGCGAGGCGATGTCAACACTTCCTTCTTGTGCGACGGCTGTCCGAGTGCGACGGCTGTCGCCTGCACCATTTCTTTTGGATTCCGAAATCGGCTTTTTCATTTTGCGTAGATCTGAGGCCACAATAGACGGCGACTGTGCATCGGAATCGTCATAGTCCGGCGCGTCTGGTTCCATGAGAAGCTGGTCGTCCCCCGTAGTCTCATCGCCGTTATTGAGAGTCTCAGTAAGCTCGTTTTGAATTTGGTTGAAGACGTTGCCATTCTCATCTCCTTGCAACTGGCTGTCCGCGTCGCTATCTGAGAAACCAGCCGTCACATTCGTGACCTCGGGCTCCAGGGCCTTGGACCCCTTCGTCTTCTTGGTCTTGTTACGAATTCCATTCGGTTGCGCTACAGACTGGGCGTTGACAGACCGCTGTCCGAGGGGCGACATATCTTGTTGCGATTCGCCATTATCGATGGTAAGATCATGGTTATCCTCGGCGCTAGAGGAGTCCTCATTGCGACGAATTGGGGACGACCGTAAGCCTGGAGTCCGGCGCGGAGATCCGGTCAAACCGGTCTTCACGGGAGATCGCGCTACTGGGGGTAGAAAGTAGGTTCCGCGCCCGCCGTTTGTGCTCGTCAGAAATTCTGAAGGATCGGGCGCATTGCCTGTTGAAGCGAGATGCTAGATTACTACCAGTTCACCGACATGACGGGCGATCACGACCACACAGGCAAGGTAGCGAAAAGATGAAAGACAATATGTCTGTCAAGCGACCTACCTTCGTCCATGGACATCCCATCAGAACCGATCGACGTTTCGTCGCCAGCATCAAAACCATTGTAGTTAACGGGTGACTTCTCAGGGGAGGAGAACATCCCGTCTAGATCCTCCATTCCATATTCATCGATCTTGCCTTCTTTCAGTGTGATACCGGTGCGCCTGTCCCAATTGTAAGATCAGCTGCTATCCAGCGACATGACCATGACCGGAACTTTCGACGCCGAAAAGAAACCCTTGTGTTATTGCAGACTATCAGAGCTTACCTTCCAGCTGTCCCCACATTTGAATAATCATAGTCGCGCGCTTTCGCGGGCCCTCTCGGAGCCATCTTCAATGTCGCTCAGTGGAGAGATGAGTGGGAGACTTTTTGAGGCTCGGGAGGCACGTCGAAAGGGGGACGCGGTCAAAGAATACTCAGAAATATCTAGTGACCGCAATAATCTTTCTGGTTGTTTGAAATCAAGCCGTCTCTAGGCAACAGGCTGTGGAAAGAGACCAGGTGCTGAGACAAAGGCGGTACTGGCGGAGGAATCAACCAGGCGTGGATGCGGAGGGGAATTGAATTGACGGGCGGCAAGCAACACGAGTAGCTCCGCTGGGAACGCGACCGCCCGCTAGTCCGGCACGGTGTCGACGCGTCCAAATTGGCCTACAACACCCCAACCACCATGCTTCAGTCATTCTTTACCGGACAGTCTTCATTATTTCACTTGCTATTGTGCAGCAATCGGGGTCAGATATGGAAGATTCAAGCCAAGAATCGAACACAACATGCTTCGTCCCTCCTAGCATAGCACGCGTCCCACTGCTGACGGGGAAGTCTTATTCTCACTATACACCTTGTCCCTCCGCCGTTACCCCCCAATCCACCACCTCGTCAGCTGCGACACCGAAGCAGGATGTCTCTAGCACACCGTGCGTCCTAGGTGTTGATGAGGCTGGCCGGGGGCCAGTGCTAGGCCCAATGGTCTACAGTGCTTTTTACCTGCCGATGGACCTCCACCACTCCCTTCTAGCTCGCGATCACAGTTTCGATGACAGTAAGGTCTTGACTCCCGGCGTGCGTGCCAATCTGATGCGACTACTTTGCACCCCCGGACACGCTCTCCATGAATCCTGTGGGTGGGCAGTCAAGGTTCTCTCCGCGCGAGACATCTCGGCGGGGATGATGCGGCCCGGTGCTGCGGTTTACAATCTTAACGCACAGGCCATGGATGCTACAATTGAGATCATTCGCGGTATTGTAGAGGAATGCAATGTGGACGTCCGAGAGGTCTATATCGATACTATCGGCAACCCCGCCTCATACCAAGCAAAGTTGGAAAAGATCTTTCCCTCGCTAAAAATCACAGTAGCGAAAAAGGCCGACTCCCTATATCCCTGTGTCAGTGCGGCAAGTGTTGTGGCGAAGGTGACCAGAGATATAGCTTTGGAACTGTGCTATGAAGCAACACTAGAGGCCACCACTGATTTGGTTGAAAACAAATCCCCGGAGACGAGCTGGGGCAGCGGTTATCCTTCAGACTCCAAGTGCACCGGCTGGTTACGAAGAAATATGGATCCGGTCTTTGGATGGGGCCCTGAATGTCGGTTCAGCTGGGGTACCGCAAAGGAAATGCTCGATATGAAAGGGGGGGCAATGGTGGATTGGCCAGCAGAGGAAGAAGAGGAAAACCGGCTCACGAGTTTCATGGCGCCATCTGCCTCTACGGGGAGCTCAACTCGTAAAGAGCTGCACACCTGGTATGGTAGCAAAGCGGTTGAGATCTTATAACGCTCACGTTCAGACGATAAATGCATGGGTTTTGGCGCATAATCTACGATATATCCTTCATTTGATGGTATAGATTCATGAACTGAATAATAGAATTTCCTATATCCTAATCAAAACCCTGCTCTGTCGGGTATCTTTCAATAACATGGAACGTACATGAACTGTCTTCGGTATAATGGAGATGTAATAGGAGAGAAAAGGAATGTCATGTTCAGAAAAATACAAAAAGAAAGGGAATAATATGTCAAAACGATAGCACGGGTTCATAGAGTTGCAGTCGAGAAATAGTACTGGTCCCAGAGATATTCGTAGTCTTCGACCACACTACCAACCAGGTCGAGAAGAGGTTTCCCCTTCATCGTCCCAGTCAGACCCTTCAACCAAGACCTGAAACAAATTAGTTGCAACTTCTCAGTAATGCGGATAGTGAAGCCTTACTTGGAGATGTTCTCATAGAATGCGCCACGCAGAAGCCACCACCCCATCGCCCACCCTCGTTTTCTTAATTCCTCGCGCTCCAAACCCGTCAGGCCGCGCAGGCCGCCTGCGACTCTTTCTCTGAACTCTCTCTTGGCCAACTGTCTGCATCCGTACTCCATTCCGAATCCCAACATCCAAGGACGCCAGTCATGTTTGTTTCTGCTCCATCGCTGCATAGCCAGAGCATAAATCAGAGGTCTCAGCGTATAAAGAACCTCGGCTAGTTGACCCTGCCCTGTAACACGGTGCAATAATGCCTTGGGAGATTTGATATCATCAGCGCTAAGAACCTTGGAAATAAGATAATCTGATACATCCTTAACATCCGGTAGGGAGGGAAGCGGCAGTCCCGTACGAGGCATCGTCCAGGTCGAATCAGACGATCGCTCAGTCTCGCAAGAACCCATTCCGTTCCAATCACCGCTCTCTTCTTCAACCGATCGGGGATCAACTTCCCGCTCCGGTAATGGCGGGCTAACCAGTGGTCGATATTTTGTCAGGCGAAGCAGAATGAGGCGACAGATAGCTTTGACAGCCTCAATCAGGACGATGATGCGCCATCGAACCTTTTCGCCACGACGTCGCGCGATCATCTCCCATAACAGCTCGGTATACCTTATCACCTGCAGGGCCAAAGCCACCTGTCTGTATAGAGAGGACTGAGATGCCCAGTACTTTGTGTATCGCGAGTGTGGTGTCGGGGTGGGCCGAGGAACTGTTGACGGGAGTCGCGCAATAACCCGGGACACGAGGGAATCATGATATAACGAAAGAAGTTGGACGCCAGAATGCACTGTTGGAGATCAGGAAAATGTATCTATCAACTATTGTCAAGCAGCTGGTTTTTTGCATACCACATTCTGAAGGCACCTCAGAGTCCCGATATCGTCCTATGGATAACACAGTCAACTTGACGTTCTCCTTCCGAGTATTTCAAGGATATCTCAACCTACCAGGGATAATATATGTAAGCGATCGCAGTGCCGACTCGACTTGGCCAACAGAGCTTGAGTTTTTCGCGACAAAATCCTCATATAGCAGAAGCCATTTGGACGGCTGAAGGAGGTTCAGGGGAATCTGACTCTGAGCTGCACACATAGATTTCATCTCAGAAAAAATGAGTGACCGATCATTAAAGTAAGCCCGCATAAGTAGAACAACTCTATTTAATTTGAACTGTTTCCTTTCCTAAGGGCTGTCACGAAGCGGACTCGAGAAGAGGGTGACGGAGTGGCTAGGTCTTCGGCACGTCACGTCACGGCTGCCAAGAGAGATATACATAGTTACATGCCGAGGTCAACACGAGATAACTGACTAGGCAAAGTTCCAAACTTCCCAGGGGTAACTTGGAATGTATTCCTTCTCAAACACTTAGAAGAGACCCGGGCATTGTTCTTTTTCCCAACTCCGTATAGACACGGATACTTTCAGCCTCCTCAGTCCCTAACACCCCGCCCTGCTTGTGCACGATGACGTATAAGTACGGCCTACGGCAAACTGGGTAACGCGACAGAGCAGCATAGACTCTGTCCTTGATTTGATTATGAGTTCCGCGAGAGCTACTAGCTGGATGAGGTGTCCAGTTCGCCATGGTAACCCTGCACTGTCTAATCATATCTATATATATATAGTCGGCATGTCATCAAAGTAATAGGCAGAACAGAGATGCTTTGGAAGGGCAGAATGAACTATTCGTCTGCAAACTGCCATAGGCCTCCCGGACGCATTGCTTCTTGGCGACGCGCTGTAACCGTCTCGTGTTCAAGTCTTCTCGCTTCCTGACGATCATTTTCTAATTCCTGGGTATCAGGCATCTCCGTACGCCAGAATCCGGGAGGAGAATGTGCGCGTTGATGTTGATGCCGGTGTTTTCCATAGTTGTTAGCAAGAGACCTTGCTCGAGCTTCGAGAATTAGCTTCTTTCGAGACTCCTCGCTAAGCTGATCCAAGGAATGGCTGTCTTTCCCCATATACTCTTCCAAAAGTCTCTGGTCTTCTTCCTGATCCGAACCAGTTTGTGGTTTGAGGCGCGCCATCGCACGAAATACATCCCCGCAGCATCCAGGGCGCATGCAGCCAGCTAAATGTTGGCGCTCGGCTTTGTTGCGGATGACCTGCCCATATGCGAACTCAAGTCCGTTGTTTTGGTCCGGGTTTAACCTGAAGCATTCGGGATTCAGTTCTCGAGGCGAGCGAACTCGAAGAGGCCCATCCTTGGAACATACTAGTAGATCTTGACCGGCGCCTACCCCTTCGGGGCGTCTACCAATGATTGAATCATTTCTCGATTGTGAAGAATCTGCATGTACAGTGCAAGAAACTGTCTTCGGGGGTTCATGATCTTGGTTAACTGAATACGAAGACTCATGAATGAGATCTGCGGGTTTTCTGGGATCGTTGTGATCGTTGAACTGGGCCAATGGCCGTTTCGAAGGCAACGGAGATGCAAGAAGGCCACTCAGCCGTCGATGGACAGAATTATCATCATCAATATTCGAAGGATTTACTGCAGCCGCTTTTGTCGAGGTCTCATTGAGCCTTTCTTGCCCATTATTAGAATAATCTTTCTCGCCATCTTCGGTCATAAAATGAAATCTTGCCGATGCACGACAAATGTCTGTCCGTTCTTTGGTACCAGCAGTCTTGATATTGTTATTGGACATTCGAGCATTGGTGTTGGCTGGCTGCAGTGGCGTGGGACATTCTCTCAACTGCCAGTCAAGTCGTAACTTTTCACTATATCGATTGGCACGTATTTCCTGGTCAAAACTTGAAGCTTCGTGGTCATTTGATTCAGGCTGTTTGCTATGATTTTGATAACCATCAGATATTCGCTTTTTCATTGGTGTCTCAACTGTAATTCCAATATCATCCAGATCTTGCGTTCCAGTAGGAATTGCAGCGCGATGCTCTTGGTAGTTTTGTAGCGAACTCGGCTTTGTCTTTTCACTGGACATAGAAATCGACTCTGGCTTCACCTCTATGGTGCTTGTATGAGGTAATATAGTCGATGGACTTTCCAGATTCACGGTCCGCTTTCTTTTTAAACCGGTTTTTACCTGAGAAGATTCATTGCCATGTGGTGGGATATGTGTTGAATTCCTTCCATCCGGAGAAGAACTATTAAGTGATGTGGAATCCAAAGCCGAACCTTGCTCAAGAGTCGCTCCTGCTGGATCCAGTGTGTTGCTGTCAATTTCCGATAGGGCAACGCCCCCTTTATATGCATGTTGTGGATGTAAAGGCATGGTCTTTGCCCTATCTTCAGGTCCCACTCGACATTCGACTTTCTTCGAAAGCGATTGAGACTTGCCACCAATTTGCTTCTGGACCTCCGGCATTCGGCTGAATTTGACTGTAGTGCCATCAAGAATAAGAGAGAACTCATTGCATTGAACACGTTCGTGCCACTGTTGAAGTTTCTTCTTGCTTCGCTTCGCCTGTGTCTTGAGCTCTTTCATGGCGCCTTCAAGAGTGTGAACTGCATCATACAATGCATGGTACTTATAATGGATGTTTCCAAGCAGATTATACAAATCTAGATTGGAGTTCTTCGAGATATGGCTCTCCCATGATTTAAAAACATTTTGCGGTGCATATTCCTCTGTCACCAAACATGAGCTGCCATTTGAACGCTCAGTGCCTTCAGTCCGAGATATGCTAGGTGATTGGCGACACTGAAAATCTTCGATTTGACGTTCAAGCTCCTTGACTCTCGAGCAAGCTTTGACACGCGCCTCTTCTATCGCGCTGGCGCGTTCTTCGCTTTCCAAAACTCTTGCATCACGAGCAGCAATTTCAGCATGTAGAACTTTGTAAACAGAATCGAACAATTCGTCAAAATTTTTTGAAACGGAGCTGCGAAATTGCTTGAGATGCTCCATAGATTATATAATCTCATCAACGTATGTCAAGAGAAGGTACTCCGTAGCAAGATGTTAGGTACTAGGTTAGTAGGTAACAACAAGGTACCTACTCCGTACTACTCTGTAAGGCAACACCCCCAATCTAACCGGTAATTGGTCAACGGTTGGAAATTCAGTTAGATAAGCCACGCCACTAACTATCTTGGTAACAAACTAGGCGCCAAATACAATTGCATATGTTTGACCGCTCGCATCATTGCCTCATATCTAATCGCCAGTCAACTCCGCCACCGAAATCGAGTCTTCCTAGACCGATGGGGAGTTGAACCGGCACTCAACATGTCAAAACGATGTAGATCTGATTTCGTGGAAGACCTTCCCGTGCAAAAGCGGCTTCGCAGTGCAGGACTCGATAATACTGACCGCCTTTCCTCTTTGAGTGATGAGCTTCTACTCCATATCCTATCCTTTCTTCCAATCCCATCATTGATTATCTGCCAAAGGTATGTCCCCTGAACGTCAGTCTCCGTGTGACAATAGTTTCTAATATTAAGTTCGAAACAGTCTCTCTCGACGTTTACATACTTTGGCTGGAGATTCAGAAATATGGAAAAGGCTCTACTATTCACGATGGGTGTTACCTCGTGCACGTCGATTAGGAACCACCAAAAGCACCAGGTTTCTTCGCTCGAAGATTGAATATTCGCCTAATGTCTCAACTTGGCTAGACCATGGTCATCTGACAGAAGATGGAGTTGTTACGAACTGGAAAAGGCAATATCGTCTAAGACAAAACTGGGCAAAAGGAGCATGCCGCGTCACTGAAGTCGAGCTCGTGCAGTCGCCCGCCGTGCCTCTGAAATTAGTCAACCTCTGCGCAGGTGTCGTTTTCACAGTGGAACACAATAATCTGCTGAAAGCTTGGGTCGCCAAGGATCCGAAATGCTGCCTAGCCAGCATTGCAATTGCAGATCAGGCACAAAGTGTCGTGGCTACCGCATTGGCATCGAATTATTGTCCGCAGGGGAGAAGAATCGAAGTCTTTGTATCATTCCAAGATGGGTCTCTCAATATTTATGATTACGACATCGGGTCCTCGCGGCTCGGGCTACGTTCGTCTTACACAGAAGTCGCAGATGGGCACATTACTGCAATTGCGTCATTTCCCTCATATTTACTAATGGCATCGCGGCATAAGCGTTTGTCACTATATGAGATCCCAACTGCGGTCGAGATCAAGAGCGAGCATCCATCATTCAAATTACCGCGTTTGGTGACCTCTCTCAGGGCCGATAGCATTGTCACGCCAATGGCACTATCAATTCGTGCTGCAGGATCGGGCATAATATCGTCGATTGTCTATAGCTTCTTCCATATCGGATGTGGATGGTCTTTGGGAATTCAGGAGCTCAGCATTACGCCTACTGGGGAGCCTGTAAAATCCCGTCTTGTCACTACCGTGGATTCACAATATGGTACAGGTCGTTCATCCTTACACCCGAATGCGTTGCGAAGTCACGATTCTCCGAGAAATCGTCGTCTTAGACCCCCATCCCACCCAGCTATAATGCACCATGATCCCCCAACCTCAATATCTTATTCCCATCCTTATCTGCTAACCTCCCATGCCGACAATACGCTGACCATGTACCTCGTTGTTTCCAATTCCAACGAACTCTACATAAAGAGCAGCAAAAGGCTTTTTGGCCATACGTCCTCCGTCTCCGCCGTGCAAGTCAGTGACCGCGGTAAAGCAGTGTCTGTGAGCTCGCAAGGAGATGAGATAAGAATATGGGAACTGGAAACAGTCGCGTCGACTTTGAATACCAAGAAATCTCTCGAAGCAGAGAACAGCATACAAGTCAGCCCAGAGAACAAGCAATCCATCAAGACGAGAAGTCTGGATTCAGCAGCCCACACCACTCTGCACGACTCTAGCGAGCCGGGCGAGCCGTTAGATGGTACATTCGTAAAGCCTAACACTCAAGATTACATTGGTTTTGATGATGAGTTGGTACTTTTGCTGCGCGAGAGAGGCATTGATGGCAGAAAGCTTGAATGCTACGATTTTACATGACCTAATCAGGCGTGTCGCGTCAATGTCTCGCGTCAATGTCTTTGAGCTCCCTGATGAATGCAACTGGAGTAGAAGTTCTTCAGTATTCGTGAGCCAATTTGAATCATGAATAAACATGTTAGAGATCTGAACCGGTGCGAGCAAACAATAGCTACAAATACTAGATCATATCTATATATAAGACGTGAGATGGGTAGCTCAGAAGTAGATTATGGAAAGGTTGGATGGGATCATTTTTTTCCTTAGGTACTTTAAATAGGATACGTAACCATTATAGTCATTCGCAATTCAGATCACCTGTTCATTGAAGAAAGACTTCTCTCATTTTTTTCATACCAGAGATAGCCAACCTCGCCCATAAGATAGCGAAGCCGCCATTCAGAAACCACTGTCTGCACCCATGCCAAATTTCCGACCGCAATTTTTCATAGACATGTGCGCATTGAAGATGCAGAATCGAAATAGAAAACTTCGGGGATTCTGCCATGAGAAAGAAAGAATTAATTGAGATCATTAATGGCGGGTTGTTCCTGTGCAGCATACCGTCTCGGATAAATCATTGAAACAGCGTATACTCGAAAACCCCGCTTAGTTAGGGCAGGCGGCCTGGACATGGCCGGGCTGCTTGCACTTGTAGCAAACGCGCTCGCCCTTAGCCTCAGTCGGGCAGTCACGAGAGACGTGGCCAACCTCACCACCTATTACGGTTTCTGTTAGTTCTGAAGAAAGACTCTTAAAATTAGGTAAAGTCGAACTCACAGTTGTAGCACTTCTGGCCCTGGGTGCAGTCACGAGCCATGTGGCCGAATCCACCGCAGGAGTAGCAGGTTTGCTGACGACCACCATAGCCGCCACCGTAGCCGCCACCGTAGCTACCGCCCTGGGAGCAGTTGCGTGCGATGTGACCAACCTGTCCACACTTGTAGCATTCCTGGCCACCAGGGGCACCGCCGGTATAGCTGTCGCCAGCCTGGGGGCATTCACGAGAAATGTGTCCTACACCGCCACAGCGATAGCAGGACTTCTCCTTGGGGGCTCCGGTACAATCGCGGCCTTTTTGCACCATTTGTCAGAAATTTTTACTATATAGAGTGCAAGGCTAGATAAGAAAACAACTTACTGACATGTCCCTGTCCTGCATTCGTCACAACGTTAGAAAAACTTATATGCACATAAAATAGATATTGGAGCCGTACCACCACAGTTGAAGCTGACATTAACTATTAGCAATAGGATCTCATGTTGAGTAAAAGCAGAGGCTTACCAAGTGGGAGTTCCCTTCTTGGGGCAGTCACGAGCCTGTAATTAATGATTCGTAAGCCCTTGTTTTCTAGACAGACGTATGCAGAAAGCTCAAAGCGAGATTGGGTTATATACCTGGTGAGAGGCATCGCCGCCTATGGATTTCAGTGGATGTTAGTAAAAAGACAGTCTTATAGGCTCATCGAAAGACGATGGCGACATGCCATATCAATTCATGGATTGAGGGAATCTCAGGCCCCATGAAATCTTGATAGGCTAAAGCAAGAGGCTATGTGGAAATTTGTATGGTCTCCAAAAGAGACTTTGCAAAGAAGAACAATATCGCAGCAAGGCACGCGAAAAGTCTCATCTGACAGCCTCGACCCTCACAGTATGCAAGCATCACGGGCAAAAAACTCACAGTTGTAGCATCCACGACCTCCGGATTGGTAGTCCATTTTGATTATTTCGACAGTAACGTTGAAGAGATTGAAATTGATGCGGACAGAAATTTGGAACAAATTCGGCAGAAAATGAAAATCAAAACGCGCCAGTGCGGGGAATCGGGGAAATTTCGTGGTTCCTGATTGGAATTTTTCTCGTTTCGAGGCTCTTCATAAGTTCAACCAAGATGATGTCACCTAAGCTCGGCTGCTTCACTCGAGTATTTGCACTCGAGTACTTTTTAAAAAGAAGAAATAGAGGATTTTCATAGGTAGGTATGTATGTCTTGTATGTATACTTAGTTGACTAACTATCCTCTCTACAGCACATGTGCCATCAACCCTAGTTAGTACTAGGTAGTGAGTCTTCCGGCTGCCTTGAAAACCACACAGAAATCCTCTTCTATGAAAATTTGACATTTGTTACAATTTCCCACATTTTTATATACTAGTACATAAGCTCGGATATATGGAGGCTATTATGGAAGACTTTGCCATGTAAATCAGTCTCCATCTCATATCTTATCGCTTTCACGTGGGTTTAATTGTACATTTGATATTTACAATGTCCTAGTCGAGAGTACCAACATACAGAGTAAGGAAATTTTTATCCAAGAATAGTAAAAAAAGTACCAATATTTCAATGATATGAGAATGTATAAGAATCAAATTATACAAATTCCATCTTATAAGAGAATCATCAGATGATATTGGGATACTTCCAGACTCACGAACTGCAACTGCACATCATGGCCCGTTTAAATCGTGGAACATCTCCGCAGAAACGCTCCTCTTCCTCCTTATTAAGACCCCATTGATCATTAAATGGATATAGAGACATCTGCATCACACGATCTAGAACACCCCTGTCATCCTTTTTCTCCACGCGCTCGATTACCTCGTCGAGAATCCAGCCACGGGGAAGAAACTGTCCACAGTCAGCTATTAGTGCCTGGATAACCGATAACCAGCTTCGCATGCTAGAAGGAAACCAAATAACCACTGCGGGAGTTACCTTTGGATTAACTGCTTTCATAGAATCCTGTCTTGTCTTGTCGTCTTTAGGATCCCAGTCTTCCAGAATGCGCAACCTCCATTTACCAAGCCATTGAGCCATGCGTTCTTTGGCAGAGTCTGTAGTACATCCTATACCATTGACACCTTCGTCATGAAAAAATATCGACGATACCGCCTTCCTTTGCTCTTCAGTCTCGATCTCGTTAATAGAGATACTGGACAAACGTCGGAAGAAATGGTTGAAATCAAGCTCCAACGCTTGCATCGTGTCAAGTAGTTCAGAAAACAGCTCCTGGAAATCGCTGTCTTTTTTAGTCTTCAGGCCTAGCCTTCTCCTCATCAGGCGTTCATATTCGTCCATAAACACTGCTTTAAACTCTTCGCCTGTCCTTTGAATGATATCCTCCGCGCGTTTGATAAGCACAGGCGCAAAGGCCTCCGTTACGCCGTCTCGCACGAAGATTTCATCGTCGACCTTGTCACCCGCTCCGATTAACTCCCCTAGTGACTCACCCAGTCGAACTAGGTTCCACCAGATGATGGTTGGTTGGTTTTTATAGGAGTATCTCAACGAATGATCATCATGATTTGGCGTGTACTGTGGATCGAAATCGTCCATGAAAGCAAATGGACCATAGTCGAGCGATAGTCCGTAGATGGATGTATTGTCGGTATTCAAAACACCGTTCATGAACCCATAGGCTTGCCAAGCAGCAACGGTTTTCGCATTTCTCCGAGCTATCTCGCGATATAACCTAGCAAATCGGTTTTCGATCACATCTTCATGCTCTTGGGTTTCGTTCCCAGGAACACCTCGCTGTGGGTCTATCACAGCCCTATGGGACTGCTTATCACGCAAGGCTACAGCTGCTGGGAGCGACTCCCATCCAGGGAAGACATCCTCAGCCACATATGTAGCTAGTTTTCGTGTCAGGTCGCGATCACCTCGTGCACGAAGAATGTCAAAAGATCCAATCCGAAGCCATGTCTCTGCAAAACGAGCTACAATTGCACCCGGTTCAAGACGCTCCCGCAGGACCTTGGATTTCGGAAGAAGGGTGAGAGAAAGCGCACGGGTAGTTGGCACACCAAGTGCATTCAAAGCTATAGATATCTCAGTCAATAAACGGCGGCATAGACGACAAGATCTCAGCTTATTACCTTCTGAAACGATGTATTCGCGAATACTTGATCGAAGCACCGCCTTTCCGTCTGCGAACCGTGAGTACGGCGTCTTGCCAGCGCCTTTGAGCTGAAGCTCGTATCGTTTGTTTGTCTCAGGATTGGTAACCTCGAAGAGACTGATAGCGCGCTGCCCACGTTTGAAATTAGAAATAATGCGACAATTTAATACACTTCAATCAAGCTTACTCCGTCCCCAAGTTGCCCCGCCCACGAACCACTGCCGAACGTTAGTTAAGAGAATGGAAAAAAAAGTCGATGGTGAGACAATGTACAATTGCCAGCCTTTTGTTCCATTAGAAAAAATGCTTTTGATCATGTTTTTCCAATTCACTGACCTCCGTAGCATTGAGCCCATGGGTACACTCCTCCAGCCTGCTCGCTCCAATACAACTTGTTCCCAGAAACCAAGGCCTGAAACTCCGGGGTACTTTCCTCGCCAAGTTTTAGACCAATATCTTCTAATGCTTTGGGGCTGACACCCAGGAGTTTTGTTTCCTCACTTGGTTCCGGGCGGACGAAAGTATACATCGCACCCTTCACCAAGCGGGGGCCTAGGGTCTCTCTAGGAGCATTGTGAGAGACTTCGGGTGTTTCGAATGCAGGATCTGGTGGAAGCTTGGATGTAAATGTGTTTGTCTTCTGGATTTTATCAAGCGAAACCCCGCGCGTTCGATTTGAGATTTGCGATGCCATTTTGGTCAGGTGTCTTTTGTTACACCGTAATTGACGAGGGAGTAAACCTTGAATGAGTAACATAAACTGAAGCTTCTCGGCATATGCGTCGTGCCAGGCTCAGAGTGAGTTGATTATGAAGTATAATGGCTATACTGGCTAGTTATATGAAGAGCCTTCAGGGTGTAAGGCTATGTTTGGTTAATAATGTCGTTTGTGATTGCATATCAGCGAACCTGCCGAGGCTTCCTAAAACTGACTACTTATTAGTTCGCTATAACTAACTAGTTAGTAGCTAAATGGTTAGCTAGTAGCCAAGTGACATCATTATTCTTTAATCAAACTGTCACTCTTTCAGTTAGAATATTCTTTAGGTTGAGTATTTGTTTCTAGATATTTAAATTTATGAACCAAAAAATTATTTTTTTAGAAAGAATAAATACATAAACTGTAACCTAATATCACTATTATAATTTATATCAGTACTAGGTAGTCTATAGAAATGTATAACCAATAAGAACATAAGTATTTAAGCACTGAATAGTGTCTAAAATATACTCAAAATTTTGATTCATAACAGTATTAGTATTTGGTAATTGTTGAAGAAAGCATTGATTATTTAGTATAGATACTTTATAAATTATTTTTATTGTCTAACTCCTAAGAGCCGCTTAGACAATCAGTCATTGCTCCTTTAATAACTATAGAATGTATTATAGCTATCTATATTATTTCTAACATATGAGGTAGTAGAAGATTCCTAGGGAAAGAGTCTCCTCTGGCTGCCAAGCCTCTACTTGCCCGCAGCTGAGGAACTTCATTCCTTTATACCATGACCACAAGAACCCTATTATAGTTAAAGCTCCCTCCCTATCACATCTCATATATAAAGCAAAATCTATTTCACTCAGTGCTCTATATTAATTCAAATATTCTATTCTTACTGATTCCACTGTGGATAGCCCGCGACATGCTAATGCACCTTAGTCACTATCTCTCTTGATGATAGGCAAAGTGGGCAGAAGCTGGAAAGACGACCTTCAATATTGCTTCACAGCTAAAGGGTGTAGGATTGCTCTGAGACCTGCAGCATCCCATAAACAAGCCTGCTAAAGAAATTGAAATAAGAACATTTCTATCTTTAGTAATGGTCTTAGTTCAGTGGTGTGCTGTCCTAACACCACAATCTTTATGCTTACCTAGAAGATTTACTGGCTAGGTAACATCAATAATATATTCTTATTGGTGTTACAATTTCATGTCACAATTTATAAGCTTCCCTAATAGGAGACCTATTATTGTGTGCATACTCTTGAACTCGCATAACGGCTTCTAGTACCCTGCGGTCGTCGACCTTCAACCGAGGCGCTTCATCTTCATATATTCTTCAGTGCTTCATCACCTACTGGAAAACACCCTGGTCACTGTTCCAGTAGTAAAAGACCAACAGACTGAAATGTCGATGAACCAGACATCGCCTTCTTCCATTGCTGTCGATACAATATATCCCGCGAATTCGATCGAAAAACGGCTCGAGCGCCTCAGAGACGAAGTCCTTCCTTTCTATCCTTTCATCCTCACCGTACCAACCGATGTGCCGTTTCGTCTAGGCGGCCGCTTTGTCAACAATTGGGCAGTTGGAAAAGACGGGCCCTTTGCCCCGGAAGAACAGCAGCTTCAGTATATGACGTTCCTCACACATCACGAAGGAGATTCTTTACTTCTCGCAGTCGGAGACTGGTCAGATGGAACGGGTAGCATCATGGCCGACCATCGTCAGTCAGAGTCCCCAGATGGCGTGAACACGCCGAAAGGTGACACGGTAAAGAAGAAAATTAGCCTTACCGACTATAAGAACAAGACGAAACCCAGTCCTTCTGCTGGCCCTTCATATAGAGACACTTCGAAGTCAAGTGCTTTGAAGCCCCAAAAACACCAAGGCCAACAGCGTACCAGCAAAGCTGAGCCTTTACAGCATGAGAAAAACAACATGAAAAGCACCCCAAATATGCGACCTCAAGAACGGCCAATTGACGACAGAAGTGGAAGAAAGCGTCTGCCTGATAATGAATCAGATCAGTCTGAATTGCAGGGACTGAGAAACTCTGATTGGGATTCACATAAAAAACCACGACTATCTGTTAAACAGACTGGGAACAAAGGATCAAATCGTGCAAAGAGCAATGCAAATAGTCTACCGGTTCTTCTTTCGCCTACTCTCCCACCAACTTCTGTCACACCTAAACTTCCACGTCTCTTATCACCCACACTTCCGCCGGACATCGAGGAAGAGCTAGTCAGGCTGCGGAATGATTCGCCTAACCAGGATTTAAAGAGAACGCCATCTGTTATATCCAATGCCTCGAAAGATGAGACAACAAAGATACACCCAACTGAAAGAAATAAAACCCATTCTGCTACTTTAGGTCGAAATGTATCAAGCAAGCCGACAGATTTCGCAGCTAGAAATACGTCACTCAGAGTCGTGCCGACAAACAGTAGCTCCCGTGACCCATCGCGAGGTGAGGTTCTATTGTTAATATCCAAGCATGATTCTCAGTCCACGCCAATGGCCGGGACCCCCCGAGTGGATGATTTGCCACTTGAATCGAAAATAGCAAGCCTTCCAGTCACTAAACCCCAGTTCATCGTGAAATTGAAATATGGGCGATCAAACCGGAAACGAGTGGAGGCTCTTCTCAAATTCTCCGGGAAAAAGAAACTGGCTTTGGGGATGAATTCCAGTGCTCAAGATATTCCTTTCAAGAAAGAAGACCGGACTCTTCACTCTACAAAGCTAGGCCCAGAACGCGTCCCGCCTCCGTCATCTCGAACCGAGAAGATGTCCAGGCAGGGGAACCCTAGCACAGCCAATGATTCAAGCAGCGAGCCTTCAAGAGGGGCGAAAAGCGTTATTGTCAAGTCCGATACACCCCTTGCCCGTGGTGCGTCATCCACAAGCACACAACACCCACAGGAAAAGATAAAACGTCCTGAGGGCACATCGCATAAGGACCAGAGAGAAAGCTATGCTCGTCGGACTCGCCCCGGTGACAATAGCGAAGAGAGCAAAAACACACTGCAAGCCACTAAAGCCAATACTGGGGGTTCAGAAAGAGCCCCAAAGCTGTCGCCTTCACAGTCCGATAGCCAGTCAGTCCGGGCAAAGAGCAATGACCGAAGAGCCTGGCGTGACGAATACCAGAGGCTTGGAAATCTGGGTCGAGAACTGAAGCACACAGCAGAACGACAGAGAGCCAAAGAGGCCGGTACTGTGACGGACGACAAGCTGGCCACCGTAACTGCTATTGAAGCCATTCTTTGTTTTACGCTCGCTTTTGTTGCAGATGATCGATCCAAGCAACTAGCTCGTCAAACCGGCGACTCTTCGACCTGGCTATCCATTCTAGCTTATTGGAGAGTAGTCAAGAAGAGCAGTTCCGCTTACCCACAGCTGCATAGCCTGTGTCTGCTCCTTGGTGCGGTATCATACGATGCTATCCATGCTCTAGACCTGGAGCGTCTTGCGGCCAGTTCTTTGCCGGGTGATCTTGCTGTTGCTCCCACGCCAGGCAGTGATGGAAGCACAGTTATTTCCGAGGAAACGAGGCGGGCTCGGATGGAATTCATTGACTTGAAAACACGACTTCTGGATTGTTATAAAGAAAGCCAGAGGCTGTGGATCGAGGGAACCTGTGGACTCTCAGAAGATATCATATCCCATGAATTCCCCATCACTTGGTCCAAGAGGTCCAAGAACTACTCGGAGCGCGGGAATCAACATTTTGGGGTCGCCGAATATGCAGGAGACTATTTTCTTCCCTTTGGAAAAACGACTGCACCCATCGAAGTTGTCCGTTTCTGCTGGACTCTCGTCAACGAATGGTGCAGGAAAGAGAATGTGACTTGGAATAGTAGACTGGGTCTATAACACCTGGCTATTTCAGTTCGCCCCAATCCACTTGATCGATGATAAAGCACTTTCCTCCCCTTTTGTCTATTGCAGTCAATGTTTCAGCGGCAAACCTAGGCTATCTTTGTTTGAATCATACCAGCGACGTCTGATTTATGACGCATGCAAAGTTTGAATTTTTGATATTTCTCTGTTTTCCTCTTCAATGATACCACTGCTTTGCTCTTCCCATATCTGTTCAATGAAAGTGTAATTATGCGCAGCATTTGAAGCGTGTTTTCCTCAATATTTAGTCTTGACAGCATCTTGACAACTATCAGATGAAGGAGAAATTAGTGCAGATTTAAATTTAATCTATTGGCCATGGCACTCATTCTAGATCATAAACTATAGTGCTCGTTTTGAATCCCTTAACACCACAAATCAAACCAAATAAGAATTGCCATAGAAATTGAAGAGATAGAACCCGAAAAAAAATTATATCCGGCAAAACCCCCGATGAAGCCGGGAGGCCAGCATATCATTCATTCTAAATATTTCAATTTTTCTTTAGCATTTTGGGCGCATGAAAAGGTTGAATCTATCTTGCCATGTGGATCTGTGTCATAAGACCAAGACACTGTTCCCATCACCCGATGTTTCACTCTTCACTGAAGAGTAACCCCGCTTCTCGGCAATACCTTGCTTCGCCGCCATATGATCCAATGTCACTGCTCCAGCAGATAACAGAAGCGTCCACAATGTCCGCAATCACGCTTTCCATTGCACCTAATACACTCCAACCAATCGCTCCCGCGATTAGACCGACAATGTAAGCATAAAGGCTGCCACGAATGGTGACTCCGTTGACAACGGAAGAATTCAAATTTCGAGCAGTGGTGACCCAGCCACCAAAGCCGAGTGCTAGCGACATCATCAATCGAGTTGCATGAAGAAGAAGCTTTGAGAGTCGATAAGAATATAGCGATGAAACACTGTCACGTTGTCGAGAGAATGACCGTGGGTTGAGTGATATCGTGTCGATTGAAGGCGCTAGGATTGTCATCTGTGAAATGCCACGTGCAGAGACACTGAGAGACTGCGAATGAATGGCAGCATATGTAAGTGTAAGAGGATTTGTTAAAACGGCGATGGGGGTTGGTACGAAGGAGTAGAAAAATAAACCAATAGCAGAAGAAGTGCGGCTGGGAAGTAGTAGTAAGGGTAGCCTGACCAGCAAACCCAGCAGCCGAGAAAGGCAGATTGTGCCAAATAGAGTCGTAACAGCATGGACAATAGCAGCTCTCACTATTTGACGAGATGTAGGTGCTGGTTTAACGAAACGATGAAAGTACCACTGGCTAACTGCTGCAGCAGTCACAGCGCGCTGTATACCAGCAATGATCCCCAAGGACCACATGTAAATGAGGATGAAATAAGTACCCAACAACCAGCTTCCACGATTGATGACAAACGAGGCTGAGCTGGCCATATGTCCCCCTAAAAAGACCCGGGTGAACATGAGCAACCATACCCAGGTCCATGCTACAATGCTCACAAGTGTCGCTAAACTAAAGGTGAGAAGCTCCGGGTTTGCCGCAAGTATTCGGCAAGAGAATTGGAGGATACCGACGGCTTTGCCGATAGCATGGCGGCCACGGATAGTATTAATTATCCACAGGCTAGCCATAACAAATGGCACGGCAGATGCTAATCGCATCACTCGATCTTGAATGCTTGATCCATGCCAAGAGCCTTTGAAGCTTGAGATGAAAGGGTAGAGGGAAAATGAATACAAAATGACCGGCACTGAGATAATCATCGCATAAACTAAAGGGCGTGCATAGAATCGTAGTAATGTGAGCCACAGAAGCGATAAGATGATCGAAACCAGTGTATAGATGCCGAGGAGAAAGAAAGATTTGTGAAGTGTCATATACACTGTATCGCCCCATCTTGACTTGTCTTGAGAAGGCGTGGACGTATTTAGGTAGACCAAAAATGAGCTGGCAAAGAGTCCAGCTAAGGCTATGAAGAACAAATGACTCCAAAAAGCATCGTGAGCCGGTGGGTCAGGCCTTGTCATCATGTTTAATGAGGATGAGCCTTGGGAACTCCCTAACGGAAGATTTCTAAATAGCGTTTGCTCATCGCCTTCGGGGTGAGATAATGAGCTTTCTGTTGAGTGATGTTCCTCAAGGATTATCGGTGGATCGCGAAGTCGCTGCACTGAGGGTGGGTTGGTTTCGCTAAAACCCGGTGAGTCTGCCCTCTGGATATCTGTGTCATCGCTGCGATAAGAATCCTTAAGGCCAACCTCGATTAGTTGTCCGCTATATCTGCCGATATCTCTTTGCTGGAGGTGTGTCTCATCACCATTCGAGCTTGTTTCTGAGATGGGCGGTATCCTGGCATCTCGAGTCCGATGGGTGGCTGTATCACCTCTCCAGGAACTTCTGATGCCCTTCCCTTCTTCGATTCCCTTATCGTGAAACATTTGAGATCCAGAAGGCACAAAACCGCCCCGGTCATCTTCAACCTCTGAGGATTCTTCTAGCTGGCTACCTCCGAAATGTCTCCTTGACCTCTGCAGAGCATAGAAATCCGCGATCTCCCGTTCACGCTCTGTTTCGTCATCTTCCTCCCGGAATTCGTCTGTAGCACTGTAGAACAACGGAGCAGGCTGCGCTGATATACGCGAGGCAAATGGATTGTTGGAGATTTGGGATGCTGCGTTCTGGTACGGGTCGCCTATCGTCCTTTGGAAGTAGGATCGCGAAGGTCCATTTCGAAAGTTCCCTTGGCCTCTATTCGATCGAGTTTGGCCACTCCGGAAATGCTCTTCTGAAGGGAGAGCCAGGCGGGATTGAGATTGTGCCAGGAACCGAGACGCATCTGAAATAAAAATAGTGAGTTATAGATTCATTCGGCCATGCTGAAATGTCTCTAAAATCGATTGTTCTGGACTTAACGTACATTCAGAGAACATGGTTTTCTTGGATTCCGTGGATATAGGAATATGTCCACGTTTTCCACAAATCCAAATACCTTATATAGGCTCACTGGCGCTATATCTGGCCTGGATAGAGTGTCAGTTCTGTGTGTACACTGGGAGTGTTTAATAGTGTAACCTTAAAAGCTTCGGGGCATCTGGTATAATAGAATCCGCTTAGGAAAGATAAGGCAGTGTTTATTCTGATGAAAGTTCAATATTATTCATATACTATGATGGATTTTAGCAGATATAGAGGAAAGTTGTAGCTAAAGCTGTAAAAGAATCATGAAGTTGAAGTTACCTAGGTAGTTATAGTCTACAGACTGCAAGTGATGGTGTCATGTGAGCAAGGTCATCGGTACATGACTCAGCCGTCTCTAGTTAACTGACGGTACGGAGGTGACGGTAGTTCAACGTTACTGCTACCTAACCAGGCTGATGGTTAGTTACTCCATAACTAGTTTTGCCTTGCCAAGAGTCCCCACCTCAAGGTTTCTGGCTACTCCGTACAGGTAAGGAGCTACCCAGGTTATGGAGTACCTAGGTACTCCGTAGGTAGTTAGTACTCCGTACAGAGTAGTTATAATACTTAAGGTTCATAAGTTCATACAGGTTTAACCTGTAAAGTACCTAGGTACAGAGTATAGAGTAAAAAGCAAATCATAGATCTTCAATTCAACTGGGTTTGGGACCTCTGACATCTTTTTTAATTTAGCTGTGGCTCATCTAAGCTAGGACTGACTGCTATTGCAACTCTTAACGTTTTCTAGTGGCTGAATGAATGGTCTAGCGCCCCCCTTGATTCCGTGAAAGTACTCGTTTATGGTCACTTAATGGGTAAATAATCCTAATCACCGGTCAGTCTAGTATCTACTACAGTTGCTAGATATATATCACGTGATGTCTACCTGAGTCCCAGTCCCTAACACCAATCAGTATCAGACCTTGGTGCTCCGTACGGTAGTCCAACTTGGTACCTTACCAGGGTAGGTTAGGTAGTCACTTCACTAACGACGTGTATTGCATACCATCTACATATTTGAGGATCAGTAGATGAAGTATGACTGTTATGATCATCTATCCTCTGGCCAACTGATTATTTTGACATCAATTGTTTTCTTTTTTCGCACCCCTCCTATAATTCCACTCCGTATCCATGTCACAGCCATGGGACTACATCGCTAAACTCGTTTGCATCGGTGATTCTGGCACGGGCAAATCTAGTGTATGGTGGCATTTCCCAGTGACTCGTGGTGGTGGCTGACCCTTACATTTTACGGTGTTCAGCTCACAATTCGCCTCTGTGAAGGACGCTTTTCTTCAGCTCACGATGTCACCATAGGTGTCGAGTTTGGATCTCGTATTGTGCCAGTTGGGCCACCTGCATCACAAAGTCTAGGGCTAGGTTTTGACAAAACCGACGATGATATCAACCCTCCTACGACGCAGTCACCCTCCACAGGCCTGCCTAACCCCCCACGCAAGACCCCAGGGCCTCAATCACAGAAGCAAATGAAGCTCTCTTTGTGGGATACAGCTGGACAAGAGACGTACAAATCCATAACTCGATCTTACTTCCGTGGCGCATCAGGTGCCCTTCTTGTTTTTGACATCACCAGACCAGCCACGCTTACCTCGTGTACCCAGTGGCTGCAGGACCTGCGACAGATTGCGGAAGAGGGGATCGTCGTTGTTCTGGTGGGGAACAAGAGCGATCTCGCTGAAGGTAACGCTGAACAAGATAAACGAAGGATTTCAAGGCAAACGGCGGAAGAGTGGTGCCGCGCGAACAATGTTGTGCGGTATGTCGAAACAAGCGCTAAATCAGGTGAAGGTGTTGAGCGTGCATTTCTCGAGGTTGCAGAGCGTATCTACCGCAACATCGAAATTGGTAAGTACGATCTCAACGACCGTCGGAGCGGTGTCAAAGGTTTTGGAGCAACAGGTGGCTCGGGTAATACTGGGGCACCCGAGACTATTGCTCTGGGATTGAATGATGCTATGCGCAACGGTGGAAATAGGTGGGCTGGAAATTGCTGCTAGGCGCGAAAGGAGGACTCGATTCGGAATTCAGACGAGTCCCTATAAGATTGGATATGCCCAGCTTGCTGAAATCCAATATATCTTGTAACTATGGAGTAATCAGTTACCTGGCCTATCTACTGGCTTGGATTCAGGATGTGGTTCGACTGAATGAATTTGAATTTTTAAAGGATTTCTTTTGTTGTAATTGGTTGTTAAGGGCATGATCTAGAAGGAGGTATTAAGACGACCTTGTAGGCCTAGATCTAAATCCAAACTGTGTACTGTCTTTGAAAGTCCCTTGATGTTGCTGAGTGATCTTAAATAAGCTGTATATTGGACTGGTTTCCAAACAGCCTGCTACCTGCTTAAATTCCTTGATACTTTAGGGGTAAGCTGTAGTGAAGAGCTGAATAATTAATAAAAATAGATGCTAGCTGCAAAGAGTTGGCAAGTATATATTAATAACTAATCTACTAATCAATATCAGTGATACACAGTACTCTGTTATTAACTAGCCCCTCTTGATAAGGCATATATGGGTCTGCGCGTTGCTCAGCTCAGAATGAGCATTACAGGACAATAATAATGGGCATTAAATTTTCCTATACCAAGCCAAGTCAGGTTGCCAGCGACATTAATTGAATTAAAAAAGACAGGTATTTAGAAGATATTAGGCTCATCATAACATATAGGTAGTAGAATATATATCTGTAAATTCAAATGTTAAAAACCCATTAAAAATATTTAGTATCAAAATTATCCTTCCATAACTAACGAGGGACTAGTCAGGTCTCTCTCTTGGTACATGTATAACCTATTGTTGATATTACAACGTTGAAGACCACTTGACAAAAATATGAGCCCACGCTTGGTGGTACCTATCTTGACTGGTAGTATCTATTTAAGATCCTAGCCAAATAGGTGGTATTATATTAGTTTTAGGATAGGATCAGCTCACCACATATAAATGGATTTTTTATCAAGACATCATTTACACTATAACTAATTGACAGTGAGGCATTCTAAGCAAAAAAATAAGAGAAAGGGATGAAATAAGCTACAGGATATAAACAGCTAGATTCGATTCACAAAGGTCAATTACAAAACTTCAAAAGATATTCCAGATAGCCTCCCAAAGTAAGGCTCAGAAAGAAGACAGGCAATGCTACTTCTGACTAGTCAAGAGGAGAAAAGCAAGGGAGAAGAAGAGATTGTAGAGCTGCATAGCCCCATGAACGGTTGTATAACCGGAAAACATCAGTTCGAAATTCTCCAACCACTTAACCAGTTGAGATGAGACCATTGCTGGCTAGGGCCTTCAATCCCAAACACAATCACACGGAAGTAGACAAATAGCCCAATAGTAGCAGCATAAAGAACACCGTATACCACCCAGGCCGAGCCGGTCCGAAGGCTTTTGACGAGCCAGTCCACGCAGAAACCGAACACAAGTATGGCGAAATAAAGGGCCGGATAGTAGTGATGAACATAGGTCACTCGTGCCATGACAATGAAAGGAAGGTAATGAAGCACCCACCCGATGACCAAATACAGCCCAGAGTAATGGAAATGGTCGATATCTGCCTGAGACAAATCCTTATATCCTCGCTGCCAACGGATGAGATACCAAAGAACCAACCCGCCAAAAACTCCCAGACTCGCCGTACTTCCCCAGTAAACCAAAGGGTTTCCTAGGAGGTAATACTTGACCGTGTTGTCATCCCAGGAGCACATGCGTAAGCCAACGTTCAGGATGGGCCACTGCCAAAATTTGGATGCAAGGTCGTCTTGCTTATCCGGATCTGGAACTAGAGCATTGTTGGAGGTCATCATCGCAACATTAAGATGGATGAAGTCCTTCCAAAACGGTGATTTATACGCTCCCGGGTCACCCGCTGGGACTATCGCAGTGTCAGCAAAGGATTTCGGGTTGGGGTTTTAAGCCAGAAAGCCATGACTTACGCTTATCATTGATATGGGACTCTACATTCCAGTGTGTATAGACATCTCCTTTTTTGCTGTCTTTGGCACAGGTTGTTTCAATCTGTTTGAAGCCCCATTGAGGGAGGTTGACATTACCAGCCCTCAAGTAGCAACCAAGAGAAGCATGTCGAAATCGAAGAGAAGTAGTCAGAGTTCGGATTCTTGATCTGTCTTTGGATGCGACATCTTCGACAACCTCGACAACCCAATGGTCTTTTTCGTCTCCGATGGTGGTGTTACCATAACAAGACACCTCGTAATGAGATTTTGTCACTGGCGCAGAAACGGTATGAGAATGGAGATTCCGGCCTGTCTGTCCGTGTACAAGTCGAACAATATCACCATCACCAATGAACTTCAAGGGTGCCTCGGGGTCAAATTCAGGCTCATATCGGTTAGGATAAATGAACCAGTCGTTGTTTGCATCTTTATGATGGTAACATGTAACCTGTTGTTGTGTTGAACCTTCTGGATAGGTTTGAACGTGAGAATGAAGAAGTCCACCACCATAGCCCATGTTTTTCAATGTAACTCTTGAACCAATTGCAATTTCAAGAGGACTGTCTTTTCCGACTTCTGTGCCCTTCAAATTTGCCTGGAAAAGGGAACTCATTTGAGCATCTCCTGGGCCACTATTGCTCAGAACCAAGAAATGCAGGTAGAATGAGAACATGTAGACGAGGAGAGGAATAACGATCAACCCAAAGACACGTGCCAGGAGATGGCTAGCAAGTGTAGCCTGTAAAGTGTAAGATGCAAATATCAAGTTTACAAGATATTTCTTTTACTTACCTTAGGCATCTTCAAGTCACCAAATTTATTCCAAAGGTCCTCAACTGTGTAAAGACCCACAACTGCAGTGCAAAAGAAACCAACCCACTTCACACTGCAAACACAGCCAATGCTAAGCCCGGTCAAGAAGAGCCAGGCAAACCACTCGATAGAGAAGCTGGCATTTTGCAGTCGGTGAAATCTTGCCCAGCACATCATTGTAGTGAATGTGAAGCACAGTAGCATCGAGTCGAGTAGGATGAACCGCGAAATTGCAGCGTATGAGTTTTCAAAAAGGACCATGAAACTAATAAGCCATGCTGTAGCTCGCCGGAAGTTAAGATCGCGAGCAGTATAATAGGCGAGGGGGACGCAGGCAGCACCGAAAGCAGCATTGAAAACGCGCATGAATGTGTAATTGACGTCTTCTGGATATGTTTCCCCCGACTTGAATTCGAATGACCCGTTGTAACCTGCAAGATAACCGGACAGGCCAACTAGCATTTTGCCCAATGGAGGATGGACGTCGAAGTAGAATTCCCGTTTCAAATAATGGGAGCCAAATTTGCCAAAACTAGAGATAGAATAGTTGTGAGAAGGAAGTTCCTCTCCTGAGAGGGCTAATCTCAAGAATGCTTGTGTCTTACTGCGCTTCGTCCCATGTCACTATGTTTGAACGACCAATGCGGTACATGCGCGTGAAAATAGACAGTGCTGTCAATAGTATCGGTGCAATGACGGGCTCCCACTCTTCTAGAACAGCTAGGAACGAATTTGGCTAGGCCATCATTAGGAAAATCGGTCATACCACAGTTGATAGTGGTTGGAAACCCAGGATCTCATACCTTCGAGGCTCTTTTCTCTTCGTCTTCAGTACCTGGGTTATGGGCAACGCTGTTGTTGATTCTTGTTGTATTGGCAACATTCCGACGTCGTACATCGTTTCCCTGATTCACGCCAGAGGCGAAGGCATCGTTCGTGTCCGCCATGATGATTCGACCACCAGGCACGAGAGATATTCAACTTAAAGAAATTCAATGATCGAGATTGTACCCGAAGAGATTGGAAAGAAAATTTTGGTCCAACGAGTGTGTGAGGTATCGGAGAAATGGCAGGTTTCAAAGACAGAATGCAAGAGATGAACTTCAAAATCTAATATTTAATACTCATAGAGGAAGCATATCCGAGGTTGCTTCAGTTTATAGTGACTGAAGCCAAAGCAAGGCAAGGTGAGCCAACCGAAATTTTATTACCTAAACAGTAATAAAGGATATGTGAATAAAAGAGGCAATAAGAAAAGATAGGGAGAGAAAGTACTCTGTAGGGAAGATTTGGTGGGAATAATAGACAGTTAAAGCTGCCGAAAGGAACAGGTAATCCGCAAGCAGAGCCGCAGACTCGACTCCACAGCTCAGTTGCCGGATCTGGCATAATAATAACCCGCCCCACACTTGTATTGAACTTCAAAGACATACTCCAATGATATACTCCAGAGTATATATTGTTCAACTCTCTACATTTAAGTTTTTGGGGCTCTAGAAATCAAGGGGTTGATATAAATGTTAGTGCAACAGTAGCAACATAAAAGTCCACCAAAGAGTGACTAGTTTATAGTTATAGATATCCACATGCATGTGATCCACAATGCTGAGCAGTGAGGAGCTAAGATCAGCGCTGCCATCATTCTAGTAAACGCCCGCTTTGATTTTCCAAGGAAGACAACAGCATTTATATGCCATAATAGATCAGAACAAGGGAAGCATGTGCCTTTCATACACACAAAAAACAAAGTCTGTCTTCCTAGGCAACAAGAAACCTTTCAAATGATGGCGTGTATATAGAAGGAAACCAAAAAAAAAATAACTGGCGAGGCTCGTCTCATCGAAAGAAAGAATATCAGCATCTAAACATCTTCCTCCTCTTGATCGATTCTTGAGTATTGACTGTGGCTTGCCCGCTTGTCAGAATTCTTGTGTCGATTGACCATGTTCGAAATCCAACCGCCGAAGCCCTCGGCCCTGGTACTGCCGTCGAGTTGAGAGCCTACAGGACCAGGCTTCGCATCGTTGCTGATATTAGGGGGATCTATATCCAGGCCCGGGATGGCATTATCAGCGCCAAACTGGCCATACTGGCGTCTTATATCAAGCGACGGTACAGGGGATCCAGCCCCCATCAAAGATCCGCGCTCTCCCTGAGTGGTTGGAGTGGGCATAGCTGTAGTCGCATCTCCGAAAAGGAGATTCATATCTTCCAAACGGACACCACTAGTCTCAGGATACAAGAAATAGACTGCAGCGATTAGATTTGTATATAAACAACCCCAAAACAAAGATCTTACCTAGCACAAAGCTGCAGGCACACCAAAAAGCATGTACAAGGTAAAGGCGCCATTTTATCGCAGCCTGGAGAATTGGAGTTACTTCACCAACAAGCCAGTTGAAAGCCCAATTAGTGGCTGTGCTGAGACTCGCGCCTTTGGCGCGTATACTCAAAGGCAAAATTTCGGGAGGATAAAGCCAGGGAATAGGTCCCCAAGATGCACCGAAAGCTGCGTTGTAGATCATCACAAAGACGACTGTAAGAGTTGGAGTGGCTGCAACATCGATGTAGATGAAGTAAGAAATCAGGGACAGAGAGATTATCATAGCCACGGCCCCAGAAAGTAGAATAGGGCGTCGGCCCCAGCGATCTACTAGATACCACGGAGGAACCGTTGAAGCGAGATAAGTGAGGCCATTCACACCTGTCATCAGAATGGCGTCGCGACCTGCCCAGCCCGCTGATTCGAAGACGAGTGGCGCATAGTATGAGATGACATTGATGCCGTTCAATTGGGCAAGTGCCTGCGCCGACATTGCGATTAAGACTCTCTTGCGGTATCGTTTGAACATATCCGCGTAGGATCTTTCTCCTTCTTGTCGCTGAAGCAACACGTTCATCTTGATTTCTCTATACTCCTGGCGTGCCTTATCATTGTGAAGATCTCCCTTTCCATAGAGGTTAGCTATGACCACCATACCCTCTTCATCATGGTCGTTATCCAAGAGCCATCTGATTCAGAGGGAGAATTGGTCAGTGAATGCACAAAATGTTATAAGTGACCAAGGGAAGACAGGGGAAATTTACCGAGGTGATTCACACATGATAAGACTTCCAGCACCAAGGAGAGCGCCCATTATACACTGGCATAATAAAGGAAGACGCCAGGAATAATTGCTGTCAATGAAGCTACAAAAGTAGTCAACCCAAACACTGGCTGCGTATCCGCAGATATTTCCGGTAAACTCGATACATGCCAGCTTTCCTCGATTGTGTGGAGGCTGGTATATCATATTAACTTCGCGTCACCTGAATGTTCACAGATACTATATGATAAAGACTTACCGATATCTCGGACTGATAGACAGGTACGATAGTAGAGAGAGCTCCAACACCGAGACCAGCAATAATACGGCCCACCATCATCATAGGCAAGCCATTTGCGAATGCTTGAAGAGCACCGCCTATGAAAAACACGATGGAACCATAGAGTATCGTCTTTCGACGGCCTATCAGATCACCAATGCGTCCAACGAGGAGAGAGGATATAAACGCTCCGACCTCGAGGATGGCAACCACAGTGCCAATTGCTGCCCGTGACGGCTGGTTAAAGTAGTCTTTGAAATACCAACCTCTAGTGTAGTGTCAGTCAAAGGAATGGCATAGGGCAGGTGTAAGTGGCTTATATCATTCTGGGGGGGACAAACGTGATAATACCAGACATAACACCTTGATCATAGCCAAACAAAAAGACGCCTAGGGAAACAAAAACACTCGTAAAGTATCTATTGCCATGCTTAGTCCCAGCCAGACGTATTAATAAAAGTTTCAATATAGAAACTTACAACAATCGTTTGCCGACCAAGCCATGCGATTGGGCAGTTTGCCTACTGTTTGGTGACATGATGACAGCTAGAAGTTGCTCTGCTTTCGAAATCTGCCTTGGTGGTGGTTGGGGTATCTCTATGCTCTCTTTGTCGATCTCGACAGGTAGATGCTCTGAGAGCCCCCGGGAGTAGTGAACGCGTCGTTGATGTCTGCTTTCCCCTCTCGTCGCTCCTCGGTTATGGGTTTGACGGATCAAAGGTTCTGAATGGTCGATGTCTGGAGAGTCCTCGATGTTAGCGAACTGCTCGGCCAGGTCCCCAGTGTCGGTCCAAGAATTTTCCCACTCGATGGAGCCAGCAGGCGAAAGAGAAGAGCGTCGGGCACGCTTCTTCTCGTCAGCTGAATCCTGGTCCGCGTCAGAATGCTCCGATGGCGGCTGGGACCGAGAGGTTAAAGGCTGGAGAGGCAGATCGGAGGGGTTGCGTTTATTGTTTCTGAAAGGAATGGTGCCGGTGGTGGCGGGCTGATGAACAGCCCTTTTAGCACAAAGGTGTGTTTGTAGGCTAGAGACCCAATGGGAGGGGAAGGATCGATGCGGTGCTGCTGCTAGGCTCTAGCAGTACACGGCACGCAGGTTCAGCCGATATACTGGTTTATTGGTATTCGGATGACATGGGGGAAGCCCTGCGAGTTAGAAGTGGATACTCTGTAAATGTGGCTCTTGGTAATGTCAATGGTGTATGAAAGATGTTGAGTGCTCCTTGCATATATATGTAGTGGTTATAAGCGGGTCAACCAACTACTCGAAGTTCACCAGGTTGATGGTACTCTGGTAGTACTTGAAGTAATTACGGGAACTAACTAGCTAGTAACTATAAGGGGGATGGAGATAAAGATTTGTTTACGGGGTAGGTACTAAGTTATAAGACAAGCCAAGCAGGATAGAACCAAGACTACTGTAGTCTGATGACACGGTTAACTTGATGATATCATCTAGTTAGTTAGTTGATTATTAGCCTAGTAACTAGTGGGCTGATTGGGGAACGACGATGACTAAGTAGGTGAGTACTAACCGACTAGGGTAGTAGCTAATTTAGGTAGTTACATGGTTGGTTAGTTAATAGCTAATGAAACACACTTAGGTGGAGAAAAACCTGATCATCGCGCGAGGCTTGCTCTTCAGAGAGAAAATAGGTATTAAGTACTCCATAGTATGAACTATAGAGTAGGTATAATGAGTCTAAAGTAACCAGATACTAGGTCGCGGAGGTAAGGATGGCTAAAATACGCCATTTTTGTATCAATATAGAGGTATACTGGCATAATATGTGCTAGATAAACTATAACAAAAGCGGGTTGAAGATGGCAGGGAATATAATGTATAGCTTGTAGCTATAACTAGTAGTAGCTAGTTCTAAAGATTATCTTATTTAGAAACTTATTATAAATAAATTACATTGACTTTCCATATTATATTTCTATAATTAAAATAGTACTTCTTTTTATTGAATTTATTAATAATTTCATGATTATTAATAATTTAATATTATTTCAACTTTAGGAAGGGGGGCTAACCCACTAGACTAAAAAGGTGTCTGAACAATCCAATCTAGGAATAGTGGTAATATATGTAGCCATCACACCTCCCTAGGTTTTCTAGTTTAAATGTGCATGTTAATGCTAAATAATAATTGATCAGGAGACCTACACCTTTATATACTAGAATTTAACTATTCTAGGTTAGCTATAGGCTCTCCTCCTTTTAGGCTTTTTAGCTCTTTTAGCTCTTAGCCAAGGATTTTTATTAATTAATCAATATTAGAGTGTTTTAAACCTGTGACATTCAGGCTCAAAATTTAAGGCTCCACCTTAGGATTAGAGGCGATGGGCTTATAACTTTCAACTTTAGGAAGGGGGGCTAACCCACTAGACTAAAAAGGTGTCCAAACAATCCAATCTAGGAATAGTGGTAATATATGTAGCCATCATATTATTATAAAGCCAGCTCTAATATAGCAGTAATATAGCAGTAATATACTATCTCTAGAGACTAGGGCACTTACTAAGTACCTTATAAAGCTAAATAGTAAGAACTATAATATACTAGGAAGGCTAAATAGGTGTAAGGTTCACTACCAATAAGTAGTCACATGAGAGAAAATACTTCACCTCTAAGTTCTCACAAAGCTAGAGGAACTCAGCGACAATCTTACTATTAGATAGGATATACTGTTTATAAATACTATACATTACCTCTTTCATGCTAGACTCCTTGCTATTACCTGTCTATCCTTATAATAATTTAATTTATTTATTTTTTATAAATATATGTTTTAACTCTTTTTTATATATATCAATAAAAATGATTATTCTAAAACCTATAGTCTTAATTATTTAAAAAATATTTATTTCTTTAATTATAATTGAATTCATGTTTTATTTTCTATATGTATTTTTTATTTATTCTTTTAGATATTTTTAATTTATAAATTCTAATATTTATAATATTTTAATCTCTCTACTTATCATAACTATTGTTGCAGAAAAGGATGACCTTGAGGCTGCTAATCAGGATGATTCACATATATTTACACCATCACCTAACTAGCTAAGCCTAATATAGTTAGTATTATACTCTAATTTTTTATTTACTTAATATATCTAGCCTGACTAATATCAGATATGCCTGAGGGTATATAAATTATATAGGAATATAATACTATTGGCCCTAAATACATATAGGATTTGTTAAAACTATGAATTAACTCTCTTTATGAAAATTATATTTAATCAAAACTTTACTATAATTATTAGGTTTAAATAAGTGATTAAGTGCCCCTTTCTGAAAACAATATTAAAAAATAAATACTTTTTTTAATATAATCAAAATAAAACATTTACTTTAAAATATATAAAAAGGTTAGAAAATCCTGTAGATAAAAATATAAATAATAAACCCAAAACTTTAAAATCTTCTGTACTAATGAGAGACCTATTTATTTAGGTATCCTACTATCTATTCCCTAGCTGAGATACTAGATACCTATTTAGATATCTATCTTCAATGCTGAACTATTCCTTATTATTCCTTAACTCATTCACTAGGATATTCCCTAGCTAATCATTCCCCAGGTAGATATTTAACTAACTGGTGATATTTCAAATACAATTATAGCCATTGACCAGTGAGGACCAAGAGGATTCAAACGGGGCTTTATAAAGCGGGTAGGTAATATATATTGAAGCCTGAGCTTGTTATCTGAATCTATAGATAGTTATATACTTGCTACATGGTAATGTATCAAGAGAACGGTGGTTTGGATGGTCGAGGGGAAATTTCGCCATTTGACTCATGTACATTAATTGAAATTCAGCAGTCTGTCTTTATGTAGTGGGTAGGGTAGGTAATAGTACTGCTACCTTGGTGCGTACGGTGTATCGAGTTATGATTATCATCCACATTTAGGCAACCAGGTTGGTTACCTTCACACTCCCTTCTTCATCAAGTCTACTAAATCACACACCATGTTGAATTGTTGGGCCCCTGCCACTTGGTGTTAAGCACGTGGTCCGTAGGAAGGTATCTATATGGAGGGGATGAGGTACCTAGGAGCCTGGAGGTAACTAAGTAACTATACCTACGGTATGTTGATAGAAGGTACGTTGGCCTTTACCTAGCCCAGTTAGCGGGAGTTCTGATGGTTGATGTTACATAGCCAATCATATTTCAGAATAACGATCACTCCCGCTCCCGGCCCTCCGAGCCAGCACCTCCTTGACATCACTCTTAACATCGAGTCAGAGCATCTGCATTTGTCTAAGACGCGATCCCCTTACTCGACAAACATGTCGAATTCCGAGGTGAATTATGAAGGGTCTCTAGATGGACAGGAACACGGACGAGATGATGGCGACAAGAAACCCCAAAGCAGAAGGCCGGCAAGTATGCAATTCTTGACAACCGTCCACCACTCCTCAACAATGATCTAATATAGTTTGGTGATAGATACTGCTTTCAGACAACAACGGCTGAAGGCATGGCAGTAAGCTTTATGCATTGCAGATAATGAACTGAGCCCTGTGCTAATTATAAAATACAGGCCGATTTTAACACCTAAGAGCGTTCTACCATTGTTTTTCATTGTTGGGATCATATTTGCACCAATTGGTGGTCTTCTATTGTGGGCAAGTTCTGAAGTAAGCTTACTCTCTTAAACTACATCCAAGATAATTTCTCTAATAAAATGTCAAGGTTCAAGAAATTGTCATAGATTACACCGATTGTTCTGACAAGGCACCACTATACCCGACTGCACCCGCCACCTTCAGCAATGTTCATTCTTACTTTAAATCCTCTAAACAAACTTCTGCTGCTACATGGCAGCGCAGACTTGTGAACGTCACATTTGATGATTCATTGGAGATCCCGACCAACCGTTGCTCTATCTTCTTTGAGCTACCAGACAGCATAGGGCCGCCTGTGTACCTGTACTATCGCCTGACGAATTTCTATCAAAACCATCGGAGATACGTTCAGTCTTTGGATCTTGAGCAGTTGAAAGGCGAAGCTCTTGATAACAGCAGTATCTCGGGCAGCTCTTGCGATCCACTCAGATTAGACCCAGTTACTGGGAAAGCATACTACCCGTGTGGTCTTATAGCCAATTCTCTCTTCAATGATTCGATCCATAGCCCTGAGCTAGTCAATAATGGGACATACGTCATGACAAACAAGGGCATCGCCTGGGAAAGCGACAAAGACCTGATTAAGAAGACACAGTATAAGCCTGATCAAGTCGTTCCCCCACCGAACTGGCACAAGCGTTACCCCAACGGATACACCGAAGAGAATCTCCCAAATCTTCACGAAAATGAAGAATTTATGGTTTGGATGAGAACAGCCGGATTACCCAATTTTAGCAAGCTTGCTCGAAGGAATGATACTACAGCTATGCAGGCTGGTAATTACCAGTTGGATATTGACGACTGTATGATAGTGGCCATGATTCCAAGTGTTGATGCAGCTAACAATTTTTCCAGATTTCCCAGTTACGGAGTATGGTGGCACTAAACAGATTCTTATTTCCACTCGCACTGTCATGGGTGGACGAAATCCCTTCATGGGCATTGCTTACGTGGTTGTGGGTGGACTCTGCATCGTCCTAGGTGCTCTTTTCACTGTTGCCTACCTAATAAAGCCAAGGTAACTACAATGCAAGCATTCCCCCAATAGAACAAGCTGACCTAGTATGTACAGGAAACTTGGGGACCATACTTATTTGACTTGGAATAATGATCATCAAAGCACGGCTGTTGCAACAGGACGCGATGATAGATTTGGAGGCCATGCGTCCTAGTTTGACAATTTGAGGCTGACTTTTTCATACTGTGAGGACTTGTTTGAATTGGGGATTGATCATTATGTTCGACATTATTATTCGGTAGTGTCACGGAGTTCTTGCCTTGACTGGGAGTATTTGCTATTTTTTTCTATACTGGAGTGTATTCTATCTGCTGATGTTTTTCATTAGTCATGTCTATATGTTAACAATTATATCTCCTTATTAGAATCTCATTTGCTTTCCGCCTGGTATTTATTGATCTCCAGGTGTTTACATATATATCTTCATTCACCTTTGTTGGTGTCTGCCACATTATTGGATAGGGACAGTACATGAAGTACCTTGGTAAGTAAATTGACCGAATACTATTTATGATTTATACATCTAATTGTGGTGGTAGAGCAATACTTCTATAATGACTGACCCTAACTTCTTTATCATTATATTGACATTCTTAATGCCATCACATTCTTCTGTTTATGGATCCTCTGATCCGACCACATTCCACAAGCAGGTGCTAATATGGCATCTTCATAGAATTTAAGGCTAGGGAACGCCGTGTTTCAAGTCCTAATAATACCCAGTATTCAAGTCAACCCAGGATGCATCAGGTCTTCCTTCTCCATTCTTTTGTGGTCTTCATAATAGTCATCCATTTTAATATATCCAGCGCTCGTGGTTTCTGTGCCACTAGTGCTCCAGATGAACGACTTGAAGCAGAACACAAGCGCCTCAGTTCTATTGAACGCCAGGCCAATGATGGCAATGGTTTTGAGGGCCGAAAAGATGGCTCTGTAATCGAGATCGAGACATGGTTTCATATAGTGAGTAGCGAGGAAAAATCTCGATTAGTATCCGATGCTATGATTAGCAATCAGGTTAGTTTGTTCAAGATTTCTGGCTTCACGTGGAGCCGAACAAGTCAGAACCGGCGCATGAGCTGACGTTTTGAAGTTTGCGATTCTCCAAAGCGCATATGGCAACACAAACATCTCGTATCGATTACAGGGCGTGACTCACCATGTCAATGATACTTGGGCACGTAACGAGGACGATTTGGCTATGAAGCGTGCATTGCGCCAGGGAACGTACAGGACCTTGAATGTCTACTTTCAAACAGATCTCCAAGGAGCATCTGGTGATAGTGCACGGGTCATAGACGACGACCCTAGTCGTGAGAGTTTGGAAAATGAGCTCTCGTCCAGCGTCCTAGGATTTTGTACTTTACCTGATCCCAGTATCAACGCCAGCTCTCCAAGTGGCCAGTACATCAATGATGGTTGCAATATTTTGGCGAACACGATGCCTGGTGGCTCGATTACACATTACAACCTAGGCGGAACAGCAATCCATGAGATAGGCCACTGGAATGGCCTTCTCCATACATTCCAGGGTGAGTCGTGTTCGCCAAACAATGACGGTGACTATATCTCAGATACGCCACAAGAGTCTACACCCACAGACGGCTGCCCCTCGGGCAAGGATTCTTGTCCCCGGTCCCCAGGCCTGGACCCGGTACATAATTACATGGACTACTCTTCTGACGACTGTTATTCCGAGTTCACTGCAAACCAGGCGCAGAGGATGCAAAACATGTGGTTCTCATTAAGGGAAGCAAAATGATCAAAGGTGCCTCGGGATGCCTGGCAATGGTTATCATTATAGGTCATGACGGGTTACTTCATTGGTTGATATATGGTTATGCCCTTTATAATACTATTTTCAAATCATGATATAGTTAACTAATACCTAATGATTCACTGCATACAGTCCAGACTAGTTTAGAATAGCCTAGTATCGCTATAAGTAACTATAGTATGGTAACCATCCTAGTTAAGTATCTGGTTTAACTAAAGCTCCCTGGACCGTAGCAAAACGAAGAATAGCCGTTGTCCCACGATGTGATAGCAGGTTTACTTCAAAATAGAGACCAATATACAACAACTCACCGCTTTCGCTTCTTATTCCGGTCAGCATCATCTAGACCACTTTCTTTATCCTTTTTCTTTGCTTTCTCTTCCAGCTCATCCCAGTCTTCACCGCTTTCTTCATCCCCGCTAAAGTCTTCACTAGCATCTGCACTGGCATCATCATCAAACTCACTGTCATCTTCCGAACTCTCATCTGCCGCGGCTAGTTCGGACTCGGAGAGTTCGAAGGCGGATTCCTCATCTTCGTCAGATTGATCTTCGGAATCTGACTCGGCCGCCAGGAAGGACCAACCACCATCGGCGAAAAAGCCATATGGATCGCTGACAACTGTTTTCATGATTGTAGTCCAGTTCAAATTGAGGGGACCCTCCGTGAAGGCTATGTCAACCGAGTCTAGCCAGTCCTTAACACCCTCAAGGGATTCAACTGGAATGGTATTGATATGAACTGGTTGTCTGTGGAAGTCCTTGAAAACAAACACCAGATCGAAGTTTTTGAGGCCAAACTGATAATATGTCAGTTGGCACGTAATGTGAGCATCGTGAGGGAACGGTGATAGCTTACCTGAACTCTTTCCAAATGGGCAATTTCAACCTCATTCAAGGTGATTACTAGGAACGGAGGCTCTGTGAGTTGAACGAGAGCATCGGTAGTGGGTTGGATCAAAACGTTTGACCTGTTCGGAACTCCAGTAAAACCGATTTCCCGGAAAGGAATATCAACATCAACCCCCTCCTCTTTACCGGCGTCGGCAATCTTTTCGGCAAAGGCTTTGAATTCGCGATCCAAAGCTGCTCGGCGTCTCCTCTCCTCTTGTTCTGCCTCGAATTCCTCTTCATCTCCGTACCGATGTTTGCGTCTGCGGTTACCGGTTTCATCAAACTGCATTTCCGTAGCCTCTCGATAAAACTGCACATCCCTGGTCTTCTTCTTGCCGATCATGATCGGGGTCTTCAAGTGAACATGAATGACAACGATTAGCTCGTGTGCGCAGGGCTGGAAGAACAAGTGTTTGACGTTGCTGAACAGAACATCAACGTGTTCATTGCGGAAGGGCGACATATAGCGTAGACCATTCTGATGTATTTCAACTTCTCCTGGAACACGTTTTCCATCAAGTTGTGGTCTAAGGTAAACATCAGGAAGTTTGATGGGACGGCGGTCTGGATACGTCAGTCTTATTATAGAAACCAATGGCAAGATACGACATACTGCGAATTTCCACAAGCTTGTCCTGTTCAACCACGTCTTCCATCTCCTTCTTTTCTTGCTCGCGCCTCAGTGCAGTTTTGCGGAGCTCTGTGATGTCTTGAGCGATTTGGGCAAATCTCTCATTTTCCTTGGATCTCAAAGTCAAGTTTCTTAAGAAGTGCGCTGAAAGATCCTCGAAAGGCTGATCATCCTTTCTACCCACACCTTGACCTGGAGACAAGAAATTTATTCGGAGATAGGCGTATTCTCCTTCGTCGCTTTTGCTCGCATTTTTGATCGTATTGATGTGGAAAGGCACCGGGCGTCCCATTATTGGAACAATCACTGTCGCCGCCTTGTGGTCAACGTACACTGTCAAGTCCTTCACCTTGGTGGGAAGCTGGTTGTCCCGCTTATAGGACTCAAATCGTTTGAATTTCTTCTGTATGACACCATTTTCATCGCCAGTTGTACCAGCAAAGCGGTCTAGGCCTTCTTTTGTCTTTTTAGACGCAAGCTCTTTTTGATGCTCGCGACGACGTGCTTCTGCGCCTTCGCTAACCTGGGTAGGTCGTTCAGCACGAAGCTTAGTCCGGGTGATATTTCTGCTAGCAAGGGCGCTAGATTTCGGTTCTTTCTTTTCCTTCGACGGCCTTTGTTCTTCTTCATCATCACCAAAATAGAATGAGACGGAATCCATATCCATGCCTGCTTCCTTGGTGAAAACATGAGGGCCACTCTCACCCACCCGGACAGTGTCGGTGATCACCATTGAATAGATGGAGCCCTTATCGTTGGAATCTGCGTTATGCACGTCTGTAAATCCAACACTGACAGAAAGAGTCATGCCGCTCCTCAGAACCCGATTGTTCTTCCCATTAAGAACCATATTCGCATCTCGGAGCTCGATTCCAATCCCAGCACCGACACTTTTGACGAAATGTTTCTCAAGCTCAGGCTTCTTGGAGCGCACTATTCCCAGAGCTTTGTTGTATAGATCTCTCGCGATAGCGCCGTCTCGAACATCCTTCATGATAGCCTCATAAACTGTCAATAGCAAAGTATAATTTGCTTCTTGAGACTTGGTTGGGTCCACAAGATATGTTCGTGCGATAATTGAGCTATAAGTTTTGTAGCGAATTCCGAATCCTGCGATGATGATGCCGGGCTGAAGATTGTTACTGTCAGATGTGGCTGTGAGTTTGAGGTCATATTTTCCACCACTCTGAATAACAGGGCCATAAGCCCAGTCAATCTGTTGCGCATCGAACTCTGATGGCAATTTGGCCAACTTATTGAAGAACTTGGAGTCGTCAATTTTTGCGTCGATCTTTGCTGCTAAAGCTTTGTGTGTCATCTGTTTCTCCTCGTCAAGCAGTTGCGACATCTCGTCGACAAAGTATTCGGACATAAGGCCGCTGCACGCTCGCGAAGCATTCCGTATAGATACCTGGATAGATCAGTAAGAGCTTCGTCATAAGATCTGGGAGTCTCACTAATTCTTCGGGGTCCTTCACGGAAAAAGCAGCATGTGAAAGAGCCGGAGAAATATCGATCTCTTCAACTTCCTTGGACAAATCCGCAAATGCGCGCTTCCAGTCATCTGCAAAGGGCCCTGATGTCGTATCTTTTGGTATTAAGCCGACCTTTTTCTGTATATTCCAATAATCATATCATATCAGCAAATGAAACCGATGCTTTCGCTGGGAATACCCACGCTAGAAGATTTTATCACATCCAAGCACTTATCAAAGACTCTCGATTTTTGCTCGGGGTCCTTGGAGATAACCAAGATTTCCACCGGAATCTTGCCATCTTTCAGAACTTCTAGATGTTTTGCTGCAAGGAGAATATGAGCGATCTGACAAGAACGAGTCTTTCATCACCAGATAGAAGATACCTTTCTTCGCGGTGGTTACAATGTACATTGCCTCTGTGGTGAAGATAAAAAGGGTACCAGGAAACTCGTATCCGAGGAGCCAGAACTACCGCAAACTAGTCAGTAAATGCCATGCTTCGAGGAGGTACTTGAGATGAAGACATACATGAATCGCATTATTCTTCTGGAAAGAATTTGCTTCATCTGTCTTGCCCATCAATATGACGATAGATCCAACTCCACCAAAGATGGCATTTCCAGAGCGCCGATCCGTCTTCCATGATGCGTAAAAACTTGAAAGACGGTTGAAGAAGACAGTTTTGTCAATAAGAATTTCCTCCGCCATGCTGCCTTCAAATTAATCCCTCCGGCGGATTAATAGCCAAAGCAGCATACAGGGAAGCTATTCAGGGAGAATAGCAAGATGAGAAAGGGACGAGAAGAAGTAGAGAAATATAAGAGAGAAGGGCCCTAGCTAATAGAATTAGATTGACAGTCAGTATTGAGGTTGCCAAAGAATAAGGCAGGAGCAGTGAATTAGAAAGTGAAGGATAATGTGGCAGAGACGCGAAACGCGCTTTTGACCTGTTTTACCTTTTTTGATGTACTTCATGCACTCTGACCGCCTAACACTTCTGGATGTTTGTCTTATTTGCTCTTTTCATTAAACTCTTGGCGCGGTCCCCCATAATGCCTTGCCGCAACTCCACTTTTTTTAAGAACATCTTTAACTTAAATCTACTTTATAGTATAATAATATGCACAGGAAAGTTAATATTAGCTATAGATTTAGACCTCATATCTCCTAGACTATCTAAAACCATATATATATTCTTTTGAAAGAAATAAGCTGTTTTAGGACTTTTTAGTAAAAAGTGAAAAATCATTGTCTCTTTAGTTCTAGCAAACTCTACTATGTATATAATCCTATTGTCCCAATATACTACCTCTTTACTACATAAGGAGAATTATGATAAGAAGTGGTCTTATTATAAGAGCTTAATGAGCCTAAGAAAAGCGCAGTTATAGAGTATATTAAAATATAGGAGTGACCGCGCCAAGAGCCTAATAATAAACACTAATAAAGATTATAGATACATAAAATAATCATAGAGAATATAGTGTAGTCTTTTATGACTATGTAAATCTGTGCCTTTTATATATGGTTGAACCTGGTTAATGCCTCATGTGCTCATATATTTTTTTAGTGCTATCAAGACTGTTCTGCTATAACTAGTTGATAGTCTATAAAGTAGGTATAGACGAGTATACTACAGGTATATCTAAACTATCTAGTTACTCCATATATAGTTATATAGCAGTATATGTAGAATGCTCTGTAATACCTAACGTTCATATAACAGATTTTACCCGACTAGCTTTGCCAGAAATAGCACATGTAGCTTATATAGTGCGAAGGAGTGCCGGGACTTAGGGCAATAATCAGTTAGCTAATAGGCCAAGTCCTACCTGGGTAAAGCTATCTACTAGTCAGTTAACTACCTAATCCTTACCATGATGATCTATGAGTCTACTGTATAGAACGAGTAGCGAGAGCCAATGTTCGACCTAACGGACGAGGTGCAATTGGTTATATGTGAAGAGAAAAGAACATGGGAAGCCTATGTAAGACAGTCATTAATATAGCCATGAGAGAAGAACAAGTCGTTCTCACTAAGACATAATCAATAGATCCAGGAACTGGGTGACATAATGATTGTGGAGCCTATGCTAGTAGTAGTATAATTCAACATTAATCATGCTTAAAATGTAAAATGCACTATAATAATACAGAGTTTCATCTATTAGCAAGGGGAGAAAAAGCCAAAGGTAACGTCCTACTATACTATAACTAACTAGACTCAACATGACAGTGCAGTCAAAAATAACCAATGGACCCTAAGAAGAGATTATTTAAAGGAAGATAGTAGGTAACTATAAGGCATTAACAGTAAAGTCCACAGGATATGAATTTCACAGGTACCTAATATTATTCACTAGAATTAGAATAAAATGTGGACAGCACAACACAATTTGGTGAAGCAGAAACCGGAAGTGAGAGTGATGAGCGGATAAAATCATTTCCGATATTGCTGAAAATATTCAGGCTTGAACCAACCGACGCGTTCATACGCTGTCCAAAGTTTGCTTGCTTTATTGACATCTATCTTGCAAGCTTGTTGAGCATCTGTTTTTCGAAACTCCTTTCCAACATTCAGTGCTTTGACCCGAGCATCAAATATGCGGCGTTTACTGCACAAATATGTTGCGCAAGACAGCCTTAATGTCGCGGCAAGATTCAACTCAGCCGGGCTGAGGAGATATCGGTCTGGGTCATTACTAAGATCAAGAAATTGACCCTTCCAATCTGCCTTCAGTGCTTTAGTGTTGCCACCAAGTGTCTCTATCGGTGGAGAGAAATCTGCAAGTGAGTTGAAGTCTGTGTCGTCGCGAGTCGTGCCCAAGGTCCTAGGTGCCTTTACACTTGTGAATTGAGGCGTTTCAAACGATTCAAGAGTCTTCTGCTTCGGAGTTGACTTCGGCGTATGCTTGGCTCTTGGAAGCCTTTGTGTACGTGGTTGAACAATTGCAGACCGTTTGACAGGTGCCGGCGCAATTTTCCGCAACCTTTGCCCCAACAGGCCCGGGCGATACCGATTCATCATGGCTAGTTGTCGATCTAAAGTTTCTCGCTCTTCCTTGGCCCAAGCTGCTGGGTCGCGATTATACCGGGTAGAGACGATGGGAACACATGATAATGCCAAGAAATATTCGTCACGGCTTGGTTTTTTGTCAAGGTCAGCAGGATGCGATGAGTTAATGTGTCGCTCAACCAATGCCTCTGCTGAGGGCTGGATGAGTGGTTCGAAAAGAGGGACATCTGTGGCAATCTCCACGACGGATTCATGGCGAGGGAAGAGAACCGGGTCTCTGGAAGGGTCGACTGCGAGGTCTGACTCAATCTGTTCGGAGATATCTGATCTGCGTTTTTTGTTCCCGGTGTAAGGTGTAACAGGAGGCGATGGTAAGTCCATTTCAGATTGTCTTCGCTTTCGATCAGCGGAAATGGGTGGGAGTTTGATGTCTTCACCAAACGATGACTCTGGCGCCGTTTCGAGCGACTGATAAGTCGTGTTGAAGTTCTCGAATGGTTTCACCTCCGGGGGTGACATAAGGCTTGATACTGAGGGTAGGCGATTCATCGTGATCTTGTGACTGTGGCCTGCTTGTGAGGCAGCTGACAATGAGGTCATTGATAAGCGCTTTCTTGATATCAACAGTGAAGGATCCGTGAGTTACAAATCAGCTAAAGATAAAGACTATGGGCAATAAATATATGTCCTGTTAGTGATGGATGGCAAAGGTTGATGCGTGATTGTAGTAGAAATCCGTAGAATTGGATCTGTTGGCAAGCCCACGTGAAGATGATTTGTCAGGGTATCTCTCTGCTTGTTATATGGTGGCAACAGGCAACAACGCTCTGATCGGCGATAAGATTGTTGTAAAGCCGAGGGTGTGGTTTGCCAGTTTAGAGAGGTGGGAAGAAATGTTGAAAGATTTAAAAGGTTCTTGGGTGTCTCCTGACAATAAGCATGATAGCCTTTCAGCTCTGAGTCAAAGTGTCAAGTGATTTGGGCAAGAAGAGAGGGGCTGATTAAGTGTAATATTGATAGGAATCACACTGCGGGGTGGCGCTCATCAATAAAGAAAGGGACTGATAACATCTAGTACTCTATAAACTCCTACTATAGGTAATAAATAATGGAGTATTATCATAGTGGTCTAAGGATCTACTTATAATTATTATTACTATAGGTAATTATATAATTAAGAAGAGTGTATAGAAGCACTGAGAAGTCAGATAATTAGAGTACTAAGTAGTGATCTATAACAGTAATACTGCATGATTACACCATGACCACTATATAACTAAAGCTCTCTAGGAAGGGAGTGATCTTTATATATTTAGGCTTAATGGCTATAATAAAACATAAAGCACAGCAACACTATTATAATAGTATTATTAGTTAAATATATCAGTGGCTAATATGGCTTAGGAAAAGAGCAATACCTCCATGCCTCTTGACGCCTCTTCTCCACGCCCCTTTGACACTACCTATAGGTACCTACCTACCTAACCTAGGTACCTGGTAATAACTAGTATACTTACAGGCCTTGAATAATACCACTCCCCTGCACTGCTTTATCTGCATAAATAAGATTTATATATTCTTATATTATACTCTAACATGGCCCTATTCAGGGCTCTTCTAGAGTCACTGAGTGCTAGATGGCGTTGGTCAGGACTATATGCAGTATTTAATTCATATTAACTAGATTTACCCATTGGTGGTATTAAATGTGCCTTTGCTAAGATGGCGCTACCCAGTGAGTGGCTCATCAGTTGATCACGCTCGACCTTAGGTAGATACCCTCCTTTTTCCTCTGCGATTGGTTGCCAGTTGCCCGACAGCGAGCTGCTCATGGCCAGACGCCCGACTCTAGCGGCCCGAACACTGCCTACACTAGGTAGGTAGTAGTCAATTAATAGCATAGAGGTGATGCCATGAAGTAATCATATTAGATTGGGTATTTATCTATATCATTGAGGAGAAGCAGCTACTTTTAATATAACAGTTGATTAATAGAATTATAGTTACTGTATGATACTACCTAGGTATGTATGTTGGTATTACGGAGTACTCCGTACTACGTAATCCGACGAGCGCTGCCTGACAAGCCATCCAGGTCTGTGCCTTGCACGGCCCCGCCAGGCGAACGACCAGGCCAGGGCAATGACTAGCAATTCCCTCCATCCATGGAGTCTAAAGAGCACTACTATGTACTGATAGGTAGTGAATGGGCGACGCACTGCTAATCAGGCGACACGCTTGTGCTCTTGTGGGGGCCTTAGCGGCGGGAGCTAAGATACAGCCCAGTGCGGCAGTGCCAGCAGCTGGTCACGTGCATTGCTTTCTCATTTCTTAAGACCCCTTCAGTTCCCCCTCAAAAGACCCCCAATAAAGTCCCTCATAAAGCCTAATTTTACGTATATTAGGAATTTTGTTACAGAGTATGTTGACTTCTCTGTATGGAGTGGATTATTGCGATATCTCCGAAGCACGCGGGGGGGTTATACTGTAGGCATCAGGCAGTCCCTTGGTGGCGCCCGCTAAATCTAGGGGGGTATAGAGTGTGAGTGCTTTACAATACTTCTCATAACTACTACCTAAATAAAGGTCATGTACGGAGTACTACATAAGAATTATGCCCTAGTTATTATGTACCATATAAGACGCCAAGGTTACTCAAATGGTATCTGCGGATTGTGTTGGCCTTTTGGCTTTAAAGTGGCCCTAGGCCTAAACCTTACATGTCAACAAGGGTACATATGAGAAATACAAGCCTTGAACCTCGCAATCATGCGAGGGAGGCTTGACGGAGACGACGGAGGCCAGAGGTAGAGGAAAAACTGATGGAGGAACTGCGGGAACTAAAAACGGCAGAATCATGCCGCCCTAAACTGCAACATGGTGCATGGCTCTATATATATATGATCTGAGACATTTTAGACTTTAGTGTACTCTCTGTTCCATACATAGAATATTCTGGAGGTTGTACAGAGTAGATATAAAAAATGCTTCCTAATTTACAATGCTTAATAGAGAGATAAATTATTCTAAACCTTCTAGACCAATAATGGTATAAATAGTATATAGAAAAATAATATATTATATTTTTTTATTTTAAAATGTTTCTCAGTTGAGTGTATAGTAAGGGCTGCTTGGTTGATTCATGAATCACAGTGAACTAAATATCTGCCCCTGATAACCGGTTGACTAGCTATGGGGAAAAAGAGGCTCTATCGCGTTGCTGATGTTAATGACTACCAAGTTGTTGGCTTCTGGCGATGATTGTCCAACATATAGATTATATATGGAGTTTCATGCTATAATTATATTGTAGTCCTCCTTCTGAATATATAAAGCATCCACCGGGTTAGAATATTTACGACACACAAGTTCAAATATGATCAAGCCAGCACTGGTGCTAGGTACTTGGCGGATGGCGCTCCTTAAAAAACCCTGGTAAAGCCATTGAAGCCACCCGCCGGCTCGGCTCGCCTTTTTCTTGCATCGCTTGAAAGTCTCACGGTACGCACTGTAGTAGTGTCGTAGCATTTGTTTCTTAGAGATGTCAAGGCTAGCCTGGTGGTCGAGATATTCAAGTCGACTAAAGTGTAACTTCTGTATCTTGCTCAATGGATGCTGTATAATTTGCTGGGAAATCGAAGCAACAGAGCCCGCCACCATCAAGAAGCAGGGCTCTAGGGCATAGTGTGGCCTTATGAATGTAATACCACGATCATCAGTCTCGGTAATGATATATTGAGCATCCAGTTTCCCATAATGCCTGGTGATAAAGGAATAGTAGGCCTGGGACTTGATGTACTCAAAGGAAGAGAAGAACAGGGCATATCCGAAGGAATCTCGCAGAAATGACAAGCCCCAGCCTGCAAATATACCACGGAGGCCAATTTGTTTGAGCTTATGTCGGCCATACTGCCACACACTGTGATAACGCCCCTCGAGTATATCATTTGCACGTAAACGAACCTGGAGAGCATCAAGGGGTGCAGCCGCTATGGACTGGATTGTGCCAGCAGTAAATCCCGCCGTGAACGTGTATACTGGACTAGGCGGAGGGTATACACGTCTAAGACCTTGAGATGTCGGCTCGTGGAGGCCACTCAATGATTGCAGGTAAGAGGTGTAAAGAACAGCACCGATACTAAATTTATTTCAGGAACTGAAGCATTGAAAAACCGCATAGATAAACCACTTACCCTGCATTTGCTAAAAGAGGAGGAATGACTTGGTTCGGAATGAAGCGCCAGCCATATGTATGGACAGCATGAACGAGTAAACCGGGTGTCGTGCTGTGTAGGGACCATTTTCCATCAAGTGCACGGGGATTGACGGCTCGGGCAAAGGCCTATGATGGAGATGAATAGGTATTGATTAGCTGTCATCTCTCTTTTTTCTCTTTGACTGCATTTGAAAGTACAATCTAGTGGGATGTACCATATAGCTAGATAAAGTATGCATCAGTAAAAGTGACCATTATATAAAAATCAACTCGACACCTACTCGACGCGTGTACGGAAGAACGCCTTGACTGGAATCCTGAAGTAGAATGCAACTACTTGAGCGCTCAATGCTCGGACACCCGCCGCAGATGCTCCTGCTGCCGCATTACTACGCGGTCGTGTGTCATTTGCGTCACAGGAATCGACATCACTAGAGAAGTCATCGGGACCCGTTGGACCAGTGATGTTGACATGGCTTATCATTGTATCCTTTTCAAAATCTGCGAAAACTTCCCACGAAGGGCATGGGAAGGGGCAGAATAAATTCATATGAATATATTAGATGCACGATGGCGGGAGATCCTAGGTGCTTGGAAGCGGTTCTCTTGGCTAGCTATAAGGGACTACTAGACCAGCTGTTTATTATGTACTGTTCCATCAAGGGGGATTCTTGACTCCAGAAACAATAAAAAAGAATTTGCTTGGGATGTTGAAGTGTGGGTGGGCTCTGGGCAAATAGAGCTTATTCAGATCAGCCTTTGTTGGACATGAGATAGTTGTTGTTGCGTAAGTTAGTTACAGTATTAAATCCTACTACCTAGCCGCCCTGCCCCCATCAAAAGAATCAGCCATCCTATGGAGATGACGCCCTAATAGTAATTACTATGAAATTTAGAGCTATATAGACCTAATTAATGAAAGGTTAATGACTTAAGGCACTAATCCTGCATATAATGTATTCCATGTACAAACCACACACACGGGCGAGCCGCGCAGGTCTACACCCCATATAAAATAGATATATTACCACCTTCAATATCCAGCAACTTTTATAGAGAAATATTAAGTAATATATTACAATATAATACTTTATAGCTAAGATATAAGGGGTATAAGAATATTTTTATATAAGACCCTCTATAACCCTATTATATTAAAAATTAACAGTATATTATCACTATAATTGTAAGGCCGGCACCGACGCCGCCCTACAACCAATCTGACTAAGCATACCCCACAACAGATAGTCGACATTGGGCATCAGTCGGGCACCCATTAAGTAACCCGCTTAGAGTTAGGATATATACCACCCCCTAGATAGACAATAAGACCTTAAGCACTTTGTCTTGTTCTCTTAGAAGACTTACTATAGACTCCTTATATCCCTAGACCTTGCTGTTACCCAGTTGTGTTGACATCTAACTCAAATCCCTTAAGCAGTGTGAGGTCACTGCTTATAATAATAATTAAAAGGATTATAATCATCACTAAATATAAGGATTATTTTTAATATTAATACATTAATAGATAGCTATTAGCCTTTATAGTATATATAGAGATTTCTAGAATATATAATATAATATTTAGGGTGATATTAAGGGTTATAATATTGATATTTTATATAGTATATAAGCCTGCGTTGCTCACCCATGTGCGCAGTTTATACATGGAATACATTAACTGGGCTTATAGTAATTAAAGTATTATTAGGGCCCACCATAGTATTATAAAGTATTATTAGGGCCCTTGTATTAATACTATGGTGGGCCTTGGCCAAGCAGGCCTAAAGAGGGAAGAGATAACTAATAGTTGCTATTACTACTATAACTTAGACATAAAGTAAGGTAGTTTCAGCTAAATGATGCAAGGATTCTCCCTATATAGAGCCAATAATAAGATGATATTAAACTAACTAACTAGATAACTTTTAGGGATAAATATTATCTATAATATATAAGTATATAGTAGGGTTAGGCCTTAATAATATATAACTAATAAAAATATTAATAAAAAATAGGTAATAAATAGTTAAGTTAATAATATAAATAAAAATTATATATTTAATAATAAGTATCTATATATCTATTATAGTTAATATACCCCTCTAGTATTAACTAGATTATTAATATTATAATCCTTTATAAGGTTAATTATATTTAATATCTTAATAAATCTTTAATAATTTAAGTTATTAAGGGCCTTAATAAAGCTATTTATAGGCATCTAGGCTATTAATATCTAAATAATCTTTAATTTCTTATCTTATATTTCTTAATAAAGTTAATATTAATAAATATTAATATACTTAAGCTATATTTATAGGAGTAGATTATCTTTAACTAGAAGATTAACTATTTATTAATTATTATATAAGATTATAAGCTTATACTTAGGATTAAATTTAATATTATTAAATAAGTATTTTTATTAGAAGAGGTTTTTATTAATATATAATATAGCTATAAGCTTTATCTTTATTATTAATATTATTACTATTTTCTACTTTTTAAATTACTAGTTAATTATTTTTTTATATAGAATATAAAGATATTCTTTAGTACTCTTATAATCTTAATTATCTTTATATATAATATTACTTATATATATAAAGATATTAAGGATCTTAATAGTATCCCTAAGTATTTATTATAATTTAATATATTAAATAATAAAAAATTAGGTACTATATAAATATTAAATAGTATATTCTATAGCTTTAATATACTTCTAAAAAAGGTTCTTTAAGAATTAACTTAAATTATATATAGTTTATAATATATTTAGTCTTATAATAATTATAATATATAAAATAGATCTTATTAATTATTAATAATAATAAGTTTATTTATTATTAGTCTCTATATTATTATAGACTAGCTTCTTAATTATTATTAGTATATTTAATAACTTATAGTCTATTAATCTATATTTAGTAGTAATAAATATAATATAGGTATCTTAAAATAGCTATAATTTTTTCTTTTTAATCTTATTAAATCTATATATTTAGAAACTATTCTAATTTTATCTTATATATCTAATAAATACTTATTAAGATATTAAAGAACTATATTACTTGGGCTTTATCTTATTTATAATATATAAGAATAAAATTATTAATATATATTATTAAGGTTAATATACTATTTATATATAAATAAGAATCTTTATAGGGCTTTATTTTAAAAGTAAATAAAGTATTAAATAAGTTTTTCTATTATAATTTTAATAATCTATATAAATTATAAAGAACTTATATTAATTATAAAGCTTTACTATATTATTTAAATCCTTAAAAAAATTTAATATATATATCTTTATTAAGGATACTATTTAAGAATATATTAATAATATTATATTACTTTATTTCTAGATTAAATATATTAATAATTACTATTAGGGTTTAAAAGGTGTATACTATTAATATTATTACTTATATTTTTTTAAAGTTAAATAGTTATAGATCTTTATAAATATAAATATAAACCTTAAACTTAACTAAATATTTATTTATATTAAATTTATATATAAATACTTATTTAAGTAGTATAATTTATTAATTATTAAATTATTTAATAACTATAAAGGTCTTATAATTATTAAGTCTATTATATTTATTATAAGTAGTGCTAATAAATTTATCTTAATATAAATAATATCTTATTATATTTTAGGTATCTAGTGGTAATAGGAGCTTATCTTTATATAGTTATTTTAATAAGAATTAATAAAGCTATAATAATTTTAATAATATTATAATACTAAATATACTAAATATTAATTTATTATTAATAAATATTATAAAGGCTCTAGGTATTATATAGGCCTATTAATAAGTTCTTATACTATAAATAATATACCTTATATTAAAGTTAATCCTAATTTCTTAATATTTAGGATTATTAGAGATATTAAATATCTTATTAATATTAAGGTTATTATTAATTATATTATTAAATATCTTTAACTCTAATAGGTTCTCTTTTTTATTTATAGGTTTAAGTATTATTAGCTTTAATATATCCTCTAATTAGCTCCTTAAATTTATATATTTAGTTATTAGTAAATTAGTATTATAAATAAGTATTACTTAAGGTATTAAAAGTAT